CAATCGACAAACATTTTCAATGAATTAAATCGAGTGGATACGATGATGAATGATGAACATGAAATGATTTCATCGTTAGATAAACAATTACAAATTTATCGACAGATTTCACTCGACTTCAATCAATTATCACAATTGAAACAACAATTCAATTCATTTTTTTCGACAGATAATCGACAAGGTCAGAATTTGATCACAAAAGTATTGTTTTGAGCATTTATCTTTAGACTTAGTCGTTGATTTACTGAACACAAAAACTTCGTTGACAGAAAAATCTCAACAAGAAGTAAATTTCAATGATTTGTGTTCAGCAATGATAAATCAAATTCAACAAAGAATCAACCAATTAAAGTAATTCGAATTCAACAAAAACATTTCGAGAAAACGAATTTCTTTTTTTCAGTAAAATCGAAAACAACGATGAAGAAAGAAATTCCACCATTATTCAAAGTTATGAAGATGCACTAACCAAAACAAATTTAGATTTCACAAAACAGTAAGTTGTTTTCATTTTTTTCTCCAACATGATCATTCATAAGAGTTAACGGACAAACGACCAAAGTCATATAGGTGGTAAAGAAATGTACTATAAGTCTCGTTCTCAGTCAGACAGAGAAGTTCTACATGAGTAATTTGAACATTATTTTGAAATAGATTTGTTCATTTGGCAAATATTCGTCTGGAATGTGCAAAACTTCGTCATCGTCTTCAAGAAAGTAAACGTGAAGTTTTATCTCGTCGTGCATCGAATGAACAAGGTCAATTATTAACAATTCTTGATGCGATGATCGCTGTGAGTTTAAATTTTTAATTGACACACAATATCTGTTTTATATCTAGAGTAAATCAATCGAAAATCACTTGAATCTATTGAAAAAGAAAGTTCAGACAGAAGCTGAACAAACAAAAAAATCTCAGGAAAATCTTCTTCCACAAATTCATCAACAAATAACTGAACAAAGAAATCAATTGAATCGAATCGATCAACAATTGAACAAAATTATCCAAGAAAATCTCTTCGACAAATTAGAAAAGTAAGAATTCATTCATCCTTTATCTTCAATTTCTTTGTTTTTTTTCCAGACTCGAATCAAAAATTCGTGATTACACTCGTCTAATTTCTGAATTCCCTCAGCATATTCATTCATTGAACATTCTTCATTTATCATTGTCAAATCAAATTCGTTCAAATCTTTTCACCTGGTCAAACGAACAATTTAATCAAATTAATTTAACAAATCAACCAATAATTCAATCATCACCAACTCCATTACCAGAAATTCCCTCTCAAACTCCATCAACACCATTGACTTCACTGAAACAACTACTCGGAATTCGAACACAAGACTCGACAATACTCGAACCACCTGCAACGAACGATTCATCAACAAAACAAGAAACTCAACAGTTGTTTTTCTCTTAGAATCTTTGATAGTTCAATAATCTGCTTTTTTTAGTTGGGATATTCCAAGTAAAGATGAAGATATGTTCAAAATCATCTGCCCATCATTAACAGAAATCGATTGGCAAATGTTAAATCGCGTCGATCAACAAATTGAAGATTCACTGAAAGACTGTCGTCAGGATTTTAATCAGTATGAAGAACTTTTCCAAAATATGATCAAAGAAGTAAAAAAAGAAATCTACTTGATATTTTATTTCGATCCTTTCCGTTTTAGACTCGTGTCTTACAATACGAATACAGAGAAAAACCGGCTTTTCGCTCGTGACAAAATCATGTTCAACGGAAAATTCAATAGGACTTAAATTTTTTCATTGTTATCTAAGAATCAATAAATAAGTAATTTCATTGTCTCACTCTGATGAATCGAAAGTGATTTCAAATTTTCGACTTCTGAAGAACACGTTCTAACGTTCGAAATTGATTACATGCGATATCTTTCGTAAACGAGAACAAAGTAAGATGATAAGCTGATGTGAAAATTCACATGGGGATGTAGCTCATATGGTAGAGCGCTCGCTTAGCATGCGAGAGGTATTGGGATCGATGCCCAACTTCTCCAAATTGTTTTTTTTTTCAAAAATTAGTTTTCTATTTACAAAACACTCTTTCATTCTTGAACCGATAGTTACATTCGATTCGGAGAAAAGATCTGGGAATTATTTGATGTGCTTTCGTTTTTGTTGATTAATAACGAGCAAGACAATTGCCTTCGATATTTTGAAATCGGCTGAAAATCATTTTTCATTTCTTAGGTTTATCCCTCTTGAATAAAACAGTTCAGTAAATTGATTATCTTCTCTTGACAGAAAATTAACTGAGCGCTCAATGAAGAGAAATGAACGTTTTTCAAACAGACGCAAACATTCGTTGACTTATTGGGAAAAGCATCGAAGTTCAACCGGACGAATTTATTACTATAATCGAATAACTGACCAATCTCAATGGGAAATTCCATCACGACGAGTCAAACGACGATATTTCTCGAGACCTTCAAAGTCTCTTGATAAAAAAGTTCGATTAATTGAAACGCCTGCATCACCACCAGAGAATGAGAAAATTCTGTTAGAACATGTTGATCCTGTTTTCATCATGGAAAACGATGAATTAATACGATACTATCGTCCTGATTTAATCGAACATTTAGTTCATTGTCCTCTGACACAAATTGAATATGAAAGAAGTTATTTTTCAAGTGAACAAGATTGTCTTCGAACTTATGAATTCCTTTCTTTACGAACAGATATCTTTTGTCTTCGTTTTCGATTTGAATCGATTCGTTTTTGTCGAAATTAAAAAGAAAAGAAAAGATTTGCTTTTTCTGTTTTGATCGGCATTTATTGCTTGTCAAAAACAAACAAAATGAGATGTTTCAGAAAAAAAACAATTTCATAAAAAATGAAAATGAGAAGAAATAAAGAGACTAAAAGTAAACCTAGATGTTAAAAGGAAAAACGATTAGAAAAGTACGCTAGCTAACGCTTGACGTTCATTTCCGATTTTGTGATTGTTTAATAACCAGATGATGGTTGTTGTGGTTGTGGACGGAAGAAGTCCTTTTGTTGTGAGAAGACTTGTAGTTTTTGTGGTTGTTGGTATCCGCCATATGAGACTTTTGGTAAATCTTGTTGGATTTGGATTTGTGGTTGTTGGTATCCGCTGAATGATTTTGGTACATCTTGTTGTGGGATTTGGATTTGTGGTTGTTGATATCCACCGTATGTTTGTTTTGGTAAATCTTGAATTAATGGGGTTTGGACTTGACCGTATGTTGAGACTTGATCGAGTTTTGGTTGGGTGAAGGTTTTAGTTTGGACTTGTCCGTATTGTGGAACATCAGTTTGTGGTGTCATTGATCGTGGGGCTGATCCGTATGATGATTGACCGTATGATGGGACTTGTGGTGTTTGATCTTCGAATGAGAGTCCTTGCATATCTGGCCAGACACAAGCTTTGTTGAGTTCATCCCAAACTGTACCACCTGGGCATGTTTCAATAAACATTAAGTCACCGTTGCACATGATGAAACCTTTGTCGCTGAAGGCTAATGGGAATACTCCATCAACACCTGTGCATGGGCTTGGTGTGGCTTGTGAAGCTGTAAGACCATAGGCACGGCCGTTTTGGAGGATGCAAATGTGTTTAAGAGCAGCTCCCCATCGAAATGATTGACATTTGGTATCTGGTGATTGACCGCATGGTTGTTGGGTTTGGCAGACTGTGGCATCTAATTCGCAGTGTTCACCATCGAAACCTGGAGCACATTGGCATTTGTATGATGTGAAGTCGGTTTGAACACATTGTCCGTTGTTAAGACATGGTTGTGATGAGCATGGGTTTTCCAATGGGCCTAATTTGCGTTCGCATCGGCGTGATTCGGGGTGGAAGAGAAGACCACGTGGGCATTGTTGTTCTTGACCTTTGGCTTCATCAATGCAGATAACAAATCGTCGGCCGTTATCTAATGGGATGACGGTTTCTGGGCGTTGACCACGGCAGAGGTTGTCTATGAAAACGAGTCAAGGTCAAAATCTCCGATCATCTCGAAAAGAAAGTATTTTCTCTTACCAGCTTCAGTTGGGATTGTGGCATCATCGATGATCTTTTTCAATTGTAATTTTTGTTCTTCCAATAATTGGATTTGTGTTGGTGTTGGTCGGGCCATTGGGTATGTTTTGGGGAGTGATTGGTCGTATTGTTGAACTGGTTTGCGGATCATGGATGGAGCAGCATATTGTTGACCATATCCGGTTTGGACGGGTTGGATTTCTGGTTGTGAAACACGTTCATCAAGTGCTGGTTGTGGGAAAACTTGTGATTGTTGTCCATATCCAGTTTGGGTGAATGATGGTTGTTGAACTTGTTGGCTTCCGAAATCACGGATGAGGTTTGCCGATGAAACTTGGGGCATTTGAACAGCTCCATATGAACCATATGAAACTAAATAGAAATGAAAGGAACTAGATCGAGAATTTCGAAACGAAATTCGCCGTACCTGATCGTGCCAAAGCTGAGCTCGACAGAGCGAGCAAGCAAACGAATGAAATCTATTTGAAAAGAAAAACCATCGAAATTAGATAGGATTTGAAAAAAGAAATCATTTGAACATACCCAAGTCATTGCTAACAATCGTATTAATCGATAATGTTAAACCTTTAGGTTTGGAAGATGAATGGTAAAGATTTATGGATTGGAGGCATCTTTTTATACCCCTCATCGACCTACCCTAGACAAAGTATTTACAAAGAAGCGAGTGATATGATGTGATGTGATATGATATCACTCTGTGCTTTCTTTCTTTATATGTTAACATATATTCCACAATGGTATTCTCTTTCTTCTAGTTGTCTAGGCTAAATCATCCAGGGCGCGATCACATAGTATCCTCATATGGAATAAAAGAATTATGGAGATGATCAGAGAATAAAGATATTTCTAGAACGAATCGGACCACCATGTAACGAAAGTTCACAATATCGTTTTGGTACATTCGTCATCGAATTAATTATTCGAATATTCATTTACGGAAAATCATTTCTAATTAATGAGAAAATATTTCCACTATGACACAGTTTTCATCAACATTTGTCATAAAAACTTTTATCTGGAAGCGTTTATGTTTATGTGATAGTGATGACCAATTTAAAGATATACGAATTATTTGAATGATACTTGTTAATGATTATGAAATTATTCAACAATTTCGAAAATAAAAGAGAATTTCCAGAGTAAGCCGCATTTTGACTGTTTTCAAAAAATGAATATATCACTGAAATCGATCAATATGTTCGTTGTTCCATTTAGTAACTTCTGAAAGAAGAATGAAATTTTCAGCAGTTTGGACTAATCAATATCTTGGATCCGATTTCTACAAGAATACTGATTTTCTCATTTACTTTTTTTAAATACGCATATCTCTTGCAAGAAATTCGAAGATTTCGCATAAATACGATCTAACACATTAAATTTGTTAATTTATTCTCAATTCACTGATGAAATTTTCAACCAAATTCTCATTTGCTTTTGTTAATTCAATTCAAATTAGTTTTAATCATATGCGAAAAATCGTTTCACGAAGAAAACATGCCTTCTGTATTACATTTTCTCTTTTCACATGCATAAAGAATGTTCTTGACGTGCAAAAGTTATTCCACCACAGAATATTCGAGAGGATTCATCGATCCGAACAGTATAGAAGAAAGAATTCACTTCGTTTTAACATAATTCTATCCGCATCGAAAGATATTCCATAAGATTTTTTGTATTTTGATTTGGTGAATTCAACACAAAACTTTATAGTAAGTTGAATAAAGATTTGTTCATCGGTATATCTGTTGCAAGATGATCATCGCTGAGATTTTCGCGTTTCGTTCATGAATCAATCAAAATGAAATGTTCGATTTTCGAAGTTATCAATGAATAGTTCGTAGAACTTTCCTGCAAAATCATTTAAATTTTTTGTCAAAATATCTTCGACAATGTGATACGATTGAAGTTGGGGTTCTAGTGGAGATTTGGATTTATATTTCATATTGGGTGATTCAGAGTGCAAAAACATCTTCTCCAAATGAGAAAAGAAATAAAACTGGATTAAAGTTTATTCTTGAATGGAAAATTTCAGATCTGCTGGATTGTTAGTCGACATACTGAATAAAGAATATGAATTCATTGAAAGAACGTGTTTGATATGATTCGAATCGTGTGGCAGACTGATATTGATATCGATGTGTTTATATTAAGTAAAAGGCTATTTAGTGGAATGTTATTTTTGTTTTTAATCTCTGAGAAACAAGAAATCTTCTATCATAAAATGTTGATTGATTGATACTATTTTCTATTCAATATGAAATATTTTCTTTCATCAGTTTGTCAAGATCAAATGAGATAAATTTAATTAACCTGTTTTACTTTTTCAAATCAAAACAAAACTCGATGTTGTCGATCCTCTCAATGTATTTGACAAAAGTCATTTCCTTTTTCTGTCTCAGGAAAACCATACCTTTTGTCAATATAATACATCGAGGTGTCTGTTAACGAACGATGTTAGTCTTCGAGATGTTGATTTTTATGTCAAAGAGAACAACATACACATTTTTCCTTTGCCACTCAGCGTTTATATAGTAACATTTGTCTTGTCTCTTTATGATCGATGTATAATACTGTTGCTGTTCTCTTCGCATATGTCGGCAAGTTTTGGGATAGAATGTCTTTCTCTCTCTCTCTCTGTTCTTTATCATTACAAGCATTTCGTCTTCTCATTATTAACATCAACAAGGATATTGAGTCGCATAAGGCAAGTTGTTGATGGAGAAACAAAGATGAGACGATTTTCTCTGGAATTTGGTCTGAAGACTTGAGAAGAATTTTCATATTTCTTTTTAGATTCGAAATCTTCTCAATGAATTCATCGACAGGGTCTTCATATACATTACCAGCAGTATCTTCACCTTATCAACATCTTTCAGCAAAACGAAGTCACAGTTCTCATTCAACATCTGTTTCAACGAACGATTTACGCGACTTAGCTAACACACTTCAAGAATTGAATAGTAATTTCAAACAAAATATTAAAGTTTTAACGGAAATTAAGGATTATATCGCGAAAGTTTGTGATAAACAAGATTCTCGACCGGTCGATGACAATTCTGGTGTTCATAAACTTGAACGGGTAAGTTCGTTTCACTTGAAAACTTTTCTTTATTAAAAAGCAAATGAATACTCATGAAAAACAACTTCCTAGTAGTTCATTCGAACCATATTTGATTTAATCTGACAAGGGAGATTCGACAAAAACTAATTAATAAAACAATTTCATTGATCCAGAAGACTATCAATGAGCTTCTTCTCCTTCGAGTATAAAGAAAAAAGAAGAATTCATTGATGCTAGTTTAATTATTCTAACAATAACATTCTACAAAAACGAGGAGTAATTAGGAAAGAAAAAGAGTCTAATTTCGTCAAGAATTGTTTAATAATGAGGTGCTGAATAAGCAGGCGGAGGCGGTGGATGAAGAACATTTGCGAAATTATCGAATTCATCGCCTTGGTTTTGACAAAAATTTCCCGAAATGAGTGAACCAATTGTTAAAATAAGTGAAATAATGAATGATAGAACACCGCAGATGAAGAGAAGAACATTGACAACAACTTCTTTTTGTTCCATTGATGTACGTTGATTGGCATTTGTTCGACCTTCGAAGATATAACGTTGAAAAACGATGATTGAAGATAAAAATAGAAATAAACTAAGAAAAATTGAAATAAATCCAAGAAATGCCACAATTCGCATGGAAATTAACGTTTTCTCGCGATGACAAATCAAACAAAAGATTCCAACACCGATGAAAAACAATCCACACCATATTCCTTTCGCAAGTGTTGGCCAAATCGATTGTTCCGAGTACGAACTTGGAACTGTATACTGAACGACTTGACCCGTTGAGTTAATTGTTGTAACTGTTGATCGACTATTACTTAAATCGATCGAGGAAAGTATAACAGAAGCCATTCCGAGCAGAATTAAGAGAATTCCAAGTGGAACAAGAAATGTCGTTGAACGAGAAACGAGTTTTGTTGAGTAAATATTTTCCATATCGACGTGAGATGTTCGATTGAGAGAAAGAAATGAAATGAATGACCGAGGGAAGAAGATGATCAGGTCAACACGTCATGCTTGAATGAATATGAAGAGAAAATGAATGTTGAACTATGTTCTCTTTAGGTCACTGTTGAATTACGTTTAGTGTTTTTGAAAATTGGAGAAATTGATACACTAAAAGAACAATTTCAAGCTGAAGCATTTATTCAAGCACGATGGGCTGAACCGACCTTGAAAGGAACGGTAAGTGACATGTAAGTATGTATAACACTTATAAGAATGAATTTTTGCATTTCAAAGATAAACGTTTATTTGATTTTCTTGAATAGAACATCGATTCTTTTGATCCAAATAAATTTTGGAATCCATTGTTATATGTGGATAACTCGGTGGGAGATTTGAAGAATGATACATGGCATAAAGTTGTGTATGATGGAATTGATACACCGATGGTATTAAAAAAAATAGAAGTTTTGTTATTTCAAACTATTTGATTTTGAATGTTTAGATTTATGAAATGAGAAAAGTGAAAGGCGTGTTTCTGGAGAATCTCGAATTGAATGACTTTCCTGTTGATGTTCAAGTAATTTCATTGATTTTCTTGAGAAAATCTCAGGAAATGTTTTCCAATCAGGATTTATCCATCACCGTTTCAACAACTCGCACGGTAAATGAAGTTTACTTAACAGCAGATACAAGTCAGTTAAGTGCAATCAATACACGTAAGATGAAAAAAAAAGGATTCTAGATGAAACTTTGTCTTTTCTCTTTGTCAAGATGCATTTATCGATCAACAAGAATGGCGTTTACATGAACATGTCGAAACGTCAACAAAATTTCTATCAAATCCGTTTACACCTTCACAAAATCAGCATCCAGCATTTTCTGCTACTTGTAAAAAGAATTATTTTGAAAACTAATTGAACAAAACTTATGTTTTTCAGGCCGAGCTGCTCGACGACCGGGATATTTCTATTGGAATGTTTATTTTCTAATCGTAAACTTCACTTTCGAGCAAACCTTGTCAATTAATCAATGAGATTTTCTAGTTTTTCATCACCGTAATGGCATTTGCAACATTTAGTGTAACATACAATCTTCCACAGAATCGTCTTCAATTAAGTTTTACCCTTCTTCTCACATCTGTCACATTCAAATGGGTTGTTGTTCGATGTTTGCCGACAATATCCTATTTAACAACTCTAGTAAGTCAATTTCTCTTCGCAAATCTCGTCTTTTTTTCAAAAATTCATCTCATTTAGGATAAATATGTTCTTTTATCCATGGTTATGCTATGCACTGTATGCGTATGGCACGCAATTATTGCTGTTTTCCCAACCGATATCGCACCATACTGGGATAAAATTGCTTTTATATCTTTCGCTGTAATTTATACACTATTTCATGTTGTTTTTTTTCTTTGGATGTATTTTGTGGTGAGTTGTCTGAACTGTAGTCGATAATTTTCACTTCGACATTGGTTTCTATTTAGACTTACCGACGACGGCGGGTAATGAAACGAAAAGATCGAGAATATTTAGTAAGTAGAGAGCGATTCTTATTGGATTTGTCAGTACAAAACAAGTTTTGTTGATGCATGTAATCAATTGATTAGATCGATCTTTGTTTTTGCCGAGAAAAATTACAATAACATTGCCTTCTATTTTATTTATTTTTCTTTTTAGAAAGATCGTTTGGAGCATTTATCAACATTCGCAAATCAATCCAATGATGAACCAAATAAACATGTGAGTTCATCAGCTGCCACGACTGTTTTACGACGAACGACAAATGTCAAAGTTGATCGTCGATTGTCGAATTCGTCCGATGGAACATTTCGACGTCATTCAGTCGAAACAAATCATCAAATTTTAACCAATCGTTATGCAATTGATGGAAATTATCGTGCCACGTCGATTTCCAATCCATTTCATTCGACAAATTCTTTTCATAATAATTACAATGGACAACGTGTTTTAATCACATCGGGTGATATTGAAGCAATGACAATGAAACAATTTCAAATGGGTTCTCTTGGATGTTAATCTTTTGTTTTCTTTTCTTTTGTTGATTCGATAAATTATTAATAAACTTTTTTTATTTAAATATTCAAATTGTTTTTTCATTCATCAGACAAGGTCTTTTCAAACACGACAAAGATCTTGTCTTACAAAGAAAATTTGCTTTTAGATTGCATGATAACAATCACATCTCGTTCCTCAACCTTAGAGTACATTTTCTGTTTCTCTATTCTTAGACAATCACACTTGAACTTTGTTTCATAATTAATCAAAAGAAAATTGTAGTTATCATCATAGTCAAAACAGTAGTATTGATTGTTCGAGTAGTGAAAATTTTTATTATTTAAAACGGTGTTTTTATCTGATAATGAAAATATTTATCATTTGATTAGACTTCTTTATTAGCTCATATTGGATTTCGAAGAGTTTCTTAAGAAGAAAGAAAAGATGTGCGAAATAAACTTTTTTCTTCGTATGTTACTTACAGAAAGGTGGTCTTTCTTCAGATTTGTATTATTTTCAAGGAATATTCAATTGGTTGTTGAAAGAAACAAAAAAAATCTTCATTTGAAGAAATCGATTTCTTTACTTCAGGTCGAGCAAATATGTATGAGATGGTTTGAAATGAATATTTAATAAATGACTGTCATTTTTGCTCACTTCACACGTCGTTGAATTTGTCAAGAAACGTTTCATGAGAATTTTTTTGTTCTTCATAGAATTTCAATTTTTACAAAAATGAACAGATAAGAATTCTAACGGCATTAATATTCTGTATGGATGGTGTATGACTTTAATCTTTTAAGATCGATATGAAATCTTTCGAAATAAGAAATTTACTCAGAGCAAAAGATTAGCTGTAACATTAACACCGACTCGACCTATAAATATAAACTTCTTTTCTCAGCTACACTGAGCAATTTCATTAAGAGCAACATACGATGGTAATCTTTGTAAAGACAGAAGTTTTTTTTTAATAATTTCTCTCGAGAAAACATTTGTTAACAAGATCCTCTTCTACTCTGTGTAATACAGAAGTGAAAACACTGGTTGAATATGTTGGAAGAAAAAATTTAATTAAGAACTGAAATTATGTCAATAGATGTCACAAGAATCGATTTGAAAAGTAAAAGGGTAAGGAAGTTATTGATGGCGACTAACAAACAAATGAGGAAATAGTAATCCATCATTTCCGTAAGTTACTTTGAATTCTAATCATTTATCGTTGATCAAAATCGCCTTTTCTTCCATTTTAGAGTTCACCAATCTCTTCATATCTTTTCTTCCAAAAGACAGATTTTAATACGAAGTTGTTTTTTCTTGTCATGAACATATAAATGAAGAAGAAAGGGTTTGAATAATTAATTTGATGTGTTCATCTTTAGATAAAACATCTTGTCATATGTCAAAAATCAGCCAGACAAGATTTTTCTCTTTACTCTTCATTTAAAATATTTTCAACATGGCAAAACACGAACAAATCAACAGCAACATTCCACTGGATTTTGATTTTGATGATTCCAAGAAACAAGGAACACGGTATTGTTAATAAAGATTTTCTTTCGTTAAAAAACCATTTACTCAGTTGGTCAATACACAAGAGAAAAATATCTCTTTCAGTTTTCAGAATAAATTTCCCTCTTGATCGTTTGAGGATTCTCTTTTAATTTATCAACAAGTCGAAAAAATCAGATGAACAAGTAAAATATTGAAAATGAAAAGTTTCTTCATCCCGCTTCTTCGATTATTCTTCCTGCCATCTTTTGCTTGTGGACCTTTTAATTATTACAGACGTTAGATGAGTGCATCGTTCTTTCCTTCTTTTTCTTTGTAAAACGTTCCTTTCTCTATGATTACTATTATTCCGTGTCTCGTCTAATACAAAGAAGAGAAATCTTTAAGCACAAAAGAAGGAAGACGAAGAAAAAAAGAACGTTTGTAAGAGTTACAAATAGGAGAAGAATGCATTCAACGTCAAGTTGATATGAAAAATAAGGATAAAGAAGACAAAGATGCACGATGGAAGCGGCTCTATATATTGACGAACATAGAGAAAGTGTGCATGTGATTAATTCGCGTTGGAGCTCATCTGATTTAATGAGAAGAAGTCAGAATTAAATGTCTATATGAAACCGTAAGTAAAAATCACGTGCGAAAATTGAATTATTGATGAAAAAGGCGTTATTTATCTAGATAAAATGACATTAATCGAATGACATTAAATAGAGATAATCATCAAAGTTTGCTTTTTCATTTAATTGAAAGTTGAGTTATTAAAGAAAAGAAAATTATATGTTAATTTACCAGGGAAATATATGATTTCATCTGTAATCTTCTATTCTTTTTATTTATTGATAATTTTCCCCCTGACGTCATTGTTTTTGTTCGCAAAAAAATGTAAAAGAAAACCTTCTCTTTTCCCTTTTCTTCTTCAGTTATCTTTGATGTCAAAAATTATCATTAGGAGATTCTTTGTCAAGAATGTCTTTTCAATTTATTCGTCTAGCTGGACTAAAAGAAATATTCCAGATGAAGAATTGATTCTCATCTGAAGGTCGACTATTTCTCTTCACTATCGACAGATGGATGATAGTTTGTCTTCTATTTTCCCTATTGATTATTATTACATATTCGCAACATTTCTTTTCTCGTATATAGATAGAGAGAGAGAGAAACAGATAGAATGATATTCGCCTACTTAGATAATAGAATTTGGTTTTGCTATTAGGGAAAAATGTGTAATGTAACATCGATGTGAGTCGAATCTCAAGGTTGTTTCATATTTCATATTTTCTTTTCTTTATTTAGTGTATTTAAAAAAAGTAGTCCAAACTCAAAGGTATTTACTCTGTTCAATTTTCTTTCTTGGTAATTGATTTGTGTATTGCTTTGAATAGATTACATGTTATCTCGGGAAAAGAGATTTCATCGATTATATGGATCATATTGATCCAATCGGTATGGAAAAATAATTTGTTCTGGAAATGAAATTAATCGATTTTGATTTAGATGGAGTTGTTCTAGTCGATCCTGAATATGTTAAAGATCGCAAAGTCTATGCATCAGTATTAGCAGGTAAATTCTCTTATTAATCATTCTGTTTTACTTATGAACGTTTCTTTTCTAGCGTTTCGATACGGTCGAGAAGATCTTGATGTTCTTGGTTTAACATTTCGAAAAGATTTATTTTGTTCAACTCAACAGATTTATCCTCCTATCGACGATCAAAAGAAGTCTCTAACACATTTACAGCAACGTCTATTACGAAAATTAGGGTCCAATGCGTATCCATTCTATTTCGAAGTAAATTTCATCGAAGCAAAGTTCTTTTAAACGAACATTTTCGTTAGATTCCTCCACATGCACCCGCTTCTGTAACATTACAACCAGCTGCAAGTGATACAGGAAAACCTTGCGGCGTTGACTACGAATTAAAGACCTACGTTGCTGAAGCAAATGACGATAAATCGCATAAACGAAGTTCCGTTCGATTAGCAATTAGAAAACTAACCTACGCGCCTGAAATTCCTGCGCCACAGCCAGTTATCGAAGCACATAAAGAATTTATGATGTCACCAGCACCTCTACATTTAGAATGCACGTTAGACAAAGAGGTTCGAAGACAGAAGAAAACGATCTTTATATGTCAAAATTCTATTTAGATGTACTATCATGGTGAAAGCATCAATGTTAATGTTGTTGTGACGAATAATTCAAATAAAACTTTACGAAAGATTCGTATTGCAGGTAANGCGCCACAGCCAGTTATCGAAGCACATAAAGAATTTATGATGTCACCAGCACCTCTACATTTAGAATGCACGTTAGACAAAGAGGTTCGAAGACAGAAGAAAACGATCTTTATATGTCAAATTTCTATTAAGATGTACTATCATGGTGAAAACATCAATGTTAATGTCGTTGTGACGAATAATTCAAACAAAACTTTACGAAAGATTCGTATTGCAGGTAAATATTTTTGGTTTTTCGAATTGATTTCTTTTTTGAAATGTTATGAAGAAATTTTTTGAGAGAAGAAAGATTTTTGTCATAATACATTGTTTATATCTACTCAGTTGTACAAAATGCAGAAATCTGTCTGTACTCATCAACACAGTACAGATGTGATGTCGCCGCACTCGAATCGAGGTAATTTTATCTGAAATATTCGTTGTTTTGTTGTACTTAACAATCGCTTCTGTTAATCGAATTCTTCGGTTTGTCCTTCAATGTTGTCATGCTTTAAATGTTGTGTTCTAGTGAAACAATTTGCTGAAATATGTTTATTTACAAATGCACATTACAAATGTACAGTTGCTGACCTAGAAAGCGAGTATGAACTTTGATAAAACATTTGTTTTCTTCGTGTTGACATGTTCGAAAAGCAAAGTTGAGATTCAATGAGTTTTGTTTTGAATTTTAGTGAAGGATTTCCAGTTACACCATGTTCAACATTAACCAAAGTTTATTCACTGACGCCACTGTTGGCGAATAATAAAGATAAACGAGGTTTAGCCTTGGATGGCAAATTAAAACATGAAGATACGAATTTAGCGTCGTCGACTATGTAAGATTTGCATTTTGAAACAAAAAAGAAACGAATAACAAAATCGGATTTCGATTTGATTTAGAATGGGAAGTAACACTCAGAAGGAAAATCTCGGTATTGTTGTTCAATACAAAGTCAAAGTGAAAATTGTTGTTTCAATGGGAGGGTAAACGATTCAATTTAATGAACAATAGGTTGTAAAAATATTTTCATCAAATAGAGATTTATCTGTTGAATTGCCATTTACGTTAACTCATCCCAAACCGCCCCCAACACCCTCACCATCTCGACAATTCGATCAACAATGTAGGGATGGGAATCAAGCTAACGATATTCCTATTGATCATAATTTGATTCAACTTGATGCAAAGTTCGATGAAATGTTTGGCAAAGAAAACGAATTCATTGATATGTTTTTGTTTAGTTTTGATGGAAATGGCCATGATGATGATTTTATTTTTGAAGAATTTGCTCGAATACGTCTTAAAGGTCATGAAGATCCGGATGAAACTGAAACTTAAACCATTGATTGAACTCTCTCATGTCTATTAAATACAATGACGTGATCTTTAATTCTTGATTATTGTTTTTTTTTCTCGTCTTTGTATATAAATAGTGTTGTTTAAATGTATCTTTCATCGTCAGTATTAAGAAAAGAAAAGGGAAACATGAGGCGAAGCAAAACAAACAATTATATTAAGATACAATTATGAACTGAATCATTACTTCTAAGATATCCTCCTACAACAGTTTGATTTGGTTGATGAGTTGGTGTTGTCGTCATATGGTATGGGTAATGTATTGGTGTTATTGAATGATAAGATGGATGCATTGGTGGTATGATATGATTTGAGTGTGAAATCGTTGGATGAACATAAACAGGTGTCATAACTGGTGGATATACTGGACTGGATGGAGTGATTGACATGTCACTATCACCGGGAAGAGCGAAACTGACGGCATTAGCAGTCGGTAAAAGTTGTCCATGTAGATAGACACGATGATTATCTTTTGCATGGTCAAAATCAATAATCTTAAAAAAGAACGGATCAGCGTCAGGAACTAAATGGCCCATGTAAAAGACTCGATGCATATCTTTTACTATAGAAAAAAGGACGTTCTTTTTTATCATAACTCACATAATGTTTAAGTATGTTCTTTATTTTCGATGGTCTGTAAGATATATTTGATGGTTTTCAAAAGAATTTGTTAGCGGGATGGTAGTAGTAGGTAAACAGTGTTAACCATTCATCTGTACAACTCTGCCATCTGTCGACTGCTAATCAGTTAGAATGAACTTATTATCTGCTTTTCTTCTGCCTTCAAGAAAAATAGAAGATTCATTCCCAGGTCGATCATTCCGGCGACTGGATCCGTTGAAATCTGAGTCGGTTCCGGTACAGCTCTTCTCGATTCCGGCAGGTTCCTTGCCACCGGATTCCAGCCGGAATCCGGCGGCAAGGAAATAGTCGAAAAACGAACCTAACCGGCCGGAATCGACCGTGCCATAATAACCTGGGTTGTTGCTTGCTGTATGTACATTCATATCTGAAGATGGAAGCATTTAATTTATTCAAAGAACGTTTAAATCAACTTAAATCACCAACATTTATTGACAAAAATGAGTGCATTGACAAAATCGAAGAGCTGGTATTTCAATTATGTTTATCCAACGACGTTAAATTAAATGATCCCAGGTCAACAAATCCGATGCTGGATCCGATCGGATCCGAGACCGTCAGACTCCGAAGCGATTCCGTCACCAGGGTTTCATTGGATCCGTCGAATTCTTGTAGGATCTAATAAAATCCTATATCGGATCCGATGGGATTATTCAACCTGGGATGTCATCAAATCGAAGCCATTAGAAAACACAACAGAATTATATGTAATAGAAAGATATTTTACTTCTTCAATAAATACTCAAATATGAATCAAAGTAATTGACTTTTTCGAAAAAGAATTTCTATGGAACAAAGTATTTTAGATGACTCACGGAAAGTGGCTAATCAATTGATTCAACAACTTCAAATGAGCTGGTGTGATTTATATAATACGTAAGAGCTTATTCGCAATACCATGGATGTGCCATCTTTAAATCTGGTAAAGAACGATGCTTTTAATATTATTGGAAAAATCTATGAGAATGAGTTTTTAAAAGACATTAAAGCGCAATAACCGATGTTATTTATATGAAAACTTTTTATCTTTAATAAACTATTGATATTTATTTCTAAATCGTTTAAAAGTAAGAGGATAAAACATTTAGATTTAGAGACGATGTGGACGAATTTTGTTTACAAGTTATAATATGCTCTTCTTGGTTTAGAGAAATAACTTCTGAAAGATATTGACGCTTTTTTAATTTAAGTAAATATTACAATATTCTATTAAAATTAGAATATTGCTTTTCTTTAGGATCAGAATCGATTCCGTGATCATTTCAATCTTATTCGAAAATTAATTGAGTTGATTTTTAAAAAACTTCTCAACTATTCAAATCAATGTTCATGTAATATTCAATAAAAATAAAGGAAAAGAATTTATAGCAATCAGTCAAATTTATTTTTTTTATCATGAATCGTAATGCAATGAAATCACTAATGTTATAGATTAGATGCGCTCGAAATGAACACAGAAAAAAAGAGGCGCTAAAATTAATCTTTTGACTTGATCTTGAAAATAAAACGAAAGAGCCATCTAAATACAGCGGCTCTGATCCAGAATATGTCAAAGATCCTAAAGTCTATGCATCAGTATTAGCAGGTAAGGAACATCTTTAATCATATTCTACTAAGTCATGAAATTTTTCAAGCATTCGATGTGGTCGAGAAGATCTTGATATTCTCGGTTTAACATTCCGCAAAGATCTATTTTGTTCAACTCGACAAATCTATTCTCCCATTGACGATCAAAAGAAATCATTAACACATCCCAAACCACCTACAAATCCATTACTATCTCGACAATTTGATCATTAAACAACGGATGTTTCGATCGAATATAATTTGATTCAACTTGATGCAAAGTTTGTCCCAAGATTATTTTGTTAAATGATGAAAGAAACATATTTTGCAAACTTTTTTGTTTAGTTTTGATAGAAATGGTCATGATGATGATTTTATTTTTGAAGAATTTGCTCGAATACGTCTTAAAGAGCGTGCTAATTGATCAATCGATTAATCTTCTTTCTACGAAAATAGACTGACCATGATCTTTTTGATTCTTAATTATTGTTTTTTTTCTCGTCTTTGTATATAAATAGTGTTGTTTAAATGTATCTTTCATCGTCAGTATTAAGAAAAGAAAAGGGAAACATGAGGCGAAGCAAAACAAACAATTATATTAAGATACAATTATGAACTGAATCATTACTTCTAAGATATCCTCCTACAACAGTTTGATTTGGTTGATGAGTTGGTGTTGTCGTCATATGGTATGGGTAATGTATTGGTGTTATTGAATGATAAGATGGATGCATTGGTGGTATGATATGATTTGAGTGTGAAATCGTTGGATGAACATAAACAGGTGTCATAACTGGTGGATATACTGGACTGGATGGAGTGATTGACATGTCACTATCACCGGGAAGAGCGAAACTGACGGCATTAGCAGTCGGTAAAAGTTGTCCATGTAGATAGACACGATGATTATCTTTTGCATGGTCAAAATCAATAATCTTAAAAAAGAACGGATCAGCGTCAGGAACTAAATGGCCCATGTAAAAGACTCAATGCGTATCTTTTGCTGCAAGAAAGAAAAGAGGAACGTTTTGTTTTTTAGTAAATAGTATATTATTTCTAGTGAGATCATACCCCATCCTTCGCCTAAGTCTTGGAAAGTAATAAAATCTGCTTCTGGTAACAACATATTTCCGTAAAAAATATGAAAATTTTGCTTCGTATAGGCAGGTACAGGTGAATACATTAGTTTTTCTTCATTAAGAAAATAAATAAATGAACTTTGTGCGCGCGTCATTTGGTTGGATTCAGTAAATTTGACATTGTATTCAATTATTTCCTCGTGTCACATTGAAACGAAAACGAGCTAATACGGCAGTCATTACAGATACAGAAAACGAGTAGTGTAGAAATCGTCAAGCCGATTCAAATAGTGAAGGTGTCAACATAATTTCTCACCCATTTTCGCTCAGTTTGAATAGATTCGATATCATACTCGGCAATTATTTTAATAAATAGGCATCATGTTTCGATTAAATCAAGTTATAGTACAACACGTATAGGAAGCGCCCTTTTGTCGTATTTTTATGTTCATTCTTTACGACGACATTTAGGTGATATTTTAATAATTATAGTGGAAAAATTCTTGGAATAGAACGTAGATGTGGGTGAACAGTGTGGATGTCTGAGCTGTCTTACTCTGTTCTCTTTTGACTATTAATCTTATTATCATAAACTAAAAATCTACTTTTCTCTCTTGTGATTTTGTTTGATTTGTATTTCTATTGTCTTTTAGGTTTATGAAAACAAAAAATGCAAGAAGATATAATGAATTTAAGAGGAAACATTCTGGTATCATCGATATATATACATCCTCGATTCATATTGATTTAATTGAAAAAGTTGAGCAAACTATGTTTCCATTGTTTGTTTTATTCCATACGAAACTAAACGCTGTTCGCGAAGAATTACATGGAAAAAGCAACAAACTACATGTGATAAATAATGAATTAGTAAAAACTCTACAACAAGTTCATCATTTGAAAAGAAACTCGTTTATAGCTAAGTAATCAAATGTTTCAATTTGTCAATAGAAGCATTAACTAATATTGTTGCACGGTCAATAATCGAATTATTTAGTTGTCAAGAAACACGCCTGATAAATACATCAATTGATAGTTTGATAGGCGAATTCTGCAAAGAAAAACAAGTTTTGGTAAGAATGCATTTGAAGAGAACTTTCGTGAACATTCTTCTTTTCGTAGTGTCAAGATACGTCAATATCAGAAATAATAAATGCAATGAAAACAAGATCATTTTGGCGTTGGATTACTCCCGAACAACAAAAAGATGCTGAGCTTATTCAAAAATGGGATCGACATGGACATTTAAGAAAAATTATATATGTACCAAACATATATTAAAGAGAATGTTGAAGTGATCGAAATTCATATGAGATTATAACCAAAGTCGCCTAATGTGTAGTAAGTTTTGTTTCATATGATTGCTTTTATTCTTTTGTATAATATTTGAATATCTTGATGAACAAAATCGAGGAACTGTCAAAAGCATTTCAGAAAATGAAAGCTAGTGACATACTTCAATCAAAAGAAAATTTCGAAATATTCTTTGTGCTTCGATGAAAGAAAGAATATATAAAATTTGACTTATATTAATTTCAATTTTGACGCCGAATCATTGATTCGTCTACATGATACTGATTGAGATTGAACAGTTGGCGTGTTAAATATATCTAAGAAAAGGATAGTACAATAAATGTCTTATATTAGAAATACTTGTTATAATCACAACACCAGAAAGAAACTCTTAGGTTCTGACATCAGTAACGGTGACTTAGATTTTTTTATACATATTTTCTTTGAACTTGATCGTCTCATCCAAGCTATCACAAAACATATTTTCAAGTACTATCATAACCTTGTAAAGTGCGACTGGAAGCGCTTCGTGTACACATTCGAAAAGCTAATATGTATATATCGATAAGCATATATTTGTATCATGTGAATATGATTAACCAAAGAAGATCAGAAACTCTTTTGTATTCAAAAAAAATTTATTATTGTTGGTTTCCGACGATAAAATGAAAAAGCAGACATAGACAAAAACATGAACTAAGTTTAGAAGCAAAAAAAAAGAAACGAAAGATTTTCCCAAGATCAAATTATTGTTCAGCGCCTGTTTCTTCTTCTGCATTTGCTTGATCTTCATCACGTTCATCAAGAATATCATCTAAATACATTTATTCCATTGATCNTTCTTCGTTACCTGAGTTCTTCAAGATAGAGTTCAGTTTGAACGTCAACATTTCTTCGATCATGTACAGGTTCAGGTGTTCTTGTACGAATCTGTTCTCGAGCTTTTCGTCTTGCTATCGCCCGTCGTTTCGCCTCTTGTTGACGTTGAACTTCAATCGGATCTGGTTGAGCATGCTATTTAAACAGAATAAAAAGTTCGAATTTTATTGTCAAATTACCAAGAAAATCACTCACAGCAGGAAGTGTATGAAGTGCATAAGTGTTTCCACGGATAACACGACGATCATACATGATATTTCCATAAATATTGCTTTCATCCCTGAAGTAAATATTGTCAAGACTCAAGTGAAACATATCAACGAAACATACTGCGAATCAACAGGTGCTTGCCGAAACTTTTGTCGTTGTCCTTGCAATTGTTGGACGGCTTTAGGCTGACTGGCAAATGTATATGTTGAATTAGGTGGTTTAACAAGTGTAGCGGCCATATTTCCTGCGAAGAATCGTGATTGATTATTCTCAAATCTGAATAAGTAATTCAAATATATTCACAACGAAACAAATCATGTCACTAAACAGCAATCAAAAAACAAAATCTTTTCTGTGAGTATATGTTTTATGCCCAACAACCATAGTTTACAAATGACAAGACATCATGGCTATCGTTGTTACAGCGAAGACTCCGCTTAGATATTTTCATTCGAATTTAGCAGATCAATATTCGTTGCAGAGTGATTCGTTCATGTAATGAATTATTCGAAAGACAAAACAAAAGATTTATCAATTTTTCAAAAGCGACATCTACTGATGCTCGGATGGCTTTAGCTGAGTAACTAAGCAACAAGTATATATTGATCTTTGCTAATAAAGATGCTTTATTTAACAAAATTATGGGTATTGTATCTGTTCATCATAGAAGAAAAAGAAGAAAAGAAAATATTTCAAAATAGATAGAGAGAGAGAGAAATTCTTAATGAAATGTATGTATAGAATAGATTTGAAATGAATACACAATATATATATATAAACAAAAACTAACTGGAGGCGATTTACAAAAAATACAAACACAAGCAATCGGGTATATTGAAAAGAACAAAAGAAAGAAGAAAATTTTAAATTGTTATAGTAAATTCAATTGAATAAGGACCAAAAAATGGTTCATCAAGCTCTGTTAATATAACATAAGTACGTCGTGTTGGACGTTCATCTGAATTGTTAATTGAACAATCATTTTCAGCTGAAGTTATTGCTGAATCAGTTGAGTATTCAGTTGAATATGACGGTTGTTCAATTGGAACTTCGGATACTATTGGAGCGGTGATTGATTCATTGATCTATTGAAAACCAAACTCTATCATTCAAAACAAAAATGGAAAAACACAAACTTCGCTTAGCGGCATTGGAGTTGGATCTTCAGTTGAACGATGTTCAAGTTGATCATCACTAAAACAATCGAATATTTATTGACAATACTTTTTTCATGTTTGTCTTACAGTTGATGAAAATGATCAATCAAATGTTGAAACATTCGATATTCTAAATATCCAACGAAAAAGTGTTTTTTTCACTTGAGATAAACTTCTTACCTGAACCATCAACCAGATTCGACATAGACGTCGAGTGTTCTTCAGATCCGTGCGTTGTTATACACGATGAACAAGAACATTTACTCGGTGCTCGACGTATACGTGAAGATCGTCGAAGTGGAGCAGGAATTTTCGCCGATAATCTACAAATAAAAGAAAATCTTACAAATTCGATCCTTTGATTATGATATGTTTACTTTTTATCAGTAAATCGAGGTGTGATGGAATATTTCATGTAGTTTAAAAGATCGTTTATAAAACTTCGACTGTAATTATTGTCTGTTTTCCATGTAGGAAGATTTGCTCGATTTTCGTTCAAGGATTTATTGATTTGAAAATCATTTTCTAGATGAAAAAGGAGAAGAATTTTATCGAAAACGAAGAAGATTCTGTACCATCATTGGAAAATGTTTCATTTTCATGAAAATTTCGTGATGAAATGTCGTAAATTCCTTGTTCTTTGAGAATCTTCTTGACAAATGATACCTTGCCAGGTTCGGTCATGTTGGACCAAAGATGTTCAATAAATTGAGTAACGATCGGACGATGTTTGAAATATGGACGAAATTGAAGGAAATATTCACTGAAAGAATACAAAGAACGGATTTCTTCAATGTGAAAACAAAAGATTTTACTTGCGAAACAGATCAAATGCACGTTCATCAGACGATTTCTCATTTTCAACAAATGCAGAATCTTAAATAAAAGTAAAAAAAAAAACATATTTTCATATTCGTTAAGTTCGAATCCAATCAATTAGAAAACCTTCGGAAGATTGTCGACAAAGTTTTTTCTTTGTTTGTTCATTAGAAGAAATAAATGAACCCTGATTTTCATTGTCTGGTCGAACACGTTTTAATGGATGACGACGGGATGTGTTACTAGTCATGTTTTAAATCAATAAATGACGATTGGATTTGATTTATTTCGTTCGTTCGTTCGTTCGTTTTCTCTTTCCCTTTGTTAAACGCACATGGAGATGATATTTTAGACCTCGATCAATCAGACAAATGTTTCCTTTGTTTTAACATAAAGATGATTGTGTAGTTGGATCGAAAGACAGTCATTTGTCTTGGTATAACAATAATGGAATGTGCAAATGGTAACCTACATACTTCATTCGTTCACTTCGAGTTCGGTAATGGTAGAAGAATTTCGGAAGGCATTCCAATGCGCTCTGTGATCTTTCTAAAACTTTTCATCAGAAAATGTGTTTTTTACAAGCTTTCAAGAGATACCGCAATTGTTCGATATTTTTTCACTTTTTGTATCAAAATAGTTGCATATCTAGTTGAAGTTCGAAGAACAAATTGTTCTTGCTTTTATATTGAATTATGTGACACTTCCTCAAAAGGTATCAGTTCTTATTTACTGTATTTCCAACCCAACTAGCATATTGATGCTCAGTCGTTCTCATGTTTTGTCCGATTATAAATATTCTTCCAGACGCTCACACTTAATTCCGAAAATGTATGTCGTATCTTCTAATAGACAGATGATGATGATGATTACGTAAGAATCAAAGAAGAGTAGACGTGTTGAGAAAATTCTTTTCCATCTATTTTCAATTTCGAGTGCATCATACATTGAGACATACATATGTTGTCAAACTGTATTAGCAATAACGACAGAGATATTTACTGAAAGATGAAATTCTATTTTTGTCTGAAAATCTTTATTTTGTTTTCAAAAGACACAATATGTCGAATATGTGCGAAGCTCTTTCTTTATTTAGTTTATGTTTATCTCTTGTTTTTCGTTTTGGACAAAAGAGTTGTTTTAATTCTTTTTGAAAAACTCTTTCGGTCAATATGAATAGATAAAACGATGTTGAAGTGTTTAGTAAAGATAATAAAACCACGAACATTGCAAAGAAACTTTCGATTTCTTGCGTGTCTTTGATGTTAAGTCATTTCTGAATAGATTTTCTGAACTAAAATTAGGAATGAAAGTACAGCAGTACAAATGACTTGAATAAGAAGCATCACTGTTAGTTGCCGATCATTAAAGTTGGATTTATTTTACAAATGATAGCATAAGCGACTATTTTGTATTGTCAACCAACCAAAAATCAACCTTATCAGTGAAGGAAATAAAGTAAACGTGATCGATAAGTAAAAATCATTTCATGTCCTACAAAATGACGAGGAAAGAGTAACAATTAGTTGATTGAATACTTCCATCGAAACAAATATTCATTTGAAAATAAACTAGAAAAACAAGAATTGCAATGTCTATAATAACTCGACCGACAATCTTCAGTTTGACTGAAAGATCAAGTTCCAGTTACTGATGTACTTGACGCATAACGATCCATACAAGCTGCAACAACGAACTAGACTGAGCCTGTTGGATCAATATAAGTTTAAAATGTCTTCGTTTTACAATACAAAGCCATCTGGGTAAGTAGAGAGCTAATTGAAAAACTATTTAAGACACGAGTCACACAGCTGAAATAGATCGCGATGTTCGATGCAAAAAAGTAGATTGAAAAAGAATTTTGTCGAAGCGATCGACGAGTAAATATGATACAATTAAGAATATTCCCAATTGCACCGACAATGATCGTAAATAGAGACATATAATGAAGTAGTTACTGTTGTATTAACTGAATTATCGTCAATGAACTCATTATTGTTGTTAAAGGAAAATTAAGATGAAAAAAGAAATCTTCAGGAGGTTTTTATAGAACTAGAGTGTTGTTTATGCCACTTCCTGGTTTTTATTTCAATTTTGTGCTTTAATGGTGCAAAGAAAAATAATACTCTTATGTTTAAATGTTGAACAGAAAATCGAATTTGTGTTTATTCAATACAGATTTCATTCTGCATAGTTTTTCTCATGATACTTTTGATCTTTAATATTGCGTTTATTCATACGATTAGAAGTTTATCTATTTATAGTAACAATCGCGACAAAACGTTTCTAGAAGATTCTCGTTGACTCATTTTGAAAGAACATGAATAAAAATGCATTTTTTTTGTTAATCTTTATCGAACAGTATGACACTTTTTTCTCAGCGATTCGATAAATTCAAATTTCTGTCTCACAAATCATCACTGGAGAACACTTTCATACTCTCCGATGTCGAAGAGTTCGATACTTTCATAAATAAATTTTTGCATTTTGAAATAACGCCGACCACGCTTAGTTTTCCAGACAGAACATCTATTTATTAAATTTACATTGAAAATTGTTCAATTATTTTCTTTCTATGTATGTAAAAGCGAATGAAGAATGATCTCGAATAAATAAATGTTTACACAAAAAAAAAGTGAGAGAAATAAAGTTACAAGACAAGGAGATAAAGTTCATTTTCAAACAGATCTTTTCTACATTTATATATACAGATGAGAAAAAACGTCAGATTAGTTTAACCATATGTTGATTCGTCACTATAAGCGACATATAGAAACTTATCTTCATCAGCCTATAAGAAAAAAGATGATTGAAATCAAATTTCAAGTTTCGAAGGTAAAATACGCACATGTTCTTGATAAAGAGCGCCCATCGTCATCGATGTACTTGGAATCGTCTGTAAAAGAACAAATGAAATCGAATTGATGAAAAGAAAAAAATCCTACATTGTTGACGAAAAAGAAAAGCGCGTCTTCAGGTCGAAGTTGAATTCGTTTTCGGATTAAAAAGTAGAATTGACCGACCTAAACCAGAAAAATGTTTTTTTTTGTCTAAAGAATAAACTTTCGATTTTACCGTTAGATCATTCGGTACTAAATATTTCTTTGATGGAAGATCTCCGACGCGTGAATTTTGTGCTCGTTGAACAATAACTGCACAACGATCCGGATATTCTCGACGAATTCGTTCGCCTTCAGCTCGACGATTTTCATATGGATTGTTACTTTTGAATTCCCAGCGCATTTTGTTTTCAATCGNGAATTTGGTGCTCGTTCAACAATAACTGCACAACGATCCGGATATTCTCGACGAATTCGTTCGCCTTCAGCTCGACGATTTTCATATGGATTGTTACTTTTGAATTCCCAGCGCATTTTGTTTTCAATCGAAATGTGTTCTCTTGACAAATTTGGATTCAGATGAAAAGAAACAATGCGTAGAGAAAAAGCACATGACACATGCTTTGACACGCCAATGCATTGCAAAGTGAATTTTTATTGGTTGGATCGATGGACGAATGGAAATCTTTGAATTGTTGTTTATTTGTCCTTCGTTCGTTCGTTCGTTTTCATCTGTAACATTGGAATAATGTTCGATATCGATACTCAGCTTCGTCATTTAATCGAAAGGGAATGACGAGTAAGAATATGTAGGCGCATTGAATAAATTGATTTCTCATTTAAGAACAATACAAAAGAGTTTTCGTCTCATTTACTTTTTCTTTTTTTTTTTTTTGTATTCCGATGAAAGTCTTCTGATGAGTAGAAAATTTCAAGTAAAAGTACAAAGATCCTTGATAAACATTCGAGTTTCGTCGGAGAATCGAATTCTATCAAGACAGGACATGACATTGACGAATGTTTATTGATTCTTTCAGATGAAGAAGTCAGCACAGTAGGGACACTTGTTTACAACTGTTTCGATCATTTATCTCTTTTGAAGAATGTCAAGGAAAAAAACAAGTGTCTTTACAGAAAAGACATTCCAATCATAGTTGCAAACAAATTTCATTTTTCTTTTAGATAAATTATTTAAATTAATCAAATTGTTTATAATTATTTATTCATAATTCGACTTGATCATCACAATAAATCGAAATTTTATTGTGACGTGAAAGTTTCCGATTTAAACCAATCTCAAAGTGAGTCTAAATAAATTTCTCATTAGACTCGATATCCAACGAAGAAAAAGCATTTTTTTGTCTCGTTCTCTGTCTTTAGATACTCTAAACAACGATAGTTAGACCAATACATAGGAAGTGCGTAGGTTTGTTTGCTTTCGGAGAAAAACGAGATGTCGAGAAATAAGGTATCTGATGTAAAAAATATAAAGACGAAGAAGATATTATAAACAATGAGATCAAATCAAGACTTATTTATCTTTTAGGATAAATATCTAATTAGAACTAATCAATGACGGATTTTTATGAAATACTTGAAGTCAACAAAACGGCAACCGATGATGAAATCAAAAAATCGTATGTATTCAAAGATCAACGTTGACAGAAAGGAAAGATTTGCTTTGTTGTTTAGATATCGTCGATTAGCGTTAAAAGTAAACTTTCTTCATGGCAAAATTCGAGGGAAAATTTTGTTTTTCAGTGGCATCCGGATAAGAATCTCTCGAATAAAACACAAGCGGAAGAAAAATTCAAACTAATCTCAGAAGCTTATGAAGTTTTATCCGATAGTAAGTTTGAAACGAAGGAGAAAGTTATTGAGATTGAGTTGTTTTGAGCGTCACAATAAGAAAACACAAGCAGCAACTTGTTTTGTGTTGCTTAATCATAGTTGATTTCACATGAATGATTCTTCATAAAATCACTTTGAAAAGAAATCTTTATGTCAATATTTACGAACAGAAAAAAATCTATCGATTTGCTTCTCAATGAATCATTTGGGATGATTAACAGATTAATAACTGTGGATATGGTTTTTTTTAGAGGATAAACGTCGAAGATATGATCAATTGGGTCGCGCGGGATTATCAAATGGACATAGCAATGGTGGATATTCGTCTAGTAATGGATATTCAAGATTCTCAGAAGATTTTCTCAATCGGACATTTCATTTTCACAATCCATTCGATATATTCGAGCAATTTATGTCGCATTTCGGCATGGATGATGATTTTGGTGAGTGAATTTTCTTTTTTTCTCCATTGAGAATTCTATTTCGGATGTTCCGAGCGAATTACATTGCATTCGGATCTTGTAGGCAAATGGACACGCCAAATCTTTCATTTTGGTGAGAAAAGAGAGAAAGTCGATTCACCCTGAAATTTTCCTTTTGAATGATGTTTGCATTTGACGCATGAGATCAATCATTTGTTTTGCACCAAATTGTATTTGGAATGTCATTTTAGGCTTTGGAATGAATCCATTTGCTGATTTACACAGTCGCCATCATCAACATCTTCATCATCATCTTCACCATCCGTTTGGAAATCCTCGTTCATCTTCGTCATCATCATCACGACGAGATCCACATAGACAACAAATGGCATTGTTCGATAGTGTCTTTGCTCCAATGAGAATGTCGCTATTTGATCATGATCCATTTGGACATCACGATCCTTTCGGACATCATCAGATCGGATCGATATCGTCATTTAATGTGTCGTTTGGGTGAGTCTTCATCATGAAACTGGAATTTAAAGATAGATTTTATTTTTAGGAGTGGAAATGCTCGGCCAATTGCCAAGAAAACTACACGATCAACAAAATTCATCAACGGTCGTCGTATTGTGACAACACGGTAAATGAAAACGAAATCGATTTTTCTTGAAATATTTCATTGAAANGAATTTGGTGCTCGTTCAACAATAACTGCACAACGATCCGGATATTCTCGACGAATTCGTTCGCCTTCAGCTCGACGATTTTCATATGGATTGTTACTTTTGAATTCCCAGCGCATTTTGTCTTCAATCGAAATGTGTTCTCTTGACAAATTTGGATTCGGGTGAAAAGAAACAATGCGTAGAGAAAAAGCACATGACACATGCTTTGACACACCAATGCATTTCAAAGTGAATTTTCATTGGTCGATCGACGGACGAATGGAAATCTTTGAATTGTTGTTTATTTGTCCTTCGTTCGTTTCATCTGTAACATTGGAATAATGTTCGATATCGATACTCAGCTTCGTCACTTAATCGAAAGGGAATGACGAGTAAGAATATGTAGGCGCGTTGAATAAATTGATTTCTCATTTAAGAACAATACAAAAGAGTTTTCATCTCATTTACTTTTTCTTTTTTTTTTTTCGTATTCCGATGAAAGTCTTCTGATGAGTAGAAAATCTCAAATAGAAGTACAAAGATCCTTGACAGACATTGGAGTTTCGTCGGAGAGTCGAATTTTATCAAGACAGGACATGACATTGACGAATGTTTATTGATTCTTTCAGACGAAGAAGTCAGCACAGTAGGGGCACTTGTTTACAACTGTTTCGATCATTTATCTCTTTTGAAGAATGTCAAGGAAAAAAACAAGTGTCTTTACAGAAGACATTCCAATCATAGCTGCAAACAAATTTTCATTTTTCTCTTTCAGATAAATTATTTAAATTAATCAAATTGTTTATAATTATTTATTCATAGTTCGACTTGATCATCACAATAAATCGAAATTTTATTGTGACGTGAAAGTTTGCGATTTAAACGAATCTCAAAGTGAGTCCAAATAAATTTCTCATTAGACTCGATATCCAACGAAGAAAAAGTGTTTTTTGTCTCGTTCTCCATCTTTAGATACTCTAAACAACGATAGTTAGACCAATACATAGAAAGTGCGTAGGTTTGTTTGCTTTCGGAGAAAAACGAGATGTCGAGAAATAAGGTATCTGATGTAAAAAATATAAAGACGAAGAAGATATTATAAACAATGAGATCAAATCAAGACTTATTTATCTTTTAGGATAAATATTTAATTAGAACTAATCAATGACGGATTTTTATGAAATACTTGAAGTCAACAAAACGGCAACCGATGATGAAATCAAAAAATCGTATGTATTCAGAGATAAATGTTGACAGAAAGGAAAGATTTGCTTTGTTGTTTAGATATCGTCGATTAGCGTTAAAAGTAAACTTTCTTCATGGGAAAATTTGAGGGAAAATTTTGTTTTTCAGTGGCATCCGGATAAGAATCTCTCGAATAAAACACAAGCGGAAGAAAAATTCAAAATAATCTCAGAAGCGTATGAAGTTTTATCCGATAGTAAGTTTGAAACGAAGGAGAAAGTCATTGAGATTGAGTTGTTTTGAGCGTCACAATAAAAAAATACAAGCAGCAACTTGTTTTGTGTTGTTTAATCATAGTTGATTTCACTTGAATGATTCTTCATAGAATCACTTTGAAAAGAAATCTTTATGTCAATATTTACGAACAAAGAAAAAAAATCTGTCAATTCGTTTCCCAGTGAATCATTTGGGATGATTAACAGATGAATAACTGTGGATGTGTTTTTTTAGAGGATAAACGTCGAAGATATGATCAATTAGGTCGCGCGGGATTATCAAATGGACATAGCAATGGTGGATATTCGTCTAGTAATGGTTATTCGAGATTCTCAGAAGACTTTCTCAATCGGACATTTCATTTTCATAATCCATTCGATATATTCGAGCAATTTATGTCGCATTTCGGCATGGATGATGATTTTGGTGAGTGAACTTTCTTTTTTTCTCCATTGAGAATTTTATTTCGGATGTTCCGAGCGAATTACATTGCATTCGGATCTTGTAGGCAAATGGACACGCCAAATCTTTCATTTTGGTGAGAAAAGAGAGAGAGTCGATTCACCCTGAAACTTCCCTTTTGAATGATGTTTGCATTTGATGCACGAGATCAATTATTTGATTTGAATCAAATTGTATTCGGAATGTCATTCTAGGCTTTGGAATGAATCCATTTGCTGATTTACACAGTCGCCATCATCAACATCTTCATCATCATCATCATCTTCATCATCCGTTTGGAAATCCTCGTTCATCATCGTCATCATCATCATCATCACGACGAGATCCACACAGACAACAAATGGCATTGTTTGATAGTGTCTTTGCTCCAATGAGAATGTCGCTATTTGATCATGATCCATTTGGACATCACGATCCTTTCGGACATCATCAGATCGGATCGATATCGTCATTTAATGTATCGTTTGGGTGAGTTTTCATCACGGAACTGGAATTGAAACATAGATGTGATTTTTAGGAGTGGAAATTCTCGGCCAATTGCCAAGAAAACTACACGATCAACAAAAATTATCAACGGTCGTCGTATTGTGACAACACGGTAAGTAAAACGGAAGGGATTTTCTTGGAATATTTCATTGAAATTCGTTTTAGAGTCGAAGAAAATGGACAAACGACTGAAACAGTGGAAGAAGATGGTCGATTAACATCGAGAAAAGTCAATGGAGTTTTACAAGCAATAAAATGATCAAATGGAACGAAATATTTCAACATTTGTCATTCCCAAATTGGCAACATACAAAGAATTCTCTTCATCTATCTCTCTATCTACTCTAAACATTCAATAAATCTTCTTTTCACTCTCTTTTTTGTGTGTATGTATTGCTGTATGACAGAAAAAGATAGAACAAACTTCATTTGTCTGTTTTTTTAACGAGTCGAAAAACTTTTTTTTCTCAATTCAAATGTTATTCGATGTTTCTCTTCTTTAATACATTGTGTGTGTATTTAGTATATGAGATATTTGTAATAATGAAGGCACAAACCAATAGATAAGATCAGCTTTATATCGAAGACGTTTTTTTTTAGAAGATTTTTGTTTTCTAAACATGACAAGTGAAAATGAATTAGCGGGCGGAACACGAGCACAAAATTTATCGTTACCGATTGAATTATCCGCAGAAAAAATTCAAGATTTCCAAGCATCGTTTTCTCTGATGGATATTCGGGCTAAAGGTTTTATCAGTCCGGATGATCTTCTTCAAGTTGCAAAAGCCGCAGGTAGTTTCCAATGATGTTTTCCAATCATTGATTTTATGTTCATTTTTGAAGATATGAAAATTTCGGTAAACGAAGCACATTTATTACTTGGATCAGCTGATGAAGATCAATCAGGTGGAATTGATATGAGAGAGTTTCTTTCTATCATGACAACACCTATTAATCAACAAGATCTTGAAGAAGAACTTCGAGGAACATTTAATGTTTTTGATAAAGATAAAAATGGAACAATTAATGCAAATGAATTGAAAAAATTCGTTCGAGTAAAGTTTGGTTTTGTTTTTTCAGAGAAATTTTCCAATGAAAATAAGAAAAATTTATTGTTTTAGTTTTGGGATTGTGAATTAACTGAAGACGAAGCTGATGATATGATTAATCAAGCCGATCCGAACAAAACTGGCTCAATTAATTATCACGATTTTATTGAATTTCTTTTACATACATAACAATTAATAATCAAATTACTTTTCTTTTGTCAGATATTTTATTCTCGTTGATAATAAATATTCATTCCATAATCTAATGAAGATTCTTTCTTTCTTTCCAAGATATGTTTATTGCGATTCTATCTGACAGTTACATACTATCATTTGATAAGTGAAAACATTGATGTTTATTTAACATTGATATGTCTAACGAGTCATTGGAATATAATTGAAAAACGAAATTTGTATTTCTTTATAATGATTTTTAAAATTGAGATTTGATTTAAATTAAAATACGAAATTATGTCAAATTAGATCGATGAAATAGATTTTCTTATTGTTATGTGTTGTAGTCTTATCATCATTAGAAAAGATAAATAAATCAATATTTTCTTTTACTTTCATAATGTTATTTTATGTCAAAAATAGTTTAAATATTCTTCAAACAAATTCTCATTCTCCATTATATATTATTCATTGTTTAGCTTTCGCCTACTTTTCAAAAAGTTCCATTTCCATCATCAATGTGAAACAATCCTTGAATTGATAAACAAAACGATGCAAAATGATGAAGATATATTATACTAAAATTCATGTTCTCAAAAACAATAAAGAGAATCAAGAAATATTTGATTGTAACTAATATTCTTCTGTATGATTAAATCATAAAAATCAGATATATTAAGAAAAAAATTCACATTTTCTTTTCTTATCTCATCGAGATATCATTGATAATTTATTGAAATTTTCCTAAAAAAGATTTGTATTCACAATGAAGATCTTTTTTCTTAATTAAATAATCATCAAATCGATAATTAAACACATTAAAATCATCATGATAAAATCGTTTCAAAGTACAAAGCATTTGATTCGATAGATTTTTATATAACGATTGATAATTTTCCTTTGTATTTCCTGTTTTCGCATAATCATTCCGATTCCATTTTTGTGAATTTATTCCCAACAAAGTCATAAATCTCTGTAAATCTGTTCTAATTGTTTCATATTTACCAATGAAGTTATATTTGAGTAAACAAACTTGACACAATTTCGTATATGGTTGCCAATGAACATCGTCTCTGAGTCCTTTGGAGAAAATATACTGAAGGAAATGTTCAAATGTTGGAATCACATTTCGACAACCTTCAACAACATTGGTAGAAAAGATTTTCTTTCGACGAAAAGAAAATTTCGATTGAGAAATATTCAAATAGAACAAAGAATTATGTTGACAAATCTTTTGACGTAATTCATCGTAAGATGATGATCGATTTTTCAATGAACCAATTTTATCCATATATGCTGATGCTAAACGATCTAACGGATGACGAACAAATATCGCTCGCGTAAAATTCACAGAAAAGATTCGTGATGTATCGATTAAATTGCGAAGACGAATGTATGGTAATGATTCTTGTGCGTATAAAACCCAAAGATCAATTTTAGATGCATCTTTATGGATTAGACGTGATAAAAATGATTCTAGAATCGTAGATAATTCTATGTTTGGTTTTCGCAAACGATCCTAAAAAGTGTTTTGTTTATATCGAAAGAAATCGTCAACGAAAAAAGAATGTGACGTAGATTTTAAATTAAACCAATGCAGTGACAAGAGAAATACAACGCCTTAGGATTTTTTCTTTTGTGTAGATACTTCAACTTACTTGAGATGAATTAAAAATCATTTTCATTATATATTCAGAATTGAAAGTGTCCGTGATTTTTTGTGATTTTGAATTGAACATATTCACATGTGAAGAGTGATTTTTTGTTAATGGTAACAAATCATCGCGTACATGAAGATATGTAATAAAAGGAAGAATAGTTCGTGTAGCAACTTTTGGTACAGAACAATAGAATAATGAATGAGATTGAAGAAGAAAACCAAGATAATTTAATGTTTTATCCGAATGAAGTACCTTGGAATAACCTCGATAATATGGATTGTAAATATGTCCACATTGTTTTTTAAGACTTTTCAATCGGTTTTCATCAACAATTGGTGAATTTTGATGATGTGAAATTCTTCTGGAAACTGTTCTTGGAATAATTATTGACATTTTTGTCAAATTTTGTTTTGATTTCAGGAAGAGACCATCTTGTATAAACTTACTTTGATCATAAATAACTATGATTATTACCGAGATTGAAATAATATAAGAAAGATTTTGAAAAATTCTCTTGATAAAACGTGACATATAACACTTTTTTGTTCTGAGAAAAAGAATTTGTTGATTCTCTGAGAAGAAATTTCTCTTCTATTTTTCTTTCCGATTACTTTCATAGTAGGCAAAGAATAGAAAAATTGGTTATGAGCATCAAGTACAAGAACATTTGTCCGTAGCAACAATTATAAATGTACTTTTCGCGCAATGCAGGTTAAAAAAAAAAAGAGAATAGTTCTATTTGCTCACTAAACATTCAAATAATTATTTTTAAGAAATATATGATGTAAAAGAATTCCTAATTGGCAATGTTATAAGAAAATAAACATTTTCATGAGATGACTTTGACAAAACGAGATGGTTTGTTAAATGATTTTCATTTATTCTAAAAACTATGTTCGAAGAAAAATTATTCGTTGTGAAACAAAACATAAAGAATTTGTTATATAAACGAATTTTGTTTCATCGATGTCAAACTTTCAATTTGAATTCAATTATATCATTCTCAATGAGTTCTTGTTTTCCTCAACCCACTCATATCCTTAGAAAGTGATCTAATTTAATTTTAAAAAGACTTTTATTTATTTGATCAACATCAAAAGACGACATCGAAAAAGAAAAGAAGATCATTGAAATAATCAAAAATATATGTATGTGTAAATGTTTTGGGCACTTGAATCTTTTCTTATAAATAATGTACAACATAAAGTATGACTAGATTAGACATGACAAAAACAACATTAACTTAAATAAGATTAGGTTTTTGTGTAATATGTGATCGACCATAGGCATTGGTTGACGATTGGGATTGAGTTGGTCGATTCAGATCATTCAAATCGAAAAATTGAGCATCACGATCCGTCGGAGATCGAATCGAATCTAAACGATGAGAATACATCTTATTTAACTTTCTCTTTGTTTCTTTTCATTCTATCTCACCTATTGAAACACTTGACAACGAAGATGACAAATTTGCATTGAGACATGCAGCTGCCGATGAAGCTGAATAATGATGATGATGTCGAAAGGTATGATGATGATGTAATGAGGCATGTCTAGTTCGACTATTTCCACTTAAACTATTTCCTGTATTCAAACCACTTTCCGAACCATCCTCATGTTCATCTAATGATGGTAAACACGTTTCAACCATGGCTTCTAAACAATTAACAAACAATTCCACATTATCTGGATTTTGTCGTGAAATAGTGAATGGACCAGCAAAACGCCATAAACCACCAAAACCACATGATTGTAAATAGCTCAACTGTTGTTGTTGTTGACTAGCATCATCACCGGCTGAACAAGCAATCATTTGATAGATTACGGATTGAACGGATGCGAGAATCGATTCGTCATGCGACAATGAAAGAACTGAATTGATTTTTGCATCCAATAGATTATGAATTACTGGGAAAACTTTTGGAAAAACAATACTTGATTCAGCTAGATATTCATAAATAATACGCATTTCGTTTTCATCCGAAGTATTACGAACAAGTGTTGCTAATACAGTTAATAATAAAGCTTGAGTGGATGTGTCTGTGATAACATCAGGATCTAACAGAAGATTTGTTTCACTACTTGTCTAAATAGGAGAAAAAATTCTTGGAATATATTCTAAAAACGACGAATGATGATTTACTTCATATGTTTGTTGAGTTTCAGGTGCAGTTTGTGGTGTCACTGCAATGATTGGTACAACTGGTTTCACTTGTTGTAGTTGAACCAACGTTGATGCTGGTTTTGTCAGTATTCGTGGTACAGCATGTTCAATATCAAACGAATGCCAATGACGTGCATGGGGTGGAACAGATAATAAACGAGCACCAGTCATTGTGATAACTCCGCCAACTCTTCGTGATTTATCGATATAAGAAGAATCCCATGACTTTTGACGACGTGGATATAAACCTTGTTGAATATTAAGTAATGATGAATTTGTCAGGACAGATGATGATGAGGAAGGTGTATTTGCAGTTATGGCAGTAAAATCAGCAATAGATGTACTTGAATGAGATTGAGGAATTTGAGAGAGTGGATGGTTAGAAGGAGATGATGGGTAGTTAAACGGAGAAGCATTCGTGGAATTTGTATTGACTGTTGTTGATGGAACATTGATAGGACGATTTTTAACAGGACATCGTGTACGAACTTCTTCGACAACACTGACTAATGCAGCTAAGTACGGAACAGATGTTGGTGTGACTTTAAATTTATCATGAGATTCAGATTTAGCAACTATACTAAGAAGAGTTGAAAGAACACGAGTTGTACGCGCAACAGTCGATTGAACAGGATGACGAAATCCTTAAAATAACAAAAAAAATTTCACTATTGAACATCATGTTTGCTTTCATAGAATGAAAATACCTTTGATCAAATGTCCAACGAGTGCAAAATTGAAATTGGATTTGAATGATAAACCCATACTTGCATCCAATTGTTTGAATTGCCATTCTAATGGTTCGCGTGCATCCATCATGATTCGTTCTAATGTTTGCTGTTGATGAGTATTCGTATTTTCAAATAGATTTAACATATGATCAAGTGTATGAAGATTTTGTTCGAGTAAAGCTAAACCAGACGCATATAACTGTGTTTCTTCTAATTGAAGTATCGATAAAGCAATCCAAAACATGAATTTATGTATCTTCGATTCGGGTGATAATAACGGTAATAATCGTGTTAAACACATAATTATTGCATCAATCAAATCAATATCAGAAAACGATTCCAATGCTTTAACAAGTATTCGTAACAAAGCTTTGATTTCTCCATCACTCGTACTTTTTGATATACAGCCATATACAATTCTAAAAGAAAGGAAAGAAGATTTCAATGAGAAAAGAAATAATGAAGAAAATGTTTTACATTGCACGTGGTTGTAGAGCAGGATTAAATTGAAATGCAAAACGCTTAGCTAATTCTTGCCATTGAGCTAACCATTCACAATCAGGTATGTCATTCATGCAAGCTTCCATCAATTCTAACAAAGTATCGGTAATTGTTTCCAGTGAAGTTAAACTCATTCGTTCAGGTTGTTCGATGGTTGGTGAATATGCATTGCTTATCGCAATTGTTCGTTCAAATGAAATTTGTTGTTGTTGTTGTTGTTGTTGCTGCTGTTGTTGCTGTTGTTGTTGTTGTTTATCTTGAGAGAGTAATTGATTTGAATGTTGTTGTTGCTGCTGTTGTCTGATAAAACCTGTGCGAAATGCAATAACACTCGCTGATTTTACTTTCGATAAACCAAACAAAGCATAAAATTTCGGTAGCGAAAATTCTGCTAAGGACAAACGAAGAACACGTTGTGTTTCGTCGCTAAATTGTGGTTGAGAACATGTACATAATGAATGTAAAATATTGATCACAAGACCATGCGTCGAAGCACGCAATGTCAATGGTCCTGTACTGACCAACAACGTGACAATATGAAATAAAAATGGTAAATGAGACGCTACGTCAAGTGAGTTATTGAATGAAAGCATGAGTAAATATCGAAGTAGAATGGCGATATCATCCCAAATTAAATGTTGTTCTAATGTTGGTGTTGGTGATAGACATGTTTTTTCGATTAAACGACAGAGACGACCGATGACTTTTCGAGAAAATAGTAAAGCGTTTGAACTAGCTAAAGCAACAGCGGTATCAGCAAGAATTTCAGCAGGTAATGAACCCAAACCACCGAGAACAGATCGTTTGATAAAACAATCGAGAACAATATCTAATAGATCGCTAACTTGTCCAACGTTTGACCAAATTTTTGCCTGAATTGATGGATACATATCATCTTCTTCGATTGTCAATGTAATCAGTTTATCCAAGATCATCGACACTTTCATTCGTTTATTATCATCATTTTGTTTACAAAATCGAGTTAAATTTGGTAACCATTTGGTCATATATTCCAAACAGAGATGTTTTAGTTCAATCGTCGAATTTCGGAAACCTTCGATACATTCTTCGAGAAATTCTAATGTTAAATGTGCTTCTTTCAACGCCAATTTTTCGGAAATTGTTTTAATAAAAATTGTATTATTCGATGGAATACACAAACCCGACGATTCCAAGAGTTGACCTTCGATACGTAAATCAAATGTTTGCGTTAAAGCACATAGAAGATTATACGCAGCTGATCGTAACGATGGATCAAGAGATCCTAAATTCAACAATGCAATGTTCAACAATGTTCCAGGAACATCTTTTGGACGAATTTTATTATGAATTTGAATCGAATCAGGTTGAGCAAGTTCCTAAAAACAAACGCAGAGTCAAGGTACAAAAAAAAACATTTTTTTTTCTCTTCTTTATTTACCCATCGTGTTCGAATGTGAATAATTGCTTGAACGATGTTGTCACAATCGTTGTGAATAAATGAAAGTGGACCAGTTTCATTCGCAATTGTTAATGTGAATTGATTATCATCGACTAGACAGACTTCTTCGATTTCTGATGCGTAATAAACATCGTTTAATAAGACGCTATGACTGAGAACTTTCGTTTTTTCACTTGATGTCACTTGAATTGCTTGTGGACCAACTTTGATAGCGACTTTTGTATCTTTATGGGATAATTTCAATGCATTGTTAAATACTTTCAGATCCTCTTCGAGTGATAAAGTATGTCCAGGTAATTTTTGTTGATCCGGTTCGATAAAATCGCTCAAACGTGAGATATGATCCAGAAAAATTAATTTTCTCGAACCTTTTATCGTTGACAAGATTCGATCGTGATATTTTGTATATTCTCTCACCCAAGAATTACAATTATAGATGTAACAAGCTTGAAGATTATAATAGAAACAATCTGGCATGCAAATGAACCATTTAGACAAATAATCAGTCTTGAAACGATTGTCTGTGCATGTGTGAGTGAAATCAACGACCAATTCGAATGGTTTGGCTTGAAATGGTTTCAATGTTAGAAGAACATGATAAATCAACAAGTCACAATTCATTTCGTTGACTTTAAAACGACGAGCAATGTAATAGAATACAGGAGTATTGTTTTGTTTACTAAATCCAGCCTACAACCAATAAAAAACTCGATTTCCTTCTCAGAAAACATCGATGAACTTACTTGATAGAAAATATTCAAAGCTTTTAAGGATTTGAATTCTTCTCTTTCGTGCATTTGTGTTTTTGCCATTAATTCTTCGAATTTTGTCGCTGTCATATCATATGAAATCCATTGTGAATCCAATGGTCGATGATCCGGAGGGCCGAGATAAGCTAACAAAGTCGCCATTTTATCAAAAGGTCTTCGTCCAATTGCTTTATGATCTCTTCCACTCGATAAATAATCTCCGATTTTTTCTTGATGATACCAAAGTAATCGATGAAGAGCCAAAACATTCGCATCACTGATATAAGACATTGGATACGTTGGAGAGAGAATTGTTGAATCAGGGATGTTATTTTCCATTGGTTGTTGCTCATCCGATGGAAGAATTGTATTTAAATTGATCGGCTCACTGATTGATGAAACAAAATTTGTTGCCAAATCGAATGTTGAACGAAGATAATCATTGAAACATCGCATGTGAAATTCTTTGGTAAAAATCAAATTGTTTGCGATGTTTTGAAGAATTTTTGATACGAGAGTTAAACCACGTTTTATACGTGGTAATGGTTCGGCGTCGACGATACCAAATTCATGTGGAAGAACCAATGCTGGGTTAAGAAAACGAAGGAAAATCACGGTTGATACAGCCTAAAAACCAGAAAATACAAATATTTGACTGTTTTCGTTTAGAAAAGATTCACTTGTAGTGGATGTTGAGGAAAGCGTTGATGAACAACTTGATATAAACATGAACAAAGTATACGCAGTTGCAATGGAAATTGCGAAGCCGAATCAACAATCGCTTGAAAAACATCTTGGGTTAACAAACGGAGATTTTTTCGATTATCCTCCAACTGTTCATGTTGTTCAATACGTGATGGATCAACTTCATACGAACGTAAATCAGCGATGAACATTTTCGCTAAGATCGGTGCGAACAAATTGTATAAATAATGTGAACCATAAAGTTTAAAACAGAATGACATAATCTTCGTTGGTAAACCATTTCCACGGAGAATCGTTTGATAACAATCAGCCATTTCAACTTCTTTTGCAAACATATTCAACAATAATTGATGAAGTAAATGTTTTGCATCGAAAATCGTCACGAACACTCGTGCTAATTCATCCTACAATACAAATCATTTGAAATTGAAGACAAGAAATTGGAAGAAAATTCACCATGTATTGAGGTGAGACAACATTTGCAAGTGCCATTGCGATCGGTAATTCACCTTTATCGCCAATCATTGTCACAAGTTCAACTAAGCGTTCGAATCGATCAGCAAGAACAGTTTCAGCCAAAGTATCAAATTCCGTTCCTTGTTGAAGAATTTGTGTCAAAACTTCCATAAAAGCAGCGCGAGTTTGTGGATCACGATGATAACCCAAAGCTACATGATGAAGAATATGTTCATGAGAAACTCATTTTAGTTGAATACTTACCAATACTTCTCATCAAACCACTTTCGATATTTGCAGCGAGTAAATTCGACATGGCAACAATTGTTGAATTTCTCAGAGATTGTTGTTTCTGATGTAATTGATTCGCTAACTGTGATTGTTGTTGCTGTTGCTGTTGCGTTTGATTTGTCGATGTCGTTCGTTCCATATTTGTTTGATGATGGTCAGGTAATGAACTCTGATCATCATTTAAATCATCACCACAATCGTTTAGTAAATTCATAAACAAAGTAAAATATTTCAGAAATAGTTGTGATTTTGCTTCCATTAAATCTCCTCGATCACTTTCTTCGGGTTGCAATGGAAGTGAATGAAGTAACGAAGCGACGGCTTCCATTGATGCTTGATCTAATTCTCGTGTCAAATGTTGATATTGATCAACGACTAATTGAGATGTTGTCACATTCACTCCACTTCCAACACTGACACCAGCAGCGGATTGTCCCAATGCGTGAACTTGATTAAATTGATGCGAATTTCCCATAATCCAATCGGTAAGATATTCCACAAGTTTATTTCGAAATTTGATTTCTTGTCGAAATGATAAATCATCACGTCGTTTCATCATTGATTCCACTAATTGACAAACACGAATACGAATAGTCACTGCTCCAACACTTGTATCCAAATGTCGTGCATAACGAACAATGTTGAGAACGAGTTGTTCTAAACTAATCACATTCGCCAAAGGATTTTCATTAGTTTGTTGTGGTCCACCACGTCCACTTGCACTTGTTGAATTCGAACTTGGATCGTTGGATGAAGCGCCCACAACTGATGGTGATGATACATTGTTGTTATTTGGTACACCTAATGTATTTGATGAACCCGATGTTGTTGATGGACCTTCTAAAGAACTTTGTGCCGATTGTTGAGCTTTCATTTCAAAAACTGAACGCATTATTACGATAACATTATCGATAAATTGAGTGTTTTGTTCCGAACAAATCACTTGACCATTGGCATCAAAGAATTTATCAACTTGAATTTTAATTTGATCGAAGAGAATTGGATAACATAGAGGATTTAATTCATGTCCTAATAAATCTTGAATATGACGTTGGATTTGTAGACCAAATTTCTCATTTTGACAAACCAAATATTTCAAACAATCGCCGATAAATTGTGTCACAGGACAATAATGTAAATCCGAACTAACCGGTTCCATTGATGTACGACGAGTATCAACTGGAATTCCATGTACACTGAAAATAAAATCAAACCGATAAACAATTGTAAATGAAATTCTACATTTGAAAAATATTCAATTTGTAACTCGAAGTACTTAAGAGAAAAAAGAATTCGTAATCAGATCTACTTGATATTCTACCTCGAGAGTCTTAATGTAATTTAATCAGTTCTATACTAAGAATAAGTAATTCGAGATAACATAAACTAAGTTATATGCAGTACATGAAAGAAATTCTTACCCCGGACGATTTTTGACTGGTAACGAAACACTTCCGAGCGCACATAAAAATCCGGTCATATTCGCCCATTCATGAAAAACATCTTCAATTTCATGTTCACTTGAATTGACACCTGCTCGTCTTTTTCCAAATTTTGTATATCCACCACCTGCGAATCCACTTGTTTCACTACCGCTAACAGATGGTGAACCCGCTGTTGATCCTCCAGTACCAAAATCATCGACACGTTTCGGATAAACAGCTAAAAATTTGCCCAAATGTTGCTGATTGACAAATGTATCATACCAGGCTTGTTTATTTCCTGGAGTAGCATATTCAATACGTCTCAACAACGAAAGAATTTTTTTCTGTAATGCATTTCGTCCGGTAGTCACCAACGTGGTCGACGCTGCGGATAGTTCCATGTAAATGTTATAATTCGGTAAGAGTGCTAACACTGCCATTTCGTCAAAACCAAAACGAATATCAGCTTCGTAAGCAAATAATGCGAAACACGACATGGCAATTTTCACTGCTTCGGGGTCGATCGACCACAAATAAATGAAGAAAACAATTTCTAATTTCGTATGAGCATGTTTGGCCATGGGAATGTTTGAACCAAGATAAGCATTGTCTTTATGATGTAAAAGAAATGCATTTCGTAGAACAAGAATTTCTCTTAACCAACGTAGGACTGATGTATATTCATAAATTTGATGTAGAACTAATTTTTGTGAAATCGAAAACAGGACTTGACTTGAAATTGACCAAAATGTGTTGATCGAAGCTTCGGGATTCCATAATTCGATATTTCTTGTTTCATGCAAAACTAATAAGGATTCCATTGCTGCATGAGCGACATCTGGCATCATCGATGTATCGTGAACAAGTGAAACAAGACCGTTGATTAATTCAAATGTCGACATTTGCGTTTCATGATCGAGTTTATTCGGATTGTGTAACATTAAGTATGGATCAACGATGATTAAACGAACGATCCATAATAACAATTCACGATTATTCGGTCCTTCGTCATAAGCTAATCGATCGGATGTTTTTGATTTGAATGCTTGAGAATATTGTGTACGTAATTGTTGAGTATTGAAAAGAAAATCTTTCAATGTACTGACACCGGTTATGCCGGAGATTCGTAATGGAGTAGTGGAAAACGTTGAAGATTGAGAGACTTTATTTAATGTGTCTGTAAACATATTTCGCAGTTCTCCAGCGCGAGAATAAACGATATCAATCTGTGGCCACCAAGCTAAACGTTTCTGTGTGATGATTCGATACAGAGCTTTGACTAAGACGTAATGAAACATCGCTGGTGAAGATAAGTTCAAACAAACTTTTAAAACTTCGTTATTGTGTGGATTTAATCGAAGACAAGCGAGAAAGAACTCAATCATTAATTCTAAATCCACATGAATTTTATCTTGACCACGTGAAAATGGTTTCATTGGATTAAATAGAATTTGTTTTAAATCACCGATTACCGATTGAACCATGACGAATAGAACATTGTTCGAATCTTTGTTATTGATATATGTTGCTGCTTTACATAATTTGACAAATGTAACAACAGCAGCTGATTCAGTTCCACCGGCTGAATGTTGTTTGCCCAAAACTTGAGCATGTAATTGACGTTTAAGAGCATCGACAAAATTTCGCTTTTTGAAATGTTCAGCCGAACAAGGACCACCTTTTTCCAATGCATAAACCAATTCTTCGAGAATTATTGGACATAAGACTAATAACATCATTTGAAGTGGCCAAATGTATTGAACTTTACGACGATTGGCTTCACCGAATGAATCGAGTAATTCAAATAGTTTCTCACAATTATCTAAATTCAACGGTTTTGCTTTGTTTTCGATCAGAATGTTGTTTGACTTACCACTTAGTTCAGCATTCGGACGCTTTTGTAAATCCGTAAATTCTTCAGGATATGTGTCCAACCAGTTCCAAATTGCCTAACGACAGAAAAGGTTTACTGGTTATTCTCTAAAACAAATTTTTCGTACCTTTTCAACACTTTTGACAAGTTCTGTATGATGGATTTTCTTCAATAATTTCCATTTCTGTACTTCCTCTATCAAACGAACGAACGTTTTCGATTTTATCCAAAAAAAGATTTTCAATTTTACCGTTGAGAAGTCGTGTTAACTTCAACATATCCACATTCATATGTTGTATCAAATCAAGATCACCCGCTTCACATGGTTCATCACCCGATGCACTCAGACATTCAAGTCTAAAGATAAATAAAACATGTCTTCATTTCAAGTTCTCTTCAATTTTCTTCGTTAGTAATCAAATGAGCAGCAATGTGTTAGTATTTTTACCTCGATTAAAACAAGTTCTCATCTAAATATTTCCGTTCATAGAACATCCGAAACAATATGACAAAAGAAAGATGGTTCAACATACCTCGATACAACTTTACTGAATAATGTACTGAAATTATTGACACTCAATGCAAATAGAACATTCGACGCAAGTTGTCGAACATGTTGAACTGTTATGCCATCACCGGGGACATTCAACAACTGAAACAATCGATTGTAAATCTTGATCGAAGCTTATTGTATGTCATCTTACTTTACAAACGACAGGTAATAGCCGATTCACGTAAATTGCTTCATCTAAACGACTTGTACTCAGATCTTTCGTCTAAAATCAAGAATTTTTCGAGAGAAGAAACCGAAAAAGACTTTACATTTGCTAAACATTGTTCCACTGCATCAAGGACGATTAAATATGATTCATAAATATTTTTTTCTTGATCATATCCACCGCATTTCTAAAGAAAAACAAGTGTTTCTCTGATTAATCCAATGAAATCTTTACTGTATTGTCGATTGTTCGAAGAATATCTGTCAAGCCGATGATAACAAGTGAAAATTTGAATCGACTCAATGCAATGAGACATTCTTTGTTTTGTTCTAAGTTGAGACGCATTTGATTTGTTAATTCTCCACATTTAATCGGTAACTAAACAAAACAAAATGATTCAAAGAGGGAATTTTTGAGTTTTTTTTCGAATTTTACCTGATATTCAAACCGTTCAATCAATGCAGAAACCCATTCCACGGGTTTCGACGTTGACATTTTTTATTCAGGAAATTTTCTCTATCAATTGATAATCCACATCACGGGTAAAGAGAGAGAGAAAAAAAAAGAATGATAATTTCTGTTAGAGGGCAAAAATAACCAAGATGGAAAAGACAGAACACTTTTTCTTCTCGTTCTCTCTTGTTTCTTTGATGATGACGTCGATAAATGCGACATAGCAAGAGAAAAACATTTTCATGGAGGCGCTCTTCTATCCAATCAGATATGGAGAACACTCGACGATGTATTTATTATTTATTTCCTTTCACATCACTTGTTGTTTTTAGATTTGAATAGATCCGAAGAAGAGAAAATGATGGCAAATCGTTTAGTTGGTCTTCGTAATCAAATTGTACGTTCATTTAGTACAAGTACAGCACTTCTTCAAGGAACATCAGCAGCACAATCAGCTTTACCAAATCCGACGGAAGGTCCATCATTGGTTGCACCACCAATTCCAGTTTTCGGTTTAGAAGGTCGATATGCTTCAGCTCTATTTTCCGCTGCATCCAAACAAAAGAAACTCGATCAAATCGATGCTGACTTTCAAAAACTAGATCGTCTTCTAACCCAAAATAAAGCTATCGGTGATCTTTTTCGTAATCCTGGTGTCACGCGTGAACAACGTATGGCTTTAATCAACGAAATAGGTGTATCCGATATGACTCGAGCAACATTAGAAACACTTGTTGATAAGCGAAGAGAAAAAAAATTGGTCAAATTCGTCAGTGTCATGAATCGTTTAATGGCAGCCAATCGAGGCGAATTAATATGCCGAGTGATCACAGCTAAACCATTGGATGATAAATTACGTAGTGAACTCGACTCTGTACTAAAACAATTTAGCAAAAAAGGCGAAAAAGTCAATGTTGAAACAACAGTTGATCCATCAATTATGGGAGGAATGATTGTCGAAGTTGGTGATCGATATATTGATATGAGCATTTCAAGCAAAATTAAAGCTTATACCGATATATTGACAAGCAATGTCTAAGAAATCGAATTGACATTGAGATTTTTTTTCCTTATTTTCTTTTCTCCTTCTAATTCACTATCATTTATTGTAGTTTCTTCTTTTTCTTCTATTTCCGTCATCTTTTAGAATAAAAGCATTTGGAAAGGAAAGATCGTTTGAGATTTAGGCTTTTTTCAGATGTTGTTAAGATCGGCATTGAAAACGAATTTTTCCTCTCAATTATGCAAAATTTTACGTAAATATTTCTCGATGAATTTCCATGGATTTTCATTTTTCCGAATTCGAATAGGTCGATCCATGTTTATTCAATCTCAAGACACACCAAATCCAAACAGTTTAAAATTTTTACCTGGTCGTTCAGTTCTTGACTCAAATCTCGGCACGCGAGATTTTCCAAATATTCAATCAGCTTTTACTTCACCACTCGCAAAGTATAAAACAAACTTTTCTTTTGTCAAATCATGTTTCGTTGTTCGTATTAGACAATTGTTTCGTATCGAAGGTGTAAAATCCGTCTTTTTGGGTTCAGATTTTATCACAGTAACCAAACAACACGATGATATTCAATGGCAGACATTAAAACCTGAGATCTATGCAGCGATTATGGATTTCTTCTCAACAAATCTTCCAGTGATCGATGACGATGCCCAACAACCTTCGAGTAGTAAGAGAGTGAGATGAATTTGTACTAAATTTGAATCTACTAATTCTTTTCAAGGTGTTTCACCCGACGATGATGATACAACTGCAATGATCAAAGAATTGTTGGACACACGGATACGACCAACTGTTCAAGAAGATGGTGGAGATATCACTTTTGTGGTAAAATATTTCTCGTCTTAAATTCGTTTTTTCAATTTGATGTATTTGAAAATAGAGATTTGTTGATGGGATAGTGAAATTGAAGTTACAAGGTGCTTGTACATCATGTCCAAGTTCAATAATTACATTGAAGAATGGTGTTCAAAATATGTTACAATTTTATATTCCCGAAGTGAAAGGTGTTGAACAAGTGAGTCAACAAAGAATCGAGAATTTGTATTAAAATATGTTTGATTTAGGTGGAAGACGAAGTCGATAAACTTGCAAATAAGGAATTTGAAGAATTTGAAGAGAAACTCGAAGAAGAGTTAGAAGAAGAAAAAGATCAAATGAAAAATTCTCCATCAAAAAAATAAAATCACTTGTGTTTTCGCAATCAATTTTCCTAAGCAAGCTCTCCGTTTGTAAATGTCTTCTAGATTTATATTGATGGAGTCATCACCATCATCATTGCATTATCCTGATGTTATTAGTCGATCAAGTAATCCAAGTAAATTTTTCTTATTTCTTCATTTCAAATTTCATTTTTTTTCGATTAATAGATTCAAAACAAGCTGCCAGTAATTATGCAGCGGGACTTAAAATGGCGAGGTAAAACAACTACTCTATTTATATCATATTGAACTGTTGTACTCGACTTTTGTTTAGTCTTTTCTCTGAACATGTTCTCCTTTATCCACTTGATGTTCTCAGACGACAAATTCAAGTAAAACGCCACTATTTCTGTACAATTTTAACTCTCGTTTATGTATAGGTAAATAATGAAGCAGTTAAATATCATTTATCTCCTGTTAGTGTCTTTCCTGTTCTTTTTAAAATCTCAGCACAAGTAAAACAAGAAAAGCTTTAATTCTCGTCATTCATTCTTCGTCTTTAGGGCCCGTCTTCCCTTTGGAAAGGTGTATTAACATCTATTGCGTATAATGGTTTAGTTGTTGCAACAGATAATTTTCTTCAAGATTTAATTCCTGTGAAGAAGTAAAATCTTAATGAACTTACCTAACTTTTCTCTTCTTCTTCTTCTTTCTGTTTGCAGAAGTAAACATAATCGCACTCAACAAGTTCGTCGTGTCGTTCGCAATGTCGCTGTTCGAACGTAAGTCTTCAATTTTTTGCTTTCAACTGATGAAATTCTTCGTTATAGAATATCTTATCTAATTGTCTCTCCAATCTATTACATAATGTTAATTGAATCAGTACAAAGTGTCAGTGCATCGGATGGAAATTTACTCGATGGAATTCGTGATACATTAGTTCGTTTTATTCCTTATTCATCAGCGATCACCGGTGTTCGAAGTAAAATGTTACCAATTTGGAAAATTCTTCTACCAGCCGTTGGTTTAATGACTGGAAGATATGTTTGTGAGAAGATTTTGTATAAAATCATTTTACCGACATTAAATGCAATTCAAGAAGCTGATCGATATCGAAAAAGAAAACAAAAGCGAATTGCTCAAGTAAGATGCGTCATTTTCTTCTTTCTAACTCGAGATTTTGTTTTTTAGTTATCAATGGATGATGATTATGAAACTGAGGAGAATGTTCTTCTCTTCGAAACAACCTATGCATCGTTGATCGCTCGAATAGCTGCAGGATTCTTCGGACAAGTTTTATTTTATCCTGTTGAAACTATTGTACATCGTCTTCACGTTCAAGGTGTTCGTGCCATTATTGATAATACAGACACCGGTGTTGGAGTTGTGCCAATCAACTCATCGATTTATTACACTGACTTTTGGTCTTGTTTCAAATCCATCGAAGAAACAGAAGGAAGTTCTGGTTTATACAAAGGAATCGGTTGTGTTCTTCTTAAATTTTCACTTTTGTATGGTGGAATGTTGTTGGCACATGGTGTGGCAAAGAAATTCGTTATGGATAATAAACCTCCGTTGACTCCTGCTCCTATCACAACTGCTCCACCATCTTGGCGACACGAACCAGCAACTACAATGACTACTGAAAGTGGACAATGGTAAACTAATTGAGAAAGAAATACATCATTTCAATCAATATATTTTTTCCTTCTTTGAATGAACTAAAGACTCCTTTTGAATTTGTATTGTCATTGTCAATTGCTTATTTGATTGTAGTTGTCAGAAATAAAGAAAAACAAAATCTTTTCTATAAAACAAGCTCTCAGATGATAATAATCTGGGGGAAAATATTCTGATTAGGAACTTGTGTTATATTCACCTCCTAACATTCGCGACGTAACGTATCGGCTTTTCAATATGGTCAGTAAACCATTTTCTATGGTACATATTTTGTATTTTAGTTATGCGGATTTTGTTTATTTACAGTGAATAGCAGCAGATAGAATTTGCTATTTTGATGAATGACTTATATATTTAACAATTGAAGAAATTTGTCTTCAATAATTCTCACGAATTGGAGAGTGCGGCTATTCTTTGTGACATTTAGATCAATCTTCTGAAGAAGACATGATTTTTTTAGAAGTAGCTCACACTTCATTCTCCAGAGAAATAGAGAAAATCAAGTGTCTTGTCCCAAATCTTCTCGTCCAAATAGTAGGAAATGGTAATATAAATCAACTAATGACTCTCATATATGATTCGTGTGAAAGTTTATCGAACGATCAGATCCATTAAAGATCTAAATTGATGTGTAGGAGTTCAGACTATATTGATTAGAATGGTTTAGTCTTATCTATAATAAGGATAATACAAGTTTAACGTGATCTTATGTCACATTCTTGTTGGTTTCATTGAAGGAGTTATCGTGACATCTCTATGACTGTGTATTTGACAGTCTGTCCTAACAGCACCTATGCCGATATTATTAAAAAATTGATGATCACCGGTTTCTTGAATTTTTCTTTTGATTATGCAGAATTTATTCCGTGCCGTTCGTCTTTTTTTGTAAGTTTTTACAGTATTTTTCCGAACGCTTACGAAAAGGTCAAGGAGACAATTTGCACAGTTTTGATTTTCGACTTAATTTCATACTCGTATATGTACATAAAAAGCCTCTTTTTTCAATATAACTCGAACACTTCACAAACTGAACACTTTGTGTCATGTTGTTTCAAAAACTAAAGTGTCATCTTGCCACTTTGATTACGCAAATACAGTGTAAATGGATCCTTTATTTCAGATTTCTGTTAGAAACACTGTTTCCAATGCATTTACCAGACCATCTTCACTGCATAAGATTGGTGTGATTAACTAAGCCTCTCTAAATGAATCATACGATTGTTCTTTGAAAGTTAACGAACTAGTTTTACCTTCTTCTCAGGTTCATCAAAATATTTGACCAGTTGATTGATGGATTGACCTAGCAATTCATAAATATCATCAGCTTGGTGATTCGATTGATTTTCTAGAAAGAGAAAATCAAAAGAGAATAGGATAATTTGATATGTTAGATGATTTTGTAGGACAAGTAATGGTAAATCAGTAGCAGCGCTGCTGTTGGGTGTGTATTTCAGAGAAAGAACAAGAAGCAAATCAAGCTTTCATGCAATCCTTACAATGATAGACATTTTCCGAGAATCAACCGAATACAGTATCTGTACGTGGGATGTTCATGTGATTGAGATCATGTTACTATTCAGAAGATTTTATAAAAATCAACACTGATGACTTACTTTGATCATTTGCACATCGTAAACTCGGTGATCTTTATCGTCCAACAACCGATGATATTTTGAACTATATGAAACATTTATTCCCATTTCTCCGAATTAAACTGGAAGTTTCAACGTAATACATTGCCGATCTTTCCTCATTCAGAACATTCATTATGGGTCTACAATTTTCATAGAAGACAGCGACGAAGTTATTCATTGTTGATTCAATAGCAGATTTACTCTTGTTTACAATTCAGATATGTTGTCACTCTATCTAATTACTATTAATCCAACATGCTCTATTTCTCGTACATTGGTTTATTCATGATATTACAATGACGAAAAGTACTGATGAAAGTTTTCTGGTACTACATATGGCTCCTTTATGTAAACATGTTTCAATCGAGCACACGTCAGACGTGTAGAATCACTTGTGAAGTTGATTGTAACTAATGCTAAAGGTTCATAGCGAATATAGAGATTTGTCAAACGAGGCAGATTACAAAGTTTATCAATGAGAAATTGTCTGATATAATCTAAGTGGGCATTCGCAACACCGAGAAATTCAAGATAAGGAAAGCTGATACATATTGTTGGATCTTGCTGAAGTTCAGATGATTTTAGATTGAATATATCCAATGCTACTAACAAAGGAAAACTTTCGGAAATAATTTTGAACAGATTAGCAACAAAAGGACGATTTTCAGTCATAGACAAATTGCGAACATTGTTGAATAGTCCATCTGGAAATGCATTGTTTAAAAAATAGAAGTCATAAAAATGATATGGAAGTGAATAAATGTGACATCGACTTTGAAATACATCTGGATATGACAAATGATGAAAAATTATTGTTCTCCATTTTAATTTAGGTGTTTCAATGTACAAACCAACTGGTCCATATTCTTTTCTAATAAAACTAAGTTTCATATCTTCTCTTGACGAAAGAAGACGTTTACGACTTTTAATTATCGATGTGTTGATACTAAACTTAAAATTTTGTAATTTTGGCAAATAAACAAGAATATTATCATATAATTCGTTTCCATCGATGTAATTTCTGTTTGATCTTATTACCATTAATAATAATTTTAATTATTCAAGATTTATCATTCGTCGAAATAGTGGAACAACTAACTCATCATAAAATTTTGTGTGATGAAATGAAGTTAATAAAAAATATTTCAAATTTGGAAGTTTATCCTATAAAACAACAAAACATATGTCGATTTGTTTTTGATCAATTGTTTTCTTTCCGAATCTCCAATTGAAGATTATACTAACCGTTGTTTGATTAACTCGTGAACATTTAATATGAACCACGAAAATGGTTAATCTTGATAAATTATTCAAACGTCCATCAAGCAGATGAAGACAATCATCGAAAGTTTCGACATTGATTTTCAATGAAGTCAACGTTGAAGATTCCCAATCGATAGATGAGAAGTGAAATATATATTCAAGAAGTCCCACACGGTTTCGACGAAAACTTAGCTTGCTCAAGTGTTTACATAATGATACGATGAGAACAAAAATTGCGAGTAAAATGTCCGGACCTGGTGTAATCTCTTCTCCAACAAGATCAAGTTGAAGAGATACTATTTGTTCCGATAAAAGATTCCGAAACAATGCATCATCTTTGAAAGAGAGAGAACAAACGATTATTATCATAATGAATCACATTTGAGTACTGATAGTGAAATGTATGAGAGAAAAGAGTTTACCTGTTAGAATTTTGAGAAGTGTCCTTGGCTGAAAGTCAATAAGTGACAATGAGTTGAGTCGTGGGTAACTCCCGGCATGAAGAACACGTTGCAATAGATGTTGTTCAACAAAGAGTTTATTCACTTGATCATGAATTTGTGGAATAATATCGCCACAGAGTTTATCGACAATTTCATCTTTTGTCAAACACATATTGTCGGAAAATGATTTTGTCGTCACAATAAGTTTGCGAATGTAAAATGGATCTAGTGCTAAACGATCCAACCGTTCATTAATACTCATAAACGAATAAAATACATTGATTATATCTAGTTTGTGAAAAATTACACACAGAATTTCATTTGGCAAATCCAATACGGTGAGACGCATTATGTTGGAAATTTCCGTGTTTAATCTCTTAGTGCATGTGCTTTGTATACACATATATATTAATAGATGCATGAGAAAAAATTCTTCTCTTCGGTCAATATCGTCCAAAAGAACAATGACGAAGGAATGAGGTTATCTATTGTTGAGATCGTCGTTTCTGTTTGAAAGAACTATTCCTCTGTTTTCAGAATATTTGTCGTTTAATCAATCATGCAAATTTTCTACTGGTTTGGTATCAAATGTTTGCCTTATGTAGTTCGTGTGATTTGATTTGTTAAAAAAACATTAGAAGATGAGATGTATTGTAAGAAATAAATGAATTCGTACTATAGTCGATAGACAGAGAATATTTTATTATGTTTGAATATTTACATTTTTTCTCATGACGAACTGAATATTGATACTAATAGTACATCTTACCTCGAGACTTTTGCGGATACCATATTTGAAAATTTAGCTAGAAGTCGTCAGTTAGTATTAGTCGAATCTGTTTCAAGTGTATACACCATTTAAAGTGGAGAAGATAACTAAAAAATCTGCAACGAAAACAGATCTTATCATTTGAAATCATTCAGTTATTGATTTTATTTCAATACTGTGAGGATGAACTTCGTCATTTCGTACAAATGATATCAATGATACCAATAGTGTCGATAATTCGTTAACAATTGAGGATAGATATCCTTTAACCAGGGAAAGAATGCCCCACAAATAACGTGCGTCGGCGGTCTTACTCAGTTCTTTCTCATAGAAATCGTGTTCGACAACGTTATTGAATACTTCACTTATATAATTAGACGAAACCGATACCAGGTTTAAACCTCCGTGCTGAACTAGCGTTCGGTGAATATTCATGAGTAGAATCACTTTTAATTTCAAATTCATCATCCTCTCAGTGGAGTGCGATCACATTTACAAATAGACAATTTATGTTTGTAACATCGTCCCTACCAGAAGGGGAAGAGAAAAATCATTGAAGTAGTTGTAATTATGTGGAAAACATCTCGATCAAATGCAACGAAGATTGTCTGTCTCAAAATATTTCACCACAAAAGTGATATCTCCACCATCTTCTTGAACAGTTGGTCGTATTCGCGTGTCCAACAATTCTTTGATCATCGCAGTTGTTGTATCATCATTATCGGGTGAAACACATTCAAGAGTACTATTTGGAGGCTGTTGGGCATCGTCATCGATCACTGGAAGATTTGTTGAGAAAAAAATCCATAATCGCTGCATAAATCTCAGGTTTTAATGTGTGCCATTGAATATCATCGTGTTGTTTGGTTACTGTGATAAAATCTGAGCCCAGAAAGACGGATTTAACACCTTCGATACGAAACAATTGTCTAATGCGAAAACTGAAACATGAATTGTTGAGGGAAATGTTCGTTTTCTACTTTATGAGTGGTGAAATGAAAGCTGATTGAATGTTTGGGAAATCTCGCGTGCCGAGATTTGTGTCGAGAACTGATCGACCAGGCAGAAATTTCAAACTATTTGAATCTGGTGTGTCTTGAGATTGAATAAACATGGATCGACCTATTCGAGTTCGGGAAATCAACGAGTGTTTCGTATGTTGATCGAGATTCACAAGACAGAAGTAATTCATAGATAAGAGTCATGCATTGTACACGCGATAGTATGCGAATTGCGAAAAAGATTACCGACGGCTTTGTTTTATCTTAGGAGGCGGTTTACTTTTTAGAAATCAACATTGATTTCCTTTTGTTTGGATGCTGTATGAAGCAAAGCGGAAGCATATTGACCTTCTAAACCAAAAATTGAAATAAATGGCTTGGTCAATGATTTTGCATTATTCAAATATAAAAAAGAACAAACAACCCACATCTTATGAAATTGAAAAGAGATTTTGATGAAAAGGAAGCAACTTGGTGAAGTTGAATGTTGATTTCAACACCTTTCATATGCTGAGCGAATGCTCTGCCGTATGAGGCATATCTTCATGTTAATCTTTCCATTGTGACACCGTATTCATTTATTGTCTTTATCTTCAGAGTATGTATTAGTTATCGACAAATGGTCATGAGAAGTCGAAACGGAATATTTTTAATCTAGTACTATTTTCTCAATGTCAAAATGGATGAAGTTTGTTTTGGAACGTTTATTATCTCCTTGAGAAAAGAGTTTAACAGATATGAAGAAGATGTAATTAAGATGTAGACTAATGAATCGATCGAATGAATTGAATGATATTTTCGATCATATGGATTTGTTCTCGTTCATTTGTCACATCATGACCAGATTTTTTCAATAAAATGAACTTCGATATCATCATCGATTGTATGTGAACCATATGGCGACTTATGCGAACGAAATAACGGCTGGATCAATGAGTACGACCATTGAGAAAGGCATTCGTTAAGTCGGGTGAGATATGCCGGATACAATAAGCCATTGCTATCATTTATGAAAATAATAGCGGCCGTTGGCGTTAATGAAGCCGATTCCAATGTGCCTAAAAAAAGACGCGAGTTGAAAATAAAGTAAATACCAATTAGCTAAAATACAAGGACAATGTATTGAATTTTGCAGTATGGTCAAAAGTTGTTTACTGACCATCGGTAGAAGATTATCATCGCTTGTTGAGAAATCCTCGAGATCCGAATCGTCACTGTCGTCGTCATTTTCATATTCGTCTTTGCCGTCACCATTGTCTTCCCAGGTCGATCATTCCGGCGACTGGATCCGTTGAAATCTGAGCCGGTTCCGGTACAGTTTTCGCCGATTCCAGCAGGTTCCTTGTCGCCGGAATTACACAGGAAATATCCGATCGGTTCCTGGCCGGAATCCGGCGGCAAGGAAATGGTCGGAAAACGAACCTAACCGGCCGGAACCTACCGTGCCATAATAACCTGGGTTCGTCACTCACATGACTTGTACGATCTTTGCAATCAGCTTCTAGAGCCAATAAAGTAGAGAAACATCAAACTTTGAAAAAAAAATTACTTTTCCGTTTATCTTCTTCTAATAAAGTGAGTTCGGCCTTCATTCCAATGATTTTAAGTTGTAATAATGCCTTATTTTTTTTCTTTTTCCAGTGGAATGATTTGTTCGTTTAATTTTTCAATATTTTCTTTTATCTTTTTTTCACGTTGAGACAACTCGAGAATCTAAAAAATAGACGCATAACAAAAGAATGAATTGCAAAGATATTCATATACACATTTCCAAATGCACCACCGCCATATTTCTTTAGCTCGCGATTAGCCATTACGACACGACAAACGCTAGAATGTATCTGTATTCGTTTGTTGACTACGAGATGGACGAAAGAGATAGAAAAAGGAATGAATGTACGCATCGTCCCTATTGTTTTCTGTTTCTCTCGTTCTTTTCGTGATCTACAGACGAATTCAGATACAATTCAACGAATTTTCCTAACTTATTTCTTCTTCTGTCTCTGCAGAAGTAAACACAATCGTACCCAACAAGTTCGCAATGTCGCTATTCGAACGTATATCTCTCGCTTTATTGTTTCACTTAATGAAATTCTCCGTTATAGAATATCTTATCTTCTGTCTCTCCAATCTATTACATAATGTTAATTGAATCAGTGCATCGGATGGAAATTTACTCGATGGAATTCGTGATACATTAGTTCGTTTTATTCCTTATTCATCAGCGATCACCGGTGTTCGAAGTAAAATGTTACCAATCTGGAAAATTCTTCTACCAGCTGTTGGTTTAATGACTGGAAGATATGTTTGTGAGAAGATTTTGTATAAAATTATTTTACCGACATTGAATGCAATTCAAGAAGCTGATCGATATCGAAAAAGAAAACAAAAGCGAATTGCTCAAGTAAGATGCGTCATTTTCTTCTTTCTAACTCGAGATTTTGTTGTTTAGTTATCGATGGATGATGATTATGAAACCGAAGAAAATGTTCTTCTCTTCGAAACAACCTATGCATCGTTGGTCGCTCGAATAGCTGCAGGATTCTTCGGACAAGTTTTATTTTATCCTGTTGAAACTATTGTACATCGTCTTCACGTTCAAGGTGTTCGTGCCATTATTGATAATACAGACACCGGTGTTGGAGTTGTGCCAATCAACTCATCGATTTATTACACTGACTTTTGGTCTTGTTTCAAATCCATCGAAGAAACAGAAGGAAGTTCTGGTTTATACAAAGGAATCGGTTGTGTTCTTCTCAAATTTTCACTTTTGTATGGTGGAATGTTGTTGGCACATGGTGTGGCAAAGAAATTCGTTATGGATAATAAACCTCCGTTGACTCCTGCTCCTATCACAACTGCTCCACCACCTTGGCGACACGAACCAGCAACTACAATGACTACTGAAAATGGGCAATGGTAATCTTATTGAGAAAGAAATACACCATTTCGATCTTCGAATGAACTAAACACTTCTTTTGAATCTGTACTGTCATTGTCAATTACTTATTTGATTGTAGTTGTCAGAAATAAACAAAAACAAAATCTTTTTCTACAACGCACTCTCAATGAAAGTAATGTAGTATTCAAGAAAGATTTTCGGTAGAGAGGATTTTTGTTTCAATAATGATAAATTAACAAAGAAAGACTAGAAATGATCTTGACAAGAACATAGCCCATTTCGATGGAAATGATGGATACGATTCGCGTCTCGTATTATGATTTCACACTGCCGAATTTGAGCAATCATTTTTGTAGCACGATCTAAGAATGAAAAAAGTTTGGGGAAATATTTTAATTGAATAATTTCTTACGACAATCTCCGCAAACACGGAGATTTTTTGTAATTTGAATGAAAGATGGTTGAGATTGTTGGATGAAGTTGAACGCGATAGCGAGTTTTTCACTATGTCCACATAGTACAGATTCGACACTTTCTCCATCTTTAATCGGTCGAGTTATCCAACTTGAATCAAACTCAAAGCCATGCTGCTTCAATTCATTCGACAAACGATCAAGTTCAGCATAAATTTCGTTTGTTTGAGGATGTGAACGATCATGAGCTTTGAACCTCTTCAGCAATAAAAGAAACAAACAAAAATACTGTTTGAAGATTTACAAGAAATCTTTGCTTACCACAATTTTATCGCCGACTTCTGTCCATGATAATCCGACCTTGACGTTATTGCCGAATTGTTGTATTCGTTTTAATCGTTCTTCTTCAGCCGATTGATAATCTCCCACAGAAGAATAAGTATTTGACAAAAGAATAGAGGCAGAAATCAACGCTGATTTTTTCTCTGGAAATAAATTTTTCATTCGTTTGAACACTTTTTCAGAACGAACGATCTGACGATGATTACGAGCACCGGCCAACAGCGCCACTTTGAAAATCAGACGGTTTTGTACATTTGATCAATGATTTTCATCAAATAAAATCACAACTTACTGTACATTCCCAAAAAAGGCATATTTGACACTTCATAATCATCAATTAATTCCTGTGCTTCGTCAAATAATTCCATACGACTAAGACAATCAACCTGGAATTTACATATAAAATATTCGTTTTTTTCTAATATTCGAAATGAACAAACCATTGCAGTAACGATAACATCGGTCTTTCTTGGAATTTTCTTGAAGATAGTTCGAGCTTGGTCAATAAGTCCTGAATGTGAACATGCATTTAAAATACATATATGTGAGACGGAATCGTGAAGATTATTAGGTATTTTTTCGTAGATATCGAATGCTTCGTATCCCATTCCATTCCTTGTATACGCATTGACTAAAAAGTGACACATTATTGAATAATAAAACGAATTATCTTGTCATTACTCATAGAAGTATAAGTGAAAAGATCAGGTTGAGTTATGGATTGAAATATCTTCTCAGCTTGTTGAATATCACTTGATTTACCCTTTGGAAACAAATGAATTGTAGAAAATGGTAGTAATTTACAATATCATTACCAACATATCAATCAAAGCATTTCGCAATTGAAGATTATTTTGTAGATGTGAAATCTGATGAAGAATTCTTCTTGAAGTTTGTTGCATACCAATCTGAGCACATGCACCAACTAATGCCAATGCCATGATTAGATTAATTTGAATATTCTTCTGTTTTGCTTCTTCAAACATCGATAAACATTCGAATGGTTGATGATTGATTTTATAACCATTCATCATTATTCCGCAGAAAAATGAATCGAAAATTTGGATTTGTCGAAAGAATAATTCAGCATCTTCTACTTGACCAAATTTCATCAACATATCAATTGCTGAACTGAGAAGATTCCGATGGCGAAGGAAAGATTTTTGTAGTTTGTTAAATGCGCGATTTCCAATTTGAATTGCATGTTCATTGCAAAGTTTAGCACAAGCATTGAATACAATCGTGATGATTACCTCATTGGCTTCTATCGACATTTTCTCATACAATTCAAGAACTTTTTCTGCCATGTTATTCGACATATAACCTAAGATTGAAAACGGATTTTTCTGACGAAATTACGGGAAAAACGAACCTTTGAGCATGGCACCATACATAAATACAGTTTTATTCTCAATACTTGAAAAGATTTTATGTGCCTCATCGATTCTACGACATTGCACTAAAGGAAAAAAATCAGTAGTCGACAATACTTTAGTTTATGTTTCAAGATTGATTTTACTATAAAAGTGAATTAATGATGTCAGCAGAAATGGATCTTTTAATGATTGTATTGATAATTGTCTATGAATATAAATTCCACGTTGGTAATTCATTAATTTTGTAGCTGCTTTCAAAGCTAATGTATGAGTGATATTTGTAGCTATTGACTGATTTTTATCAAATAAATTAAGTGCTTCTTTATATTGTTGAGAATCGATTAGATTCTTCATATTCCAATTTAATTTAATCGATAATGATGATATGTTGGAAACATATCGATAGTGTTTCTTTTCCATATTCAACATATATCGAACAAGACTTAAGCAAATATTGTTCAACATGATCTGAAAGAAATGGACAATTTTTTGTTTTCGTCATCATTCTTTTCTCATCTGATGGAAATTTACAACTCACTCACTGATTTTCTTTTTTTATAATGGCTGTGCACAACCATTCGCAGGAATATCTATCCCAATAAAATACATCTTTATAGATGGCACTACAGACGGGAATTGACAATTTTAAGATGATTACAATCCACGTTCAAAAGCAATGTCTTTTGAGAAATTCGGTAAAGATTTCGAACATACATTCGAAAGAATATGTAAATGTACGATTCATGCGTAAACGATACAATACTGTCGAATCTTTTTGAAAATGAATAAAGTATGTAAAGGGAACAAATCGAATTTACCGTTTGGTATTCATCAAAGTAAACACAATGATCATTGATTATCGTCTCATATCTCAAGTATCAACTGGAGAAACAAAGTGTGTCAATTATTCAGTACATTCTGAATCTTCGTCTCGATCAGAAAAAAGTTACACTTTGAATACTTTTTTGTTTCAAAACGTTGATTAGCAATTAAAATACGACTCAGATCATTTCCCTGTAGTTTGTTTCTAATTATTAATTTCGATGAAACCAAATGAAGACCAAACTTTTGGTGAATGAGTCGAGAAAGACATTTGAAAAGCTTCTATCGATTTTGTTATTCTCAGGTTCTTGTAACAGATGTTTTATACATGCGAATGCTTGACCCTTTTACTCCTAATAAAAAACATCTGACAGTAAATAACAATATTGTAAACGCTATTATTTTCGTTTATTTTTCTACAAAATAAATTTGATATAATATTAAACACATAGAGGACATATCTACTGGTATTTCTCTGCTCAGAAAAAGTTTATGAAGCATGGTGATTCAATGTTATTTGCGTTTTATTGTACGAGCAAAGTCAGTGAATAACAACAATCGAATGCAATCTTATTTTAACTATGTTATTACTAGAAATTAATCATGTTATACGCGAATTTTTTTCATTCGTCCGTTAAAACTTTATTTAGTGACTTCGTTGATCACATATTTTCTTTTGGAATAAAAGACTCGACGATTGTGAAAATACCCACATCTTGTTCGGTTTTCTCCAACAAACAACTTTGTTTATATACTTATATAAGATTACACATTTCACATACATTTTATTATTGTATCGTATGACTTTTTTGAAAGGGTTTTTGTTTTCATCGCATAAAATGTGTTTCAGATCAGAATCTCCAACACGGCTCGTATGGAGAAAAATTATATCCCAAACACACTCTCAGATTTGATCGATTTGTTTTGGAATTCTTATGGATCTCGTACCGAGATGACTTTCTGAAATTATATACGTAAGTTTCTTGTCTTTATTACTTCATTTCTATTTATGATTTACAGTGAAATATACACATATCTTACAACTGCAAGGGCTGTACTTGATCGATCACTTAGAAGCCGGACGAATCAGCTTCATGATACCAGTTGGATCTCAGGTGAAAGATTATATGTATTTACAGAAAATTATATTCGAAATAAACTTGACAAAGTTTCAAAAGTAAGATTCACTGTGTTGAAATCAATATGCGTTTACGAAAGAATTATCGCTAATATGTAGAGAACCTTACGTTTATTTCATTTTCTTCGAGGATATTAACAGCCAACCTGCCGATAATATTCTTCAATATTATAAAAGGTCTCGGGACAAACATCGAATATTATTTGGAACACTCAATGGTGCTTATAACTATTTTAATCGTCACTGGGTTAGAGATGCGTATGACAATGGTAGAGATGTATGTGAGATTCATGTGGTATGTATTTTACTTGTCATGCTATTATGTACAGTTCTTCATCTGAATAGCTATGCACGAAAATATGGTCGGAAGTTGTGTTGAAACCGTTGTTTTCTCGAATAATTGGAAATTTAACGACATTTATGAACAGTTATAAGAACCGTACTTTCACTGATACCAATTTGATCCAGTGCATGAAGAAATTATTTGGCAGTGATATAGATTGGTCTCAACCTCCTTCCTTTGGATTCGACTTTCTTTCGACTAATATAAACAACACAGATATGCCAGATATTCACCATTTGATGGTAACGGTCGAAAAGGAGCTTTTGCGAACAACAGAAGATTTTTATCAGAAGAAACCGATTCCTCCTTCTTTCGAATCAAATGATCAATTATTTAATTACATAAAATCAGCAAGTGTACTTTCATTGATATAATATAAATATATTATTAGCTGATTTTAGATAGTAGAATATGTTGATGATGAAATACAACAAGCCAACGTTTGTTTATTAATCGAAATATCAACATTGAAGAAGTTACAGGATTTATTAGAAGGAATATTTTTTCCACCAAATGTTGTCGATATTATCGTGGATAAACTACGAAAACTTTTGTTAGACGATAACAACTACAACGGTAAATTTGATAAAAGTGATTTCGTTTGTTTATGAATAGTTTATTGATTGTCTTACAGAATTATCGAGACAATTCGAATCAATTCGTCGATTAAAGATATTGAAAAATGAATTATTGAAATTAATTGAAGAGCACGTTTACGAAAAAGGTCGTCATGAAATTGAATCTATCTATACCGACAAATCAATAAATGAGACTATCGTAAGCGATCTCTCTTATTTTCTTTCCTATCTATAAATTTCATATTTAGGATCCTTCATTTTATATCGAAACATTGATTGATCTTCAGACGAAATATCAGGCATTGATTCAAAAAATTCTCGCAAATGATGCAGCTTGTATTGCTGCTTGTAATAGTGTACAAATATGAATATTTCATTTTCAATTTCACTTATATTCAGAATATTTTTTTAAGGGTTGTGCAAAATTTGCTAATCAAAATGTTTTAACGGAAAAGTCGGATATGACGACAAAATCAGAAGTATTGTTATGCCAATACTGCGATCTTCTGTTGAAGAAAGGGTTCATATTTATATGATTTCGCAAAATTTCATACGAACTCCTTGTTGATTTTCTAGAAAAACAGCGACTACGGATGATAATTGGAATCATAAACAAAAAACTATTCTCGTAAGACTTTCATTGATACTTTACTATGGTTGATGTTGATTTCTTAGATTGTTTTCGATTTTATCGAATCTAAAGATCTTTTCATGCGAATATATCAAAAGAAACTCTGCAAACGTTTACTTAATAAATCAAGTGTATCGCATGAGTACGAAACATCGTTAATTTCAACATTCAAAGTAAAACCCATTCGTCTTTCATCAACAAATACTCGATAATTCATTCGCAGGATAAATGTGGTCATGAATATACATCAAAAATTGAACAAATGATGAAAGATATTCGTATAAGTGAAGATTTAACTAAGGAGTATAAAGAGAATGTAGAGAAGAATTCGATCTACGATTCAGAGAAATTCTCTGTCATGGTATTTATGACAAATTACTGGCCATTATCTCCTTTACCGAATGTGATTTTACCAACCGAAGTCAGAGTTTTCATTATAAATATTTTCCTTTTGAATCGTTTTTTATTTTAATTTAGTTAAAATCAATGTTTGATGATTTCACGAAATTTTATCTTGGAAAGTATAATGGTCGAAAGTTAACGTTACTTCATCAACATTCACATGGAGAACTTCGTATGAAAATTTCGGGACAAACTTATCAATTACTAGTAGGATAATATCTGTATGAGATGACTGAAATCGAAAATATCATTCTCTTCGTCAAGGTTTCAACATATCAAATGATGGTATTATTTTTATTCAATGACAAGCCAAATTGGACAGTCGAACAAATTCAAGATCGAACACAGATTGAATCAAAATTGTTACCAGACATTTTATCAATTTTATCAAACAAAAATATCTTAATCTCTGAGAATGGTTTTGATTCAACCAGTGTAATTCGACTAACTGACAATTTCACCAGGTAAATATTTTCTCAAGTAAAAATAAGAAAAGAAATGTTTGTTTCAAGTGATAAGTTTCGAGTGAATTTGAATATTCCATTGGAATTGAATAAAGAGAAAAAGTCCAATGATCTATCTCGAACAATTGATGAAGAACGTCGAATGAAAATTCAAGCTGCTCTTGTTCGAATTATGAAGAAGGAAAAGATATTGAAATATTCATTATTAATTGAACAAATCAGAACACAATTTCAACCAGAAGTTTCGTCAATCAAAGTAAACTTAATAAAAAAAAGAAGATCATTTTTTACGACATGTCTTCTTTCTCTAGAAATGCATTGAAATTTTGATCGAAAAGGAATATTTTCAACGTGATCCAAACGACAAAAACACTTTGGTTTACTTACCTTGAAATAATTAACCGCACGCGTTGTTTTCTCCTATATTGCTAATTAAGATAAAATAAATAATACTTAAACTTGTACTGAAAAACGAATGCCAGTTATTATTTTCGAACTTTCAAATTTGATTTCGATATGTATCAGTGACGAGTAAAACTAATATGATTTTCAAAACGAGGAAATTTATTCATAAAAAATATCGATTAGTTGAATTCAATTCAGAAAAGATTATCTCAACAATGTCTCAGTTGATGAACGAATTTCGTTAAACGTGTTATTCCAAGAATATTTACAAATAAAGAAAAAGATATGATGTGGCTTGAAAAGAAGATATTTTTCTAAATGAAACAATCAACAACATGTTGATTTAATATCTATTGTCTTTGGAAGAATGTGATAAACGACGTCTACGATCATTTGAAGATGAATAATGTCGTTTTGAACCTAATCGTTGTTTATGTGGTGATCGAGAACGATCATGTCTTCGACGACGATCATTTTTTGGACTTCGATGTCTAAAAAGAATTCAAGAATGAAAAGTAACGATAATCAATGAACAAAATACCTTGATGTTCTTCGACTATTCGATGATGAACGTGATCGTCGATATCCCGCATATGATTCATAACGATTTGGTCTTCGTAACTGATTCAAATCATTGTCTTCTCGATTGTCTGTCTAAAATTGTATGTTGTATTTCAATTGATATGTGAATAACACTGGAATAACTTACACGTCGATTTCGATTCAAATTTTGTCCTGGTGTTGTTTTGGTGAATTCAACAACTAAAGTTCGACCACGATGTACACGACCATGTTCACTTCGTTGTGCAGTCTTCGTAAGAAAAGCAATTAACGGAGAGTAAAGAACAAGTATATTTCATACTTCAGCATGAACAATTGAATGATAAGAAACAAATCCGAATGCGACGTTATACGCTTAAAAAATGTATGAATAGATAGTCGAAGATTAATTTCTTTCTTACTTGGTCCACCAAATCTTACTTGACACCGTTCGACTTCTCCATATCGTTCGAATATTTCCTTTAATTCATGTGATTCAGTATCAGGATGAACATTTCCCACATAGAGATTTCTTGATACATTATTCATCTCTTTCGCGTTTCTTTTATACAAATGAGAACAAAAGAATAAACGACAATTGAATAGTTACACTTCGCTGCGCAAGCGATTAGTGTGATACAATGTCTTTCTCTTTCTCGGTCTCAACCTTGGAGGTAGCAAGCGAATCAACCAAAAATGCGCTGATACTCATTCACAATCCAACTTTTTTCCTCTTTTTGATATGTAGAGGTACATATTCGTTTAATATGGGCATTTTGTATTAGAAAAATAAAACAGAACAGATCATTTGAGTGAAGTATTACTTTATCAAAAACGACGATTATTTTTTAGAAAAGAATTGATCATATGTCACAAAAGATTCATTTCGAAAAAATCAGCACATCTGTGCTTCAATGGAGCCCTTTCTCTTCTCACCATATCGGGTTGATTATGTGTCCAACATACAAATTAAATGCGATGATAACATTAAAGTGCATTTGTGTCCTAATTAGACAAAGAGATATACCGAGCTCGTTCCAAATTCAATAGAAACCAAGTAAAATCGGTCGCAAGAGTTATCTAGAGGATCTCCAGTTTCGGTTTTACACGCTTCTGTTACCTTTCTGCACGTTCTCGACGCGTAAAAGAAAGAAGTCAGAGAACTGAAAGAGATGCTTGTTAGAATAATCAATGAACTCCGAGTCGAAATTGGTAGATGGGGAAAATATTCAAATGATTGCCATTCAATACTTTTCATCTCAATTATGCTATTATTCGTCGTGATCGCGCTGTGTGTCACATTTGTGTATTACATTATGTTCGAATATATCCGATATTTTCATTGCCACGCAGCTATTAAAAATCAGGCAGCATGGGATGGTTATTGATATTTTTTTCAATAGAGATTATCAAAATTCAAAACTAATTTTGGAGTAAATATCTTCATCAGGTCACGTTATGATAATTGAAAAGAAACAATAAAAACATTAACTGGTGAACATATTGTCGTAGAAGGCAGATTTAATCTGTTTAATCAAATAATTATGCTACTGAAATAAGATTTTGTGGAATGAAATTTAATTTTATTGAACTTTTCATTTGAACTTAGTTGAGTTGTCATCTTCGGTAACATATCCACGACCAACTATTCTATGACAGTCTAATAACATCTTTTGAAAGGAAAATTTTAAAACAAAAATCAGATTATGAACACGAATTTCTCGCTAAACTTCATTAAAATCGTCAAAAAATTTCAATTTTTGTTTTGGAATCAATCTGTGTTGCATAGAACTCAGCTAATATGTAGAAATTATCACATTGACGGTTGATTATATCGCAAAAAATTTAAACGAAAACAAAAGCAATTCGGAAATATGAATTTATTACAGATACAATAACATAACTGGAGTTTAGAAAAGAAAACACATGAGTAACATTTCTATGGCATGTACAACATCGTTCATATAGAGTGAAGGTGTGTATTAATGTACTGTCATCCACATCTTAACTAACAATCAAACGGTTTGATGAATATTTTCAATATATACAAATATCTTACTTTGTACAAATGACAATAGATATGAGGACGACAATTGTATAGTTTCATTTCACTTAGCAATCAGTGGAAAAATGCAATAATATTCAAATAATCTAGTTCCTTTTCTTTTCTTTTAGATGATTTTTTACATTCGATCAATAAAATGGTTGATTTCTTCTGTATTTTAATCTAAAAGTTGATATTGTAGATTAATTTAACTGACGCACTAAACTTCAAGTAGATAACAATAGAAAAAGATACTTACGATAACTTGAAAATAGATAAAAATATCATCACGATTTTTACAAAACGTGTCATTTAGATAAAAACAATGTCCATGCGAACTCGTGCAAGAGATCTTGGTATTCCTTTTAAAGGCACTCCAGGTGTGAATAACTCCATAACCGATGTTCAAGGTGTTGAAGTTGGACATCGAACACTAATAGGAAATTCATCTACTGATCAAAAATCAATTCGTACAGGAGTGACAGTTATTCTTCCAAGAGGAAAAAATATTTCAGGAAATATTGAAAATAAGAAGCTCTTTGGAGGATGGTATTCATTGAATGGAAATGGCGAGATGACAGGTACAACATGGCTTGATGAATCGGGTCTTCTTGCTCCATTAATTGCAATAACCAATACACATAGTGTCGGAACAATTCGTGATGCTGCTATTCAATGGTTTATTCAACAATCAACTGAAGCTAATCTTTCGGAGGGAGATTACAGTTCGTTAAGTTTACCAGTTGTTGCTGAAACATGGGATGGATTTCTTAACGATATTAATGGATTTCATGTTAAAGCAGAGCATCTTTTCGAAGCTATTCAATCAGCAAGTTCTGATGTCATTCTAGAAGGAAATGTTGGCGGTGGAACAGGAATGATTACACATAAATTTAAAGGTGGAATTGGAACATCATCACGCATACATGACCAATATACAGTTGGTGTTCTTGTTCAATCAAATTATGGAGTTCGAAATCAATTAACTATCGCAGGAATTCCTGTTGGTGAAATAATGTCCAATGAATTGTTACCAATACGTCAACAAGGATCGAAGAAGAGTGGTGAAGTTGGCTCAATTATTGTTATCGTAGCTACAGACGCACCTCTTCTGCCACATCAATTGAAACGCCTTGCTCGTCGCGTACCGATTGGAATTGGACTTGTCGGAGGACGTGGTGGTAACGGTTCAGGAGATATTTTTCTCGCATTTTCAACCGCGAATCAACAAATCATGGGTAAAGAGAAAGGTGTTGTACAGGTTGATATGTTACCAAATGAAGAAATGGATAGTTTGTTTGAATGTGTTGTACAAGCAACAGAGGAGGCAATTCTTAATGCAATGATTGCTGCCGAAACAATGGAAGGAGTTTATGGAAATAAAATCTATGCAATTCCACACGATAGAATAAGAGAACTTTTGAAAAAATTTAATAAATTATGAAACCTTTTTTGATTAAAGGTAATATATTCATTGACAAGAATAAATGAAATTAAATTTAGAGTGTCTTTGTTCAAAACAAGATTTTCTGCCATGGGGGTATAGCTCAGTGGTAGAGCATTCGACTGCAGATCGAGAGGTCCCTGGTTCAATCCCGGGTGCCCCCTTATCTTATTGCTTTTTCTTCTTTTTTCTCTTTCGTTCTTTTTTCGTATGATCTTTTATTGCAATACAATGAAAGAAATAAATGAATATTTAATGAATACATCAATACTGATGTATTCCTTTCATTATACTATCAATGGAAATCAGCAAGACCAAGAATCTGTCGTAGAAAACAAAACTGAATTCCAACACTTTCTGTGTGAATGTGAATAGTCTTTCGCTGTTGTCGTATTAGAACTACGACGAGATACGAATAAAACCAACGTAAGATTACATTATGTCAACAAGATTTTTCTATATTTTGAATTAAAAAACTCAAATGTAAGTATTATATTACAAAGGATTTGATCAGACAGACAAAAAAATGAAAAATATTTTTATTGACTTCTTCTCTCTCCAATACTTGGCATTGCACCTTCATTTTGCAAACAACTATTCTTAAATAAAGACGAATCCATCATTTGATATTCGGGTTCACTTGTTGATTCCCATTTGCACAGATTTGAATCAACCGATTGAATTTCATTATTTGCACCTTGTCTTACTATCCAAGCACCTTTACGTGCTAAACCTTGAGCAATCATACCGAATGTTGATTTCGATGTTGTGATTAAATATTTCATTTTAGATAAAATAAGTAATTCTGCTAATGTATATTGCATCTTTTCAATCGCATTCGTTGTGTGTGACATGTCGAATGGATTAAGAATTTCAATAGATGTATTTTGATAAATATTCAAAATTTGATTGATTAGATTTTGTCGACGTTGACGAGTATTCGATATAATATATAGATAAATTTTCACTTCATTATTAAATCTATAAAATAAACGAAACATTATTTGCGTCACGCATGGATTCGAAGTATTTTACTTTGTGAGATTTTCTATAACATTTTCAATACATTTTTGAAAAGGTTCGATATGTTCAACTATATGCGATGACCAACTACGCATATGAACACCAATTGTGATATTTCTGGTCGGAAAATTGTGTTTCTTTTCGAATTCTTGAATAATTAAGTTGACTTTTGGTATTGGTTGTAAAACTCTTTTGGCCAATTCACTGAAGATTTGTCCATTGTGAAAAAGGTTTTGAAAACTTTCTCTCAATCTTTCATTTCGTGTTAATATCGGAACAAAAATATTGAGCAGTTCGAATCCATTGCATATGATCAGTAAAAATATTTATCAAATAGAATCCAAATCGTTGAAACCATGAACGAATATCAACAATTTTATCATCACATAACATTATTTCGTCAAAGTAAAAAGCCCAATCTCGTGGTATTCGACTGTTACTGTTTATTTGCCAATGAATTTCATTGATCCATCGATTCTTAACCAAACTCATCAATCGCGAAAGGGAATATTGATGAACGAAACTACTTTCATTTAATGATGATGATGATGATAATGGTAAAAAAAGATCTTCAAAATTTGCATCATGATTATCACCAGGTTTCCAATTGATGAGAAGAACTCGATTTGTGACGAGAGCATAAGTGAGAGAAGATATTAACCCAAGAATGCGATTACCTAAACCATTGACAGCATCAAATACAACATAATTTGCATGCGAAGATGAAGATTTAAGAATACAAGTTCGGTACAATAGGTAGGAATTCAATAATAATGTTATGTTACATGTTTCGGTTGATAAAGCACATTTTTCGAAGGAATTACTTTCATAAAGATGCAAACATGAAGATGAAATAAAGAATTGATTACGAAAAATATAAAGAAAATAGATAATTATCAATAAAACAAGAATAATATTGATCTTTTTCTGTTTGAATTTCAATAACTTCATAAACTAATTGTTAAACGACTTTTCTTCCAGCGGACAAAATTCTTCTCATGTTCATTTTAATACGAAAATCACAAGAGGTTTTCTTTGTCAATTGAGATGTAATATAGTGAGTATCATATAAAACATCACAAAGAAAATGATTGAAGAAAAAAACCTACAATCATATACAATAAAAACAGATTCAGATAAAAGTTAAGTAAAATGATGTCGCTATGTGAGGTAAAACTAAAAGAAACACAACTTCTGTATTTTAAACTTCCTACAGGATGCGCTCGATACGACTGATGAAACGTATCTAGAAAAGTTTGTATAGCCTTTTTATTTTTTTCAATCAACGACACAAAGAATGGGGATTAAAATGACTTTTTCAACTTTATTATGTCTGTGTCGATGGTCTTGTTTATCTTTTTGTACATGTAACCGATACACTTTTTCCAAGTAATTGTGGATCTCCAGGTAATGAAATCAAAACTCGTGTACCGTTTTCGAAATTCCAACTATTTGTACATTGGCTAGTCGTACTACTTGCTCGATTTACATTGACAACAAATGTACCTGTTGCCATAGTTGGATGTGCTGCTGTAATTGTAAAACTATCGGTGTTCTCACTAAATANTAGACTAGATATGACTATGACTAAGAACAGCGGAAATGATTCTTCTTTCTCTATCTCCGTTTAGTGAACGTAGCATCAGACGAATGTATTCCATCTTCGCCCGTCCACTGCGTCAGTTCGTTGGTAAAGCATTTTTCAAAAGAAAGAGGTCACTAATTATTGAGGATGAAATGCAAAGAACTCTCAGTTGTTATAGTAATGTTTCTTTCATCTGAATAAAAATGGTCATTATCAACTATTTTTGATAGTGTGATTAAACTGACTATTGTACATTCTTTATCGATAGAAAAAAAATGAATGAGAAAAAACCAACGACTGAAGCTACTTCTACAGTTCAATCCAAATCATCTACTATTAAAAAAGAAGCACCTCTTTTAATTTGGTATAATAAAAACAATGAGGAAAAAATTGATGGAAATAATTTTATCTATTTTAACAACTCTCAACAATGTATTGAAACTGTCGAAAAATCAACTAAGCCAATTTTCCTTATACTGAATAGTTCTTCTGCAACAGATATACTTTCACGCACTCATTCGTTAGCACAAGTTGATACAATTTTTATTGATTGTCAATCACCACGAGAACAACAAAGATGTCAATATCTTCTCCAACATTATCCTAAAATATTTGATCTTTTTCTCGATCGTCAACAATTACTTAGAACTGTTCAAGAAAACGTCATTCTCTATCAACATCAATCTGGAAATGAATATCTTCGGTTAGGCGAACGTTATTCTAAACAAAGTAATGATCTGAATCTCGCATTAAAATATACACACAAAGCATTGAATATGTACCGAACGACACTTTCCAACCAAAATCATCCATTAGTGGCAAGATGTTTAAATAATCTCGGTGGAATCTATGATGCTCAAGGTGATGTAAATCGATCATTTGAATATTATGAACAAGCAATTAAAATGTATTCACAATTGGCACCTGCGTTAACCAATCAACCTGTATCAAAAGTACTTAAAAAATAGAATTCATTATAATAAAAATTTGTATGATTAACTTTTATATTTATAACAAAGTATAGTTTTTTAATAAAAGTTTTTTGTGTATAATCTAATCTAATAATACAGAAGAATCTGAATGTATATTTCCGAGATGATCATTCCGATCCAAGAAAAAGACTGATATTTTCTATATTGGACATACGATCACATTGCCAATAAATGATATCTTGGACCTACATGTTCAGAAATCAAATAGGTTTGGATATGCGATTGAACAAATAAAGGATTATTTGTTAAAAGATTTATTAAGGTTGCATAAGATGTGTTCACTTTTTCAACAAATTACTTCATATACTTGCGAATGATTGATAAAAATCTTTTTTGTTTTCCAATTTTTAAATGAAATGTATCTTCTATTTTTATCGACAAGTTCACTCAAGAAAACAATCAGCGTCTTTTTCTTGGATCTTAACGAAGAAAATCATGCAATATTTTATTTTATTTATAAATTCTTTCAAGTATAAAGTAATTCTCGAAAGAATTTACTATAGATACATAGAAAGAAATAGAAAAATCCAAAATAATCAAGCTTCAAGTTATCTTATGTGGACATATTCTTTGAGTATTTTAAATTATACTTTCAGTAATACTTAGTAATATACGTTTATCGTTCAAACAACTATTATTGAATAAACATGAATTCATCATTTGATATTCTGGTTCACTTGACGCTTCCGATTGGCAGATGTCTGATGAAAAGATTGAATTTTATATTGTTTGCATCTTTTCGGAAAATGGAACAAAATATTGATCTGTCTGAATTTCCTTATATGAAATCCTAATCGATTATCTATGAAATTTTCATTACATAAGATCTCGCAATTGGAATAAAAAGTTCAATCTCGTGGTATTCAACTATTACTTGTTGTTCGTTATTCAAATTCGTTCATCCATCGATTTTGAATCAGATAAAGAAGACTTGAGTATAACTAGAATTGAAAATATCGAACAAAACTCGGCTAGGTCCAACTGGGCACATTTATTAAAAACAGTTATTATTTAAGTGAGTTGAAATTAATAAGTGTTTTTTTTATTGTTTGAGTGTCATGAAAATTTGTGAAATCCTTTCTTGTCGTTTTATCTCTAAATTTTTCCGTGCTTACTCAAGTCTGCATATATAAACAGGTGAAGTCTTCCAGAAGGAGCTCAGTTTCGGAAACTCGAATATATGTTAGTAACAATTACTGACCATTCTACAGTGTTGTCAAGTGTATCTAAGGCACTTAAATCAAGCGAATTCTCTGGACTGAATTCATCATTTCGAAAAACAAATGACTCACTTCATTTATTTCGTTTTATTTGTGTGATCATATTTTAGACGTAGAAAAGCAATAAGTTTATGAAGTATAATTTCATTATGTTGTTCCGACATAGTATGAATGAATCACATCTATGTGACACGTAATTCAGGTGAAAGCAGAAAGTAGTCAACAGATGACGAAATTACTGAAGGATTTGTTTTTGTTCACGTGCCGCTGTCGATGTGTCTACTACAACGTGGCAATGTTAAAAAGTTCGTTAAATACCAATGGTTAATGAATATTTTTACGAAAAAACATTCTAATCAATTGACAATATGGGTATTTTTCTCAGTCGAATGTACGAAGTTTTATCTTCATTTACTAGTGAAGAACCAGCACGAATTTTAATGCTTGGTCTTGATGCTGCTGGTAAAACAACAATTTTGTACAAACTTAAACTTGACGAAAATCTTCAAACAATTCCAACCCTTGGTAAATTTCTTGTCATCAATAATAAAATCATTCTATTCTTGTCTCAAAGGATTTAATGTTGAACAAGTCAGTCCATGTCCTGGTGTGTCGTTCACTGTTTGGGATGTAAGTATGAACAACTTTGAATTTCGTACTATTTTTAAATTATTTTTCTTTTTTAAACTAGATCGGTGGTCAAGAACTAATTCGTAAACTATGGCAACATTACTATCAGAATTCGGATGGTTTAATCTTCGTTATTGATAGCTGTGATGCTGAACGAATGAATGAAGCTCGTGAAGAACTTCATGGTATTCTCTCGTCACCAGCTATGTCTAATATACCTGTTGTAATCCTCGCTAACAAACAAGATTTATCAAGTATGTAGAAAAATTTTAGAAAAATCTTAATATTTCTCTCTTAATAGCGGCATTGAAGCCTGCAGATATTATTGAAAAGTTGAATATGAATTCACTACGTGGTAAACACAAGTGGTTTATTCAAGCAACATGTGCAACAAGTGGAGATGGTCTCGTCGAAGGAATGCTCGAAATGAATAATCTGATTAAACAGCGTCGTAAACAAGCAAACTATTGATTAATTTCAAAACTGAATGCAACCTGATATCTTTCTGTCTCATATATTTTTACTTGAGATTTTCTGCTTCGTATTTTTTTCTTCAAAAAGAAAACGTACGAGTTAAAACAACAATGCTTCAACAATCATAAAACTTCAATTGAGTAAAGTTTTCACAATACATTTGTCATCGTCAGATATGATTGCAGTTGATTGAATGAATGACATAGATTTAATATGTTTTTCTATTCGTGATTTCATCGTGGGAACAAAAAGTCCAAATCAAGGATTTTGTTTGTATGAAAAACTTTCTTTTCAAAAGGAATTATCTGATATCTCTGTGAAGCTCGCACCAAGAAACAAAAATTTATATAAAATTTGATATTTAAATGAATTACCGACAACAAATTAGATAGACTAACCAATCATGATCTAATATCCAAAGGATGTTTCTTGAGCTTTTGCATAAAAACATGCGTAAAACATGAAATTAACTACATATTCAGAACCAGCGTGAAAAACTGCAGTGAGTCCATAGAATTGGACCAAAAAATAAGGAACTAAATTTTTTCAAAAATTTTGGCATCACTTTTAAATCAGGAGATTCAATATTCTTCGATAAATTGCTATGGCCTGTGCGTAGCGTTTAGTAATAATTCATCACCGTTTGATTGCAATTTCCCGATAATTAAGAAAAGGTTATTAATCTTTTCATGTTATACCATAAGTTTACGTAAACATCTTGACCATGAGAACATATTTATCTGGAAGATTTCAGTTCATTCCTATCCGAAAAGAAAGCAAATTCTTCCTATGGAGATCTTTTTCGTACAATAATCAATGATACACGAATTCTCTTTTCATTTCTACATCTCCATCGTGTTTATAGTTATTCTGTTATGTTAAATAACTGTTTAAACTCTGTATAGAACCGATAAAACAACAATTCATACTGGCGCCTACGATGTTATTACGATTGTTGTGTACATTGTTCCTATCATCATAGAAAAGAAGAGTTTTCGTCGAAATTAATTTTATTGAAAAAAGTATTTGGTGAGGAAAAGTTTTAAACTTTTGTACACGCACGAGGACAATTGCCACAGCATTTTTCATTCTCACCACAATCAGAATCATTCGTACAAGAAGCAATGCAAATACCAGGCTGAGTTTGTTCTGGACATTCACCCGGTTTATTGATTCTAGTTGAAGTTTCTAAATCAGTTCGAGGACAACACACAGCATAAGCATCNTAAACTTTTGTACACGCACGAGGACAATTGCCACAGCATTTTTCATTCTCACCACAATCAGAATCATTCGTACAAGAAGCAATGCAAATACCAGGCTGAGTTTGTTCTGGACATTCACCCGGTTTATTGATTCTAGTTGAAGTTTCTAAATCAATTCGAGGACAACACACAGCATAAGCATCAGTTGGTGCTATTTTACAATAGTGTGTTTCTGGACAGTCACTACGATTCACTGCACGTCCACAAGAATATCCATCCAATATTGGTGCTTCGTTTTCACATGGACTTTTCTTACATTGACATATAGGACATCCTTGTTTATTAACACGGTTTCCATATTTACAATAAATTGCACAGATTGGTCGATCACGACAGATTAGTTTCGACTCTGTAGGATTTGACATAGTTACTGATACCAATGTCCACAAGATCAAAATTCCCAAATAAATTACGTTGTTCATCATTGTTGAATCTTAGATGGTATAACGTTTGATATTGAAAAAGAGATTGAAGGATAACGAATGTAAATGATTTATGTATGAAATTCTCATCGAAATGCACAACATTTATATATGAGTGATATTGATATTTATAGAAAACAACCAACGTAAATGGGTACAATGCACTTTAAAAATATACGCTTCCGAAAACAAAAATCCTTGACTTTTGTAAACGAAAAAATACTTCTAACCATGATAATTTGTTTTCTTTTACGCATATATAATTAATATGATGATTCAAAAAGAAATATTAGTATTCAAGTGAATGACGTTTTATCAAAAACGAATAAGATCCCGTTAAAGAACGAAAATCTGTCCTTTTGGAGCATCACAACGATATCAATCAAAATTATAAATAGAAAAAAGTGAATAAGTAATCAAAGTGTATTGAATGGATCTGACGTCATTCAACTGTATTATTTTTCGTTTGATGTGATCATAGATGTCGATGTTCTATCAAAATCAATTCATACAATAGATGTACTGTATAAGTTCAAAGTTCTAAATGATTTTAAAAAAGTACGCGATAGTGTCTCATCGCAAATTTTTTATTTTTCGAAAATCTTTTTATATTAGGAGAAAATTTCAAAATAAATTAATGAATTGTCTGTTCGAGCAGAGATAAATCACTTTCATTAATTTCAACTAAAATTTTTATTGTATTGTCATCAGTATGAAGTATAGCGACATAAAGTCTTCCGACATGTGGTGCTTTCATGTCAATGATTTGATCGAGATTTCCGGATATTTCTTCTTGTTTTAATTTTTGTTGATAATGAAATTCATAAATGGTTGATATCGATCCTTTTAATGGACGTAATTCATCTTCAAATTTCAATGTATAATGGTTAACTGGTGGATATGATCGTACTGATAAAATCGGAGTTACATGTGTTAATCGACCAATGAATGCGACTTCAGCTGTAGCTAATCTATTTATTGCTTCTTCAGAGCCAATTAGGATAACCATTATAGTAAATCAAATCAAATAATCGACGAAGAATATTCCAAGGTAATGATATTTTGCTCTATTGAATAATCACGTGGAAAATATATAACGACGATTTACATGTAATAAGCGACGATTATTATCCTTGATCTGTACAATAAGAAAACAATGTTATTGAGGTATTTCATCATTCAATGACAAAATATATCCAAATTCGCTTGAATTGCTATATAGAATCTTTCATTGTTGGATATATAAGTTAAGAAAAGATGTTATATTCGAAATGATTTATTTGATAATACCATACGAAAAATTCATTTTTAAAAAAAATCATCAATATTGACATTCCGCTTTTTCGAAATCATTCAAACGATGCGATACAAGCAGAAGAAATGTAAGGAGAATAGTATTTGAATAACAAATCTAAAGCTTTTTTCCTGTGAAAATGAAGTCTTTGATGATCTCTGTTCCCTCATTAATGATCAAGGTTCGAAATCGAAGGAAAAAAAAAGAATTCTTTATTGACAGAAGAAATATCAATGAGCTTCACAGAAAAAAAAGGTAATATAAACGAATGAAAAAAGGAAAGTGGCTGAATTTTAATGTGACCAACAAAGCCAAGGTTATCAGTCGTGAATAACAACACATACGAAGATCAACATTGAAATCGAAAAAAAAAGATTGAAGTAAAAGTGGTGTTGAAAACAATCAAATTTCTCTTATTCATATTCATATTGATTATGACATAGGATGATGAAAACAATACACATTTCGATTTTCATTGGTGAGAAATACATTTCTGTACTATTAGTCGAACACTTTTTTTCGATCTTTTTTTCTAGTTATTTATTTGATTAGAATTGTATTTAATCAGTTAATTATTCAACCAAACGAATCAAGTATTTTACGTGATCAATATAAACCATTTATTGCTTTGTGTAGTGGACAGGAGAATATTCGAGTTGGTTCGTATAATTTCATCTTCATTAATAATAATTCTCTTAATATGTACCTTAGTTTCTTGGGAATCTCCATCGTTAATTCACATTGAAGAGAACGGTAATGGAAGGTAATGTAATAACTCAATAGATTTGATGATAATGTCATTCATTTAGAATAACAGTTGAACGGAAAAGTTATGGATTACGTTTGCGTATACGAAATTTAACGCAGAATGAACAAGGCATTTGGAAATGTTTAGGTTTTGATCAAAACGGAAAATCAATTTTGAATACTTTACAAATTAATGTTAAAAGTTGTTTATTTTACTTCTCATTAAAATAATCATTTTCTTCGTTTAATTAGTACCAATTACATTTGTTAGTGAACCAATTCAATATGCTGAATTAAATTCAAATGTGTTAATTCGATGTCGAGTTATTGCAAATCCATCCGCAGAAATCTCTTGGTTCAAAGGACGAGACAAAATCAATCTTCTTTCGTCAAACTATGAACAAAAGACTGATGGATTGAAAATTTATCGAGTATCATCAGTTGACAATGATACATTTTGGTGTCAAGCAGATGTAACTGAAACAGGTGAATCAAAAGAATATTCAATTCAAGTGATTCTTGCAAGTAAGTGTGTTCATCCTCATCAGGTATCGATTCTGATTTAAATGTTTTAGAAACGATTTCTTCGACAAGAATTACGTGTGTTTCGCCTTGTGCTGTGGAGAAACGAACAGCTACGTTGATTTGTGAAGCAAATGGAATGCCACTACCAAGATATACATGGTATTATGGAGAGGTTTGACAATGAAATCGAAAGAATTTATGTTAAATTTGGATAAATTGATTTTTAGTTTAATACATTTCATTCGAATGGAATAACAAAATTTGTTGTTCGTGAAAATCGACTAATTATTAATTATGTTGATGAAACTGATAATGGTCGATATACATGTCATGCATTTAATGATTATGATAAACAAGGACAAAGAATCGATTATAATCTCAATGTTATTAGTAAATTTTTACGAATTTGTTTTGAATACTTTTCTTCAATAAATTCTTTTAGTTCCACTTCAATTATCGCAAATTCTTCCCATTGAAATTAGTATTGATGATCAATTTCCAACACAACGTGTTACATTTTCTTGTCGAGTTCTACGCGGTTCATCTACAAATCTTTCTCTAGAATGGTTTTATCCAAACAATACTCTTGTTCAAGTAAAATGAATATTAAAATTACAATTTTACTTAGAATTGTTCGTGATTTAGTCGACTGATGGTATATCAATCGATATTTCTCAGATGATGACACATCATCTAATTGAACTAACTTTCAATTCAGTACGTCGTGAACATCATGGAAATTATACATGTGTTGGAAAGAATTTGGGTGATCGAACGTCAACTATCGCGCAATTTCTTGTCAAATGTAATAGTTCATCCATGCTATATCTCTTCTTCTCACGATTTCATCTTTGAAGATAAACCAGTTTTCATAAGTCCAGATATTACTCATGTGTACAGTGCACCAGGTCATCAAGGTAAAGATTTTTTCTAATTTGATGATGAAATTCTTTGTGTTTTAGTTACAATGAAATGTCGGTTCGATAGTTATCCTCCACCGATTATGCGATGGATAAAACTGAATACAAATCATGAAGAAAATCAAATGTTGTTAGAAGAGATCAATCCACAAATGATCGAGATTCAAACAAAACAAATCGATTCAACTATTTATCAAACCGAATTAACGGTAAACTCCATTTTCTCCTTCCAATCTTCTTTGAATAACTTTGTTTTAGTACAAACCAACTGAAGAAGATTTTGGTCTCAAATTTCAATGTCAAGCCGATAATTCTCGAATGGAAAAACATACATTTACACTTCAACGTGCTGAACTTCCCCATCGAGTTCGTATTATCGAAGTTGAACCACATTCAACTACCATCAACTTAACTGTTCAACCACCTCTCGAATCCGGTGGTCTTCCTTTACTTCAATATATCGTTAAATACGAACAAATAGACAATCCTGATTCTCTTCAGATAATTTCTTTTCCAGTTTTATCCAACGAGACTCAAACAATCGAATTAAAATCTTTACAAGTTGCACATTTGTATCGAATTCAAATCGCAGTCGAATCACATGCAGGACAAAGTACATTTTCAGTACCTGTTCAAGCGAAAACATTGCATGGTGATGTTCCACAGTTCCATTTAACGAATATTTCATGTCTGAACAATCAATCATATCTAATTCAATGGATAATTGACAATGATGGTGGATCAGCCATTTCACAAATTGAAATCTCTTATGCCAAAGTATCGAAATTCGTTGATATTCACAGATTTTCACATATCTTTGTTTTTTTTGAATTAAGGTTAACAAAAATAATAAAACAGAACAATGGAGTAAACCAATTCTTCTTCAACCATTGATCAATGAGTATAAATTGAAAGATCTTCGACCTAAGAAAACTTATATGATTTCTGTTCGCTTATTAAATACAGCTGGATTTAGTGAAAGAAAAACTGAAAAAATCATTGGTAAAGAATTTTTAATTCGAATAAATGATCGATTTTTTGTTTGATATCATCTTAGCTTGTCAAATGTATATTCCTCGATCAGCAAGAATATCAATTATTATTGGAATAATAATTCTAATTCTATTTGGTACAATCCTTCTTTTTCTTTTCTTGGTTTTGAATCGAGTTTTATGGGATCGTAAATGTCATTAGAATCACTTTTGTATTGAAATTTATGGTGACAATGTACAAAAGAAGAATTTTCTTTGCAGATAAAATTGTAATAGATTAACACGATAATCTCGAAAGAATTTTCACAGTGATTTTTTTATAAATTCATTTTCATTTATTTACAAAATAAAATTCGACGATATTCCTTTACTCGATTTCAAATATTCTGTGCGATTGACAAGAAATTTCATTGCTATTGGTGGATTTTTTTTAGATCAGGTTCGGCTTATACGAATGACTATGACGTTTATTCGTTTTAGTTGAAAAGAAAATGGAATCAGTACGCAACACAAAAAGCTATGAGGGAGGTAAAGCACAAAAAAAATTGAGGGGGCTTTGGTTGAAGAAAAAAAAAAGAGAGATAAGTCTACATTAGAGACAGACCGAAATGTTTCTTGTTCTTAGCTTATTTTTTCCATGTACCTAAAAGAGAAAAACAAATATACAATTAAGGAACAAGAGTCTACACGTTTGAACAAACCGGTTTCATAATCCCATTTCGATGATAAACCGTTCATGGGACCTTGACGAGCAGCAATATGAAATTGCATTTGTTGTTTCAATTTCTCATCACTCATACTATTAGGTTTATCGAAATTGTAAGCTAAAATGATTTTAATGAAGAAAAGAAGCGCTATCGACAATGCATACCTAAACGTCGCCAACCATCATATGCAAGGGTCAAAGCTGAAAGAGCAATTAAACCCCAACCAAGTGTCCATTTCCAAAGACCACTAGACGCTGTAAATTCTTCAAATGTTTGGCGAAAACTTGCTCGATATACTAAAAGAAAATTTTCATGAAAAAATCGATTTATTGACGCGGATTAAAAAGCTTACATCGTTTCTTTTCGTCTATTGACAATTGTTTCCAATCACCTTGCTCTTTCTTTCTTAAAACAGCAGTTTCTGGCGTATCTGCTTCCCAGCGAATGCTTGGACAAGGAAACATGACCAAATCAAAATATTCTGGTTTTCCTTTCAAACCATAACCGACGATTTGACGATTTCCAATACGTGGGTACATTCGCATACGATCAGCATCTAACGGTGGTGGTGCTTTTCGATTGTCCAATACGATTGGGCTACTTTGAACCACGCTACTGACTGTTGATGCATTGGCACGGCTTTGATGTTGTAGCATTGAAACTACCGGCGTTTGAGACAATTTTACATTTCGAATGAGAAAGTGGCTCATTCTTGCTTGATTAAATAAATTGACTCGGTGAATATATCTAAAAAAAATTCCAATAATCAAGACAATGTTTCGAATGTACCGAATGTTGTTTATTTCACGAAGACATGATGATAATAATTGTAGAGGAAAAATAAACAAGAGCGACATTAGCGACCTCACTACGATCTGTGATTGAATAATACAAATAAACCAATGAAATCAATTATTGAAGCCTTCGTCTTCTTTTTCTCATTTATTAATTGCTAACAGCATTGATTAATGTTCAAGATAAAATTCATCATTGACCGAAATATATCAGTTTCCCATTGAACAATAGCAAACAAACAATTAAACCCGTTTTTTCTGTTGATGAATAAGTCATATGTACTCTATATCAATATGTGAAATTGAATGTTTAAAAGGACATTTAAACTTTTGTTTTTCTTTTAGATCTTGTCAAATGAGAAACTCTTTGTTCGTTTGTGTACTCATCTTTAGCCAATTGGGCTACGTATTGACAACACTTGTTGATGGAATTGTTACTTTGTCTTGGTCACCGTCCGAACCGACACCCATTATCGATCGTTTTCTGGTGAATAACACCCAAATACAATTGAAAATTCTTTGTCGAGAATCAACAACCAATGTTAGCACAACGCGCGATCAAATCAAAAAGAAAGTTTATAAATTAGACAAAACTGTCAAAGACACAACAATCAAAATTCGCGGACGGATCGGTTATGTTGTTGGATGTTTACCGTTGCAATCGGATACGTTAATAAGTGCAACACAAGAAGATAAAACTTCACAAAAGTCTATTTTTCAAGGTTATTATGACGAAATCTGGAAAGAAATGGAACAAAGAACATTTGTTGCTTCTCAAATCGATTGTGATTATTCGGGAACACACTTATTCATTGAACAATATTCCGAGATCAAACCACCAGAAATTTCTCAAAAAGAAGCAATCAAATTACGAGAAAAACAAATGCAAACAAACAATAATCAAAAAGTTCGACGAGAAACTCAATCTAAGATTTCTTCTAACACGACTCATTCAAATACAGGAACATTATTAACATGGGCGGATGGATATTATCTCATCGAAATTCATACGCCAGATATTTCCGGAGGAAATGGCTTAGCATTGGACGTTGATATTGAAGTATCGATGAAAAATCCATCGGGAAATTATATCACAGCTGATGAACACCCAGCTTTGGTTTTCTATGGAGTCATGTGCGTAATCTATGCATTATTTGCTATTTTATGGTTTATTTGGTGTGCGTTTTATTGGAAAGAATTACTTAAAATACAATTTTGGGTTGGTGGAGTTATTCTCATTGGAATGATCGAAAAATCTGCATTTTTAGCGGAATATGATACGTTAAATCGAAATGGGTAAAAATCATGTTCAAAGAATACATCTGAAAAAACAAACAGATTCTTTTTAGATATAAAGTTCATTATGCCATTGTTACAGCTGAAATTCTTTCATGTTTAAAACGTAGTGTCTCACGTATGTTAGTCGTGATTGTTGCACTTGGTTATGGAATAGTTAAACCCCGTCTTGGACCATTGAAACAAAAAGTAATCGCCATGGGAGTTTTATTTTTTACAATTGCATCTATCGAAGCTCTTCTACGAATCAACATAAAGCACGATGAAGTTAATAATAAAGTTTTGATTTCACGTCTTATATTAGCTGTTGTTGATGCAATTATTTATTATTGGATATTTACGGGTTTAGTGGCAACAACACGAACATTGCGTTTGAGAAAAAATTTAGTTAAATTGAATGTTTATCGACATTTTACCAACTCAATTTTGTTCGCCATTTTAGCCAGTGTATTATTTATGATCTGGTCGTTAAAATCACACTTTTTCACAACGTGTATTACCAATTGGAGAGAATTTTGGGTAAGAAAAAACATTGTTTGATCGAATGGAAAGATTAAAGATGTTGCAATGTAGGTTGATGACGCATTTTGGCACATTTTATTTTCAATCATTCTGCTTGTGATTATGTTTTTATTCCGCCCATCAAATAATAATCAACGTTATGCATTTGTTCCATTACTTGATCAATCAGATAATGACGATGATGAATTCGCTGATGGAGATGACGAACGAAGAGGTGAGAAAGATCATTTGTTTGTCTATCTTTCTCAAGAGGAATTCAACGATTTATTAAGTAGAATTGATTAATCGACAAAAAAACGATTTCGATCGTAATTTGATCTAATGTATACCTTCGAGTGACAGAATATCTCATTAGATTGTACTTCTATAAAGGAAAAATAGAAATATTTCTCTAAGGTATTAACATAGAGTATGATAGAAGCGTTTTTACAAAGGTCAATTGGATCGATTTTCTCTCTTGATGATATTTTGTCGATCATTGTAAATGTGTGTTTTTTGCCCATTCTTGACGAAAGTGCGTAAATTCATCGATTTTCTTTTATTTTTTTCAGAACCTACAGTACTCGATTCGATTACAATGCGAAAGGCATCCAACATAGAGAGTGGTGGATCGACAAAAGCTAAAAAACAACAACAACAAGCATATCTCAATCGTGAAGCCAATGTTGTCGGAACAGGTGTAGGTAATACAGTTGAAGATGCTCTATCATGGGTTGAAGGCAACATTCCAACTTCAATCGCTGATCAAGCATTACAAGCTCTAGATAGTGAAGATGAAATAATGAACACAAAATTAGAAAGATCGAAAATGCAGTAACGAAATTTTCATTGAAAAAGATTCGATTACCTTTTGATTTTCCCTTTCACATTGTTTTGTTTTGTTTCTCATATTCAAGTATTTATTTGTTCGTATGTAATGTTATTCTATTCAAATATTTTCTTTCTTTCTTTCTTTCTGTCATCATTCTTGTTTGTTTTTGTTTGTAACATGAGCTTATTCAGCAGGTGGTTGTTCCTCAATTGACAAAGAATTTCTTTGCGATTATTTCAGGAGGATGAAGATCTTTGAAAAATATTTTCCTTTTATTGTGATATTTCAGATATTTTTTGTACATAGTTCTTCTCAACATTTTCATATAGAGAAAATCTCACTCGATGTTCATATCGAATTAAAACAAGAACAGAAACGAATGGCAGCAACAGTAACATTGTCAAGTAAATCCTCGATTGACAAACCACCGAAACATTCTTCTCCAATAATTAATGAAAAAGAAATTTATTCTCCTGATTCATCGTCAACAACTTTATCACCGGAATCGACACATTCGATTTCATCACCTGATAAATCTTTTGTTGTTCATGAACAACCACAATCTATTCGTCTTGTTGATTATTTTGTTGTTTGTGGTATAAACAAATATGTTGATGTTGAACCTTCGATTGATTTAACTCGTAAAAACATTCCGTTTTTTCAAAATCTCTATTTTTCTTTCGTGATTTCTAGTCAGTGATCAAGTAATCAATCCATTTCAATGTTCATATCGTTGTCGTGTTCTGTGTCATTATCCGAATGAACTACCAAATAATCAATTCGATGAAGATGCAATCAGTCGTTTATCAATGCCGGATGGTGTTTCTATTCAACAGAATTCACCCGATCCACCAACGACACATCCATTTCTCATCACGCGATTGGATGGAACACGTTACTACGGTGTGGCATTGACATTTTTCGAACAATTAACTCATGATGATGGAACATATCCAGATAATTCATCTTCAACAGCAGTCAGTTCATTGAATCGTTTAATTGAAGCGTATTCTCGACAGCCACGTCGTTCGTCAACCGTCCTTTATGCAAGTAAAGCGATATGTTTGATTGGTCCATTACCTCATTATTCAACATTTAAACATATTTTGAAGCTTCTTTATCGAATGACCAGTGAACATGATCTGCTAGGTTTACCACTCGAAGCACATTTATACAATATTTTACATGAATTGCATATTCCATCTCCAGCGTTAACTCATTCAGTCCTGAAATTTCGTGTCGGAGAAAGACAATTAACAGTTTGGCAACCAAGTATCAATTATGATGATTTACCTCTATTAGATTTTAATTTGTTAGATTTCTTTTCTCTTCTCGGTGTCGAAGGTGTTATTGATCTTGTTACATGTGCATTATTAGAACATCAAATTATTCTAAAATCTTCAGGTAAATCAAAAGAAATTGTACTTTGACGTTTTTCTCTGACTTTTTCCATCTTTTAGATTATAATCGCCTGATGCTTGTTGCTGAATGTTTAACCTCATTGTTATTTCCATTTCAATGGACTCTTCTCTATGTTCCAATTGTGTTTACTGCTGCTCTTGTTTGTCTGGATGTTCCTGTTCCTGCCATAATGGGTCTTCGAATCAATAAATCGACTGGTACTTCCGATAATCCAAATTCTAACAATAATAAAGATGATGATGATAATGACTCTGATGCTTACAGTGATACAAGTGATGACGCCAACTTTGAAGTTCAGCGTTGTGTTGTTCATATCGATACTGGACGAATCCAATTACCTGATGATATGCCACGTTTTCCAGATCGTTCGATCTTTCGCGATGAATTAAATGAAATTTTATCACGATTTAATAGTTATATAAATAGGAACGAATCATCGAAGAAGAACAGCTTAGGAAAACAACGAAAAAGTCAGAAAAGTGAAGATTGGACACATGTTGATAATGAAGAAGTTGTTAATGAGCCAAGTCAGGCATTATCACGCCTATCTGCCATTGCAAAACGTGCTGGAATTGTTCTTAACAAAAACGAAGATGAAAATAGTAATGAATCTTTTTCTTTGTTCAATGAAAACGAATTGGAGAAACTTTCAGCAAGTAATTGTTTACGTTCATCATTTATCAACCGTTTTGCACAGTTATTTTGTCAAATGGATGCATTTATATGTTATCCACCATCAGGAAAATATGCAAATATTGATCAATGGTTAGCCCAACGTAGTACAACGAAGAATTTTGATCGAACAATGTTCATTGCTGATCAACCAAAACCTCATGTGCCTTTTTTACTTGCATTTATGGAAACGCAATCATTTGTATCATTTGTGGACAGTAAAATTGCAGCAAGATTCAATGGAGAAAATCTTCTTTTTGGTTTAACACATAAACATCTGCAATTCTTTTCTGAGCGTATTCGTTTGTATCGTGATCGTCGAGATTTACCGTATCAAAAGTGTCTATCGATTGAGTCAATCGATCGCAGTACGCGTCTTCGTTTTACTTCGCCTTATCCACCATCGTTAATAATCATCAACGCATCTCCTGTTCGTGCATTGAATAATTATATTTCGTCATCGGAAGTTTCTTATTTGTTTGAAAATCTGAATGGAACGTTACTTGAATCATCTTCTTCGATGGCAATGCCAGCATCTCCAATGACACCGGGAATTTCAGATAGAACTGTTCGACGAACGCGATCTTATCAACAAAAACATCCGCCAAGACGAAAAACAAGAATGAAAAAACAGCAAACAGTCGCAACAAACGAACAACAACATGTTGTTCTCGTCGAAAATGAAGTTGTCTTCCAGCAATTATTGAAAGAATGTACAATGAAAGTAAGTCTTCGAAGAAATTTCGTATTGGACAGTAAAGAGAAGTTTTAATTTAGACAAAACGGATGGTTATCGAAAAAATGGAAGATATCGTTGAAGGAACGTCCGGATTGAAAAATCTCGATTCGTCATCAATGTTTAATTTGGAAGAAAATGTTCTTATAGCAGGTTTTTGTGATTTACTCGAGCGAGTTTGGTCACACGGACTTAATCATAGACCAAGTGGAAAGTCTGCTCTTTGGAATCATATTAAATATTATGTTAAACTTAAGAAATATGAAGCAGAACCATCGTACGGCAATCTTCCAATGAATTACGCTAAAGACGAAGATCCAGGTTAATTCTTTTTCTTCATCGTCGTAGAGACAATTCTTCTTAATTTTATCAATATTTTTAGCGTTAGTTTGGTGTTTAATGAGAAAACAGTTAGTTAATCGTAGTGTATCAGCTAGTCGATCACATTCGCCAAATGGCCACCGTAAGAAACAGGTTTTCATTTAATGAAAGTTTTTTTTCTGCGTATCTATTAAAGGTTCTCATACTCTTCCACGTCCTTACATGAGTCAACATCAGCCACGTTCATCTCCACTTCTTCAAATGACCGGTTCAACATTAAGTCTTAGTCCTTCGGAAAATGTTCCTCGAGATCATCCATCCAATACATCTATTCTTCATGATTTTCGTTCGATTCAATCATGTTTTGGACAAAATCATGTTTCTACCTCAGCATCTGAAATCGGTTTTGCTCGTGCTTTTGTCCGTTTAGCACTCGAACGGCGTCTTCTCTCTCGTCATTTATCTGAGCTCTTTGCTCACAGTGATCTCTTACAAGTCTTATATAAACGTGAAGCGTTCTTACGTGCAGACGATGGTGATTTACGTAAACAATTCTTAGCACATGTTGAATCGCTGCGTCTACTCGATTATAAATGCTTTTCAAATTCTTATGCAGACATTGATATAATCTATCATATTACAGTCGTTCCAGCAAAAACACGAACTACTGGAATATCAAGTACAACTGCAAATCCGTACATTGCATTAGCAGGAGTGTTAGGTTCAACAAAAGTGGTCCCACTACTTTCGAAAAATTCATCTGAAGTTCGATTGAAAGTACATAGATTCATTTTTCAAACTAAAACCTAAATGAAATTATTTAGCATAAAAATTTGGGTCAATTAACAACGCTACGAATCGGCCATGATAATTCAGGTTTAATGCCACGATGGCATATTGATCATGTTATTGTTCGAAATCAGTTAACAAATAATCGTTACCGGTTTGTTCCTAGTTTAGAATCGGTTTTCTTGTGTATCTTTTCAATTTAAAGATTTCCATGTGGTCGATGGTTAGGCAAAGGTGTTGATGACGATAGTCTCGAACGATTACTTTTTGTTGATGCAACGGGTTCATTTGAAATGAATGAAAGTGATAATAATAATTCTGTTTCCGATTCCGCATCACCATCTCAGTTAATGACAACAAGTTTAATTGGTGGAGGATCACAAGCAAGTTTATCGGCTGTTGGACGATCAAGATCACCTAGTTTACGACGTGCAAATGATCAAAGTAAGTCATTAGTGTTGAGCTTCATTGAAACTCATGCATAGTAATAAAATCTAATCACATGAACATCCCACATACAGATACTGTTCTTGGTTGGTTCTCGGAAAATTTCTATCGCCGTAAGAATTGCATGAAAGCCTGATTTGGTTCTTTTTACCTCTGACATACATACCCAACACTATTGCTGCTACTGATTTACCATTACTCGTCTCGCGAATTCATCTAACACAAAATTATCTTATTGCCTTTTGCTTTTCTATTTCTAGAAAATCAATCGAATCACCAAGCCGATGATATTTATGAATTACTGGGTCGATCAATTAATCAACTGGTCAAATATTTTGATGAATCTGAGAAGAAGGTAAAACTAGTTCGTTCACTTTCAGAGAACAATCGTACGGCTCGTTTAGAGAGGATTGATCACCCCGATCTTATGTGGTGAAGATGGTCTAGTGAACGCATTGGAAAAAACACTTTCGTTTGGTTTGAAAAAGTCAAGTGGTAATGTACCATTTTTTGGTGGCGGTCGAAAACGATATGTGTGGGATTTTCTAAGTGCGAATCGATTTCGAAATGATTGATTTTCATATTCAATGAATTTGCTCGTTTAGTCAAAGTCAGCGACGAATATGATGGTCGTCGATCACAATGGCAACGTAGCGGAATGGAAAAAGCCATTGTTTGTTATATCAACGGTGTTCGATCCATCGAAAAAGCTCTCGCCACATTCGGTAAAGATGGTCGCTTTCAAAGCTGGTGTTGCCTGGCTTGCAAGTAAGGATTATTATTGATGCGTTATAGAATTTTGTGGTGAAATTCTCGCTGTTTAGATTACATTTATTATCGGATTGGTTTCGATTGTTAAGTCAATGTAGTGATGCATGTCTAACGCAATTCTATGATCCTGTGAATAATTGTTTCCGTCAAGAAAAACTTAATCAGTTCATTGTCAATATTCTCGAACCTGTTAAAGATTTCGATTTTGCTCATTTAGAACCAGCACTACTAAAAGGTCTTGCTGGTGTTTGAAATTCATTGTCTATCCCAAGAATGTGAACTTTTTTGTTGTTGTTGTAATTGTATCTGTATATTAATTTGAACAAACAACAGTGATATACACAAAACCGAAAAGGCCTTTTTTCTCATCGCAATAAAATATTTATTTTTCCTTTTTTCAATCATGTTTTTTCTCGTTTGTTCTATTTGTCTATTTTCAATCTCTGAATAAATATGTATGAACTATTTCAATGATACTTTCTTCGTCGAAGGCAATCGGATGTAACTATCATTGCTATCAATGGACAAAGAATCCAAATAGTTTCTTCATCAAACTGAATGGCATCTAAGACTTGACGATTTATGAACATAATTGCTTAAATAAATCCCCATGCATGATTCCTTCCTTAAGCTTTTAGCGAAACTTTCACTAACAAAAGATGGAAGAAATAAAACAATCCTTTGAATAACATCGATTTGTACAGTCTATAAATCTATATGTGATCGACTCACAGATAAACATTCAATATCATCTTTTCTCTTGAAAAAGAAAACAAGAAGTAAAAATGCATGGCGAAAAATATATCAATCATCTTTAGATCTGACTGCCAACTACAATCTACTACATATTTGCATTTCATTTATTCTTTTTCCTCATTTTTCCTTGTCAAAATTCTTTATTTTGTTGGTAAACTACTAGTGCAATTTACGTAACCTGCCGTTGTAGACAGAAATATCTCATCAAACAGCTCTGCAAAGATATTTTCATCATCGAAACAGTGCTCCACGTACAGAGCCAACAGTATGTATATTTTTGAGCTGCAGTACTAACTTGATAGTTGCATGCTGTTAGAACTGTTTATAAATCACATATCCAATATATCTTATTTTTTTGAATATATTCACTATAAAGACCACAGAGGTTTCACAGAATAGTTACACCAGTACCTTCTGAACTTGAATAAATACTGTTGTACTTAAAGAAATAGTTATCACACTGTTGTTTTGTACTTGATTTCTGTTAAAGCAACGATAGTTTTGATTGAGTAATACATATGGGCCTAGCTACCGAGACGCAAGATTTCAAACAGACGTAGAAAAAAAACCTAATACTGGATTGTGCGGCGTGATTTGTCTATTTCAACTCGAATTTAAAGCCAAACAGAAGAGAGCAAAAACAGAGTTAACCAGTGTGAGTGTGATTATACTGTCGGGATACAAAGACGTCTATCACATTTCGCAAGTCAATGGCAATTTTACGGTCTGCTTCACCTGTTGGTTCAGTTTTATCCTTTCCAATGTGTTCAGGCCATGAACTTCAGGGTCTCTTGAGTCGCTCACACAAGAAGGAAAGGTTCAGTTCGCTTCGATCGAAGATGTCAAACTATGCAATATGATTGGCATTTCCACCTAACAATGGATTTTATATGTGTGAATTCATCGTTGATTTTGATTTGTCTTATATTTCCTGTTTTGACTGACTTCATATGCATCAATCCACATAAAATTCATCTTTTCTTTTTTCGACTGTTTGTACCTGACGATACATGTTCATCTGGCGTGTCGATATTTATATCGGCAGTGTGATAGATGAAGACGTAGGGGAGACACTTGTTCTTCGAGAATATTGATTGGACTAAATTGGCCTTTATCATCTTCCATTACTCGTAAACTCTGCCTCTATATAAGCCCCAAACAAATTCAAATCGATAATACTGATAACATTATTTACGAATATTTGTACTATACGTCCATGTGTGTCCGAGAAGACGTATGTTGAAAGTGAAACATGTTTTATTTCATTTGAAGATCGAGCATGTCATCATTTTAAATTAGTCTGCTGTTTACATTAGAAAATTTTGAAAGCATTCGAGTCCATTTCATCGATACACGTCAGAATCGCGTTTTATATGAGAATAATGTTTTCATATTGATTATCATATGGACATTGACTTACGATCAATNCTATACGTCCATGTGTGTCCGAGAAGACGTATGTTGAAAGTGAAACATGTTTTATTTCATTTGAAGATCGAGCATGTCATCATTTTAAATTAGTCTGCTGTTTACATTAGAAAATTTTGAAAGCATTCGAGTCCATTTCATCGATACACGTCAGAATCGCGTTTTATATGAGAATAATGTTTTCATATTGATTATCATATGGACATTGACTTACGATCAATATTTATCCTTCTTTTTCAGGTAGTTCGACATTCCAACAGCAATGTGTGTGGACGAATTATCAACAATTTTGGCTGCGCCTGGCAACGTGAGAATTATTAAATATCTTCTCGTTTTTCTTCAGTGATTTTTTTCAAGATGCGGCTGATCTTCTTCACCAGTTGGCTGTTCTACATGGATCTGTGGCAAAAATCGACATAAGCATTTCGCAAACTCACACGGGTCATTTGAATTTCATCATATAGTAAGCAGCTGATTGAAATTTGCTAAATTGAAAAACCTACTTTTAGTTTTCACGCAAACAATTCCGCACAAAAGTTTTACGAATATACAACAAATGCGTTGTGGCAAGGAAGTAGTGTCGAATGCATTACCTATGCCCAAACACCATTGCAAGACGCAACGGAGGAACAGAATCAAACACACTGACAATTTTTCTATCTGCTCTGTTGTCAAACATTTAGTTCTACATTCTCGCTCTGATTTTTGTTTGTTCAGTTGCAGAGATTCTCAGTTCACATGTTCGTATTTTTTGTTTAATGTACAACGGTGATCTTCATTCCATCTTTCTCTTATCATTTTTTCGGATGCTATGTTCAAACTTTTTTCTTCATGGCTTCATGTGTTTTCTTATTTGTCATCATACATGTTCACTAGTTAGAATAAGAGACGTTTTTCAAACGATTCCTCATACAATCCATTAGTTCCTCTTCTAACCTGCTCGATTTAGATTTAGATTGATCAAAGAATGCGGCTTTGTTTATATTATTTAGAGTAAGAGAATGATAAGTTAAATAACACTCATATATCGATAAAAATCCCAGACAACAAAAAGAAAGTATACTAAGAAAATGTAGAACTGTTTGTTTGTCTTGTTTCTCTTATTCTACTGCTGAAGCGATGACTTGTACGGCTGATTCATCAGTTGAACGTATAGTTAACTGCATAGTAATAGCTTGTGAACTGGGATCTGCTGATGTTCCACCTAATGCCATTTTTGCTCGAACAAGAACATCGTGTCCACCACGATAAACACCAGCCAAGTAGAGAGCATGAGACGCTTTGCCGTCTGGAATTTTATCGGATCTTTCACAAGCTTGCATTCCCATATAGTTGATGATTTTTTTGACACACTCTGTAAACAAAACGAAAAAACAATTAAGAGGATAAACGAGTAATAAACAATATTACCTTCGAGTGTCGGAATAGGTAATGTATACGTATCTTCGAGTTCATTTTCAGCGCCAATTTCCTCCCACGATGCAGACCAATTGGGTTTCAATACTTTTTGTACATGATCACTAACAGCTACTTCGACGTCTTCCAACTTAAAAACAAGAATACATCTTTATTTCTTTTTCAAAACAAAAATACATACGACAAATTCATCGGCATAGCCTTCTTCATCATCGGGTTCACCTGTGGCTGGATCACAATCTTTTACTGTGTATTTCATCGTGCATGCCAATGCTCCGGTGACCGCCGATGAATCATCAGGTAATTTAACTAATGTATAAGTTGTGCCTGTATCATTGCATTTAATCACTTGACAAGGAGTATAGTGAACAACTTCAAAACCTTCAGCTGATCCATCCATCTGAACAGTTACTTTCTCTAACAGTTGATCGTTCAGTGTGTTGTTTATATCAAACTAAAGATGAAAAAAAAAGGAAAGTGTTATTGAAAATGAAACAATGAATAACAGAGAAACGTTACTTGAAAAACAATGTAGTGACTAAAAACATGTTTGATACAGCGAACTACGTATTCAACTTCACTCTCAGTTAAATCAACAGATAATGATGATTTGAAGAGTGGACCCAGATGAGCAAATTCCGGCATAGCTGATAATTGTTCTAAAACAATGGAAGAGAAATGTGTTTAGAACAAGAAAAAGAAACACTCACCACTATAAGTATCTTCTCGAGCTTTCTTCGTTTCTGAGCCTCCTGGCGAAACACCAGTACTAATACTAATATTCGCTATAAAAGAAAAGAACAAATACATTCATCAATAGAGATTTGAAAGAATATTTAACCTTTCGGTTGTTCAACTTGAACAGCTTCTACAGGTACAGATCGAACATCGAATGGTTTCGTTGTCGGTTCCATTGTATATCGGTGTAAAAGACGTTCAAGTGCAGATAAAGATACATTCATTGCTAAATGAAACCACTCCAACTTCATTGATGGTTATATTCAATTGTTCTACTTACAGTTGAGAATATAAGCTGAGTTCAATGCTTTGTCATTTTGTTTCAATAATTGATAATAGAATGTTGCACGATCACGTACTTCATCATCTTGATCAAGAGTTGTTCGTTGTAAAAGTACCAAAATGTTTGGTAATAAATCTTCTGATGCTGCGCCAAACTTAGCCAAAGCGCTGACAGCAGCTTTAAAAAGAAAGTCATACATGAACAATTGACGAAGTCGAAATACATTACCTGCACGAACAGGTGCATTCTCAAGAATGACACGATTATAAATATAACGAATATATTTAGCTGGCGTCGTTGTTCGTGGTCCTTCACGACCCAATAAATGAAGAATACGTGTTGCCAATGATGTATGTTCACAATCTTCAATGAATTCACATAAATGAGCCAAACCTATCCGAATAAACATACACAAAAGGGTGACGAACAATGCAAGAAATGTATTCTCACCAGCTTCTTTTGCTTCAGGATTTTCTTCAACAATTGAAATGATTGTATTGACAATTGCTTTCTTATATTCGTATCCACCCTCTTCACGTAACATATTGGCAAGAAACGTCATCAATACTGTATGTTTACGTGGAAACTTTTGACATAATGATCTAAATTGATTAAAAACCATCATTACCAATGTAAATCAATCCTTATCCATTTCATACTTAATGGCATCGACGACCACAGTTTTGAATTGATCGGAGATTTCAGATAAAAATGATGAGATTTGTTTCATCAACCGATCAACACCTGCTTCATTACCAGTCTATAATGGACACAAGCGATGTAACCAATTTATGATGGAGAAAATGATATATTTACTTTGAGAAGTGTTGTTATAGCCAGCGTTGCAATTGATCGATTTGAATCAGTGATTAATGTTTCAAGATCAACATTGCAGGCTGTGACTGCTGCAGGATATTGAATAGCAACCTATTTTAAGAAAAACAAGTTTATTTTCATTCGCTGTCTCGTCGAATCTTCTTGTAACAAACTTTATTGAGTGTTCGAACAGCAGCATAACGTAAAACCGGTTTAGGTGATGAAATAAATAATTGAAGAACATTAACAGCTGAACTAAGTTCTTTTGGTGTCACACATTTGAGCGAAACAATTGTTGATGCTGCTTCATAGATAACCATTTCGTTTTTATGACGTAGACATGAATCAATGAAGTCGTACATTGGACTATCCGTTCTGAAAGTCAAACGAAGAAATAATTGATTCGACACATTTGGGCCTTTAAAAGACAAAACTTTCTACTGACCCTTCGCCTTCTTCATTGATCAAACTAGCTGCTATGCGAATGAGAAAACAATACGCGTATGGGCTTCGAAGGCCAGCCTTGGAAAATTTCACAATCAATTTTCGGATCGCATGTTTGTCCGATCGACGTATTTGATAAAGAAGACCAAGCGCATGATATTGGACCATGATATTATCGTTATTAACTGCTTCTTGAACTTCATTTACCCATCGTTTCACTACTTCAGGACCTTGACGCATCAAATGAACGGATGACACCAATGCGGCCGATGCAACCGATGGAAGTTTATCAACAATTGCTTGTTTCATATATCGTTCAACACTTTGCATCATCGATGCCTATAGATTTAAATGAATGGGTTAACATTTCGAAAAGAAAATCTCAATACGTACATCGGTGATTTTACATAAAGCACGTATGGCCGGTCCACGGTGTGAATCTTCTTTACCGGTCATATCACGAGTTAAACTTGATGTTACAATGATAACATCATTGGCAACCGTTGACATTTCCTTGATCGATAGATAAATCATTCGACGAAGCATCATCTAAATGTAAAATAGAATCAAACGAGTTGTTTTACTTTCCCGGTAAAATTTACATCTTTTGATTGAAATAATTTTGTCATAGCAAAAAATGTTTCGGTTGCTTCAGTTTGACCCAATTGTTCACCCTAAAGTAAAGGACAAATTAATTGTGCATATCTAAGCAGTCATGACAAATAAATCGAAAATAATAAGACCAAATAGATCCCTCAACAGAGAAAAAAATTATGCTGTTATTCATCACCGTTCAACAGAAAAAAAACACAGAGATTCTTTTTTTTACCATTTCTGGCTATAATAGTAATGATAGAAGACGATTCTGTAAATCTAACATGATTACAAGGGTATTTTCTTACTTGATTAATCATATAAATGATTTTCGTTAGAATTTGAACACATTTTCGTGTGTTTACAGGCGTTTCATTGAATGTTCGAGCCTATTGAGTACATAAATTATATTTTTTAGAATGATAATGAACGATTTCAGTTTACTTCTTGGAGGACAGAAGCCTTTTCGAGATTCTTGTATGGATTTCCACTTGTACTCGATTCTTCATCCTTTTTATCTTGTTTTCGGAATGACGAAAGCATCTTTTGATCCCCGTAACAACCACGAATTATAACAAAAGATCTGAAAAGTCCCTCGTTTAAATGAATTCAATTGGTTTCACTATACAGATAAAATAAATAAGAATAAAAATATCATATTGTTTCAAATGAGAACATTTGTTGGAATTGACAACATGGACCAATACAATTTTTACATTAATCATCTTTATTGATTCAGCAAATCCTTTTCAAATAAATTTTTTTTGTACAGAAGAACAATTCTTTCAAGTTCATATCGACATGAAATGTGTAAAATAATATCTTATAGATGTCGCCATATTTCATCAGCATAAATTAATAAAGTATCTATTATCGATAGCATAGAATCCAATTCCTAATGAAAGTGTAATATCGGTATGTAACAACAGATTAGTCATGTCCGACCTAGATCTTAGAATTGCATCAAATATTGTGATATAATATAGCTGGAAGTATAATACAGATCAAATTTATAACAAAAATGATTGAAATTTCGCCGGCGGAATCCAATGAAAACCGGTCATGTAGAATCTTATTGAATTTTGAGTTTGGGTTTCAGGGTAGTGTAAAACTGAAAGCTTAACGTTTCAGGCCAAAGTTCGAATGATCTATAGACGCATTATGCTGGCGTAATTATGGAGTAAGATAATGCAGAAGCATGATTTATTCTACATGAATGGTAGCTAGGTACTTTCGCATCATACATTTAATTTTTCATTTCAAATAGATGGGTTTTGAAGATATTTTTTCAGATTTTTGCGCCTTCTCATCCAAGTATTCTTTTCAAATTACCACTCAGATGATGATAATCCTCAGATTGTAATGAATGAAATAGTCATTGTCCTTCGAAACGCAATTCTTCCACTGCGAATTTTCCTACACACTATTGAAAAGGATTGAAATAATATTTATTCACTAACAAAATAATCATCACGGTTTTGAACTCGACAATTGTCCATTTCAATAGGAAATAAACGATTCATGAAGAAAGTTGAATTACTCCAAATCAGAACTAGAATAAATACAGCTAATCGAAAGATAATCATTGGCCGAAAAGAGAAGCCTAATAATAAGATGTATGTGCAAACAAAGAGATGCGAGGTCGTTTCAAATGTACTGAGCCAAATGCGCAAATCCAACAATGACGGCGACTATCTGACATAATTCAACAAGGTTCTTGGTGATGGATTTACGTCGGATTCCATCGGAAAAATTTTAATATTCTACTGCAAATTTGATGAGCGTTATTTTCAGCCACATATATTGTATTATAGCCTTACGCGTCTATCGGATCCGGAAGCGACAGAATCTTATATAATTTTGTCCGGTTCGATAGAATTTTACGAATTTTCATCCGCTACAAAAATAGCACGAAGTAAAAATCAAATTAAATCGTCATCTGTGTTACCTAAAGATAATGAGCGAATACGAGATGAGGTTATGTCATTGAAATGCATGCAAAATAGACAACAAGAAACACTTACAAAAAGAAGTAGTGATTTCTTTCTTTCTTCATTATTGTATATTTCTTCATTTACAGACAGTTTTATGTTTGTATCCGACTCAGTTTGATTCAAAATTGCGAACTCATGTTGGCAAAATTACGATCCTACATCAGCTAGTACACTATATACGTATTTAGAGCGCTTTTGAAAGTGTATTAGAATATAGTTCAGCTTCGGCTAATCTATATCTTCAGTTCTGTGTATTAAATTTTCTAGCAAAGATGAGCTTTTAATCAGTTAAATTGACATTAGTGGGAAAAGTAATCTTTTTATTGACGCACATAATGCGTCAAAGGATAACGGGAATATTTTTTATTAACTATTTCTATTCTTATAATTTAATAAGTGTTTTATTACTACCAAGAAGAACCTTCACTTCTTTTCAACTCATTTCAGATGGATCCATATATCTATCGTTTGTCTCGTTTTATTATTTTATTTATTTTTGCAATACCATCACTCATCTGTTTCCTTCTTATCTTTTTTTTTCTATTCAAAAATGGAGAAATCAATCACAAGCGCTTGCAGAATCATATCATTGTTGTATTTCTCTTTTGTAATTTCTTTCTTGTTACTACTGAATTACCTATTACATTAATTTATTCTTATGAAGGTTACGTTTTACCTCAGATTGAACAATTCTGTTCGTTTTGGGTAGCACATAATTATGGATTATATTGTGTTGGTTTAATGCTTATGGCTTTTGGATCGATTGAAAGATACTTTCTAATTTTTCATGAAAGATTAATGCATCGATGGCGTTTCATTGTTCATTATCCTGGTATATTTATATGTTTTATTTATCCACCTTTATTTTATCATTTGGTCGTTAATTTTTATCCATGTGAAAATAACTATGATTATGAATATTATGTTTGTGGAGGAGCTTGTTATCAATTCGAACATGTTATCAGTATTATTGATTATCTTCTNAGCTTCTTTTGCTTCAGGATTTTCTTCAACAATTGAAATGATTGTATTGACAATTGCTTTCTTATATTCGTATCCACCCTCTTCACGTAACATATTGGCAAGAAACGTCATCAATACTGTATGTTTACGTGGAAACTTTTGACATAATGATCTAAATTGATTAAATACCATCATTACCATGTAAATCAATCCTTATCCATTTCATACTTAATGGCATCGACGACCACCGTTTTGAATTGATCGGAGATTTCAGATAAAAATGATGAGATTTGTTTCATCAACCGATCAACACCTGCTTCATTACCAGTCTATAACGGATACAAGCGATGTAATCAATTTATGATGGAGAAAATGACATATTTACTTTGAGGAGTGTTGTTATAGCCAGTGTTGCAATTGATCGATTCGAATCGGTGATTAATGTTTCAAGATCAACATTGCAGGCTGTGACTGCTGCTGGATATTGAATAGCAACCTATTTTGAGAAAAACAAGTTTATTTTCGTTCGCTGTCTCGTCGAATCTTCTTGTAACAAACTTTGTTGAGTGTTCGAACAGCAGCATAACGTAAAACCGGTTTTGGTGATGAAATAAATAATTGAAGAACATTAACAGCTGAACTAAGTTCTTTTGGTGTCACACATTTGAGCGAAACAATTGTTGATGCTGCTTCGTAGATAACCATTTCATTTTTATGACGTAGACATGAATCAATGAAATCGTACATTGGACTATCCGTTCTAAAAGTCAAACGAAGAAAGAATTGATTCGACACATTTCGGCCTTTAAAAGACAAAAACTTTCTACTAACCCTTCGCCTTCTTCATTGATCAAACTAGCTGCTATGCGAATGAGAAAACAATACGCGTATGGGCTTCGAAGGCCAGCCTTGGAAAATTTCACAATCAATTTTCTGATCGCATGTTTGTCCGATCGACGTATTTGATAGAGAAGACCAAGCGCATGATATTGGACCATGATATTATCGTTATTAACTGCTTCTTGGACTTCATTTACCCATCGTTTCACTACTTCAGGACCTTGACGCATCAAATGAACGGATGACACCAATGCTGCCGACGCAACCGACGGAAGTTTATCAACAATTGCTTGTTTCATATATCGTTCAACACTTTGCATCATCGATGCCTATAGATTTAAATGAATGGATTACGATTTCGAAAAGAAAATCTCAATGCGTACATCGGTGATTTTACATAAAGCACGTATGGCCGGTCCACGGTGTGAATCTTCTTTACCGGTCATATCACGAGTTAAACTTGATGTTACAATGATAACATCATTGGCAACCGTTGACATTTCCTTGATCGATAGATAAATCATTCGACGAAGCATCATCTAAATGTAGAATAGAATAAAACGAGTTGCTTTACTTTCTCGGTAAAATTTACATCTTTTGATTGAAATAATTTTGTCATAGCAAAAAATGTTTCGGTTGCTTCAGTTTGACCCAATTGTTCACCCTAAAGTAAAGGACAAATTAGTTGTGCATATCTAAGCAGTCATGACAAATAAATCGAAAATAATAAGACCAAATGGATCCCTCAACAGAGAAAAAAATTATGCTGCTATTCATCACCATTCAACAGAAAAAGAAACACAGAGACTCTTTTTTACCATTTCTGGCTATAATAGTAATGATAGAAGATGATTCTGTAAATCTAACATGAGTACAAGAGTATTTTCTTACTTGATTAATCATATAAATGATCTTCGTTAGAATCTGAACACATTTTCGTGTGTTTACAGGTGTCTCATTGAATGTTCGAGCCTATTGGGTACAGAAATTATATTTTTTAGAATGATAATGAAAGACTTCAGTTTACTTCTTGGAGGACAGAAGCTTTTTCGAGATTCTTGTATGGATTTCCACTTGTACTTGATTCTTCATCCTTTTTATCTTGTTTCCGGAATGACGAAAGCATCTTTTGATCTCCTTAACAACCACGAATTATAACAAAAGATCTGAAAAGTCCCTCGTTTGAATGAATTCAATTGATTTCAGTATACAGATAAAATAAATAAGAATAAAAATATCATATTGTTTCAAATGAGAACATTTGTTGGAATTGACAACATGGACCAATACAATTTTTACATTAATCATCTTTATTTATTCAGCAAATCTTTTTCAAATAAAATTTCTTTTGTACAGACGAACAATTCTCTCAAGTTCATATCGATATGAAATGTGTAAAATAATATCTTATAGATGTCGCCATATTCCATCAGCATAAATTAATAAAGTATATAAGCATGAATCCAATTCCTCATGAAAGTGTAATATCGGTATGTAACTACGGGTTAGTCATAGCCAAACTATATCTAAGAAGTGCGTCAAATACTATGATATTATATAGCTGGAAGTATAATACTAATCAAATTTGTAACAAAAATGATTGAAATTTCGCCGGCGGAATCTAATTGAATTTTGAGTTTCAGGGTAGTATAAAGCTGAAAGCTTAACGTTTCAGACCAAAGTTCGAACGCACTATAGACACATTACGCCGGCGTAGTTATGGAGTAAGTTAATGCAGAAGCGTGATTTATCCTACATGAACGATATAATATTATTCAATCTTTTGAATCATTCAGCAGTAAAAGAGAATCAACGTATCACATACGTACTTTCGCACTATACATCTAATTTCTCATTTCAAATAGATGTGTTTGGAAGATATTTCTTCAGATTTTGACGGCTTTTCATCCAAGTATTCTTTTCAAATTACCAGTCAGATGATGATAATCCTCAGGTTGCAATGAATGAAATAGTCATTGACCTCCGAAAAGTAATTCTTCCATTGCAAAGCTCATGTTTTCTACACACTCTTGAAAAGAATTGAAATAATATTTATTCACTAACAAAATAATCATTACGATTTTGAACTCAATAATTGCCTATTTCAGTAGGCAATAAGAAGTTCATGAAGAAAGTTGAATTACTCTAACTCAGAACTAGAATAAATATAGATAATCTATAGATAATCATTGGTCGAAAAGAAAAGTCTAATAATAAGATATGTGTGCAAACAAAGAGATGCGAGATCGCTTCAAATGTACTTATCCAAGTGGACAAATCCAATAATGACGACGACTATCTGACATAATTCAAAAAGATGCCTGGTGATGGATTTACGTCGGATTCCCTCGGAAAAATTTTAATATTCCACTCCAAATATGAGCGCTATTTTCAGCCATATATATTGTATTAGAGCCTTGTGCGTCTGTTGGATCCGAAAGCAACAAAATCATATATAATTTTGTCCGTCTCGACAGAATTCTACGACTTTTCATTTGCTACAAAAATAGCACGAAGTAAAAATCAAATTAAATCGTCATCTATGTTACCTAAAGATAATGAGCGAATACGAGATGAGGTCGTGTCATTGAAATGTACGCAAGATAGACAACAAGAAACACTTACAAAAAAGAAATAGTGATTTCTTTCTTTCTTCATTATTGTATATTCCTTCATTTACAAACAGTTTTATGTTTGTATCTGACTCAGTTTGATTCAAAACTGCGAACTCATGTTGACTATTAAAATTGGAATCCCGCATCAGCTAGTACACTGTATACATATTTAGGGCACGCTTGAAAGCATATTAAAGTATAGTTCAGCTTCCGCTAATCTTTATCTTCAATTTTGTGTATTAAATTTTCAAGCAAAGACGAGCTTTTAATCAGTTACATAGATGTTAGTGGAAAAAGTAATCTTTTCATTGACACACATAATACGTCGAAGGATAACAGGGCATATTTTATTAACTATTTCTATTCTTATAATTCAATAAGCGTTTCATTACTACCAAGAAGAATATTCATTTCTGTTCAACTCATTTCAGATGGATCCATATATCTATCGTTTGACTCGTTTTATTATTTTATTTGTTTGTGCAATACCATCCCTAATCTGTTTCCTTCTTATCTTTTTTTTTCTATTCAAAAATGGAGAAATCAATCACAAGCGTTTGCAGAATCATGTCATTGTTGTGTTTCTCTTTTGTAATTTCTTTCTTGTTACTACTGAGTTACCTATTACATTAATTTATTCTTATGAAGGTTACGTTCTACCTCAGTTTGAACGCTTTTGTTCGTTTTGGGTAGCACATAATTATGCATTATATTGTGTTGGTTTGTTGCTTATGGCTTTTGGATCAATTGAAAGATACTTTCTAATTTTCCATGAAAGATCAATGTATCAATGGCGTTTCATTGTTCATTATCCTGGTATATTTATATGTTTTATTTATCCACCTTTATTTTATCATTTGGTCGTTAATTTTTATCCATGTGAAAATAACTATGATTATGAATATTATGTTTGTGGAGGAGCTTGTTATCAATTCGAACATGTTATCAGTATTATTGATTATCTTCTAAATGTCGCCTCTCCTACTATTATAATCGTATTAGCAAATATGATTCTTCTTTATCGTGTAATCAATCAAAAACGAGCAATGAAATTAGCGAATACTTGGCAAAAAAACCAATTGATGTATGTTCAACTAGTATCGATTTCAGTATTATATTTAATTATCTGGATACCATTTGTTATTATTTCACTAATTCGCTTATTTTATGATCCATTTTTTTTACAAGATGTGATTTTATTAATTATAAACTACTGTTTATATATCATTCCACTAGTTTCACCATTTAGTTGTCTTATTGGTTTACCAAAAGTACGATATCAATTGCGAAGAAGACATTGGCATTCATTGTGGGCACATAGTATTAATCATAATCGAATCGGACCAGCAAGAACTATGGATGTTGTTCGAACTAGACAGCAACATATTTTGCCAAGTCGACAACTAGAAAATGAACATATATGTTAATCATTTCAATCAAAATATTCTTATTCACGTCATATGACTTAACGAAAATTGCAATAATTAATCGACTATCAGAAAAATCTAAACACTAGAATTTCACGAATAGATTGTTTTTTATTTTAATGCTTTTCTTTCATCTATTTATATTCAATTAACAATATGTATTTGTGCTGCACTCCTATAATAATCTGTAACTTAACCTTCTCAAATACAATAATGATCGAAATCAATTATACGTTTTCTGTCGAGGGAGCGGACATAGACAAGAGAATCTATATGATACTGTTATCATCACCTACTCTCATCCTTTTTCGTAAATTCTTTAATATCATCGATCACGATATGTTCATCATTATATACATATAAACATAATTTACTATTAATATTTTTATGAAACAAGAATTTTGACATGATACAACTGCTCGACATGAAATATCTTCCAAAAAGCAAAGCGATTTTGATTCTTGATCACAGATACCAAGAATCGATTGTGCTGGAAGATAAAAAAAAACCGACAAGAACACACCAGCTAGTTGAATATACAATCAGTTCCATTTTGTACATGCATATGTAGAAAATTTCGTTTCAAGTCGAGAATAAACGGGTTATATTAACCCTGAACAATATAATTCCAGCATCCGAATTCTTTAAATGATTCACGCGATTGACTTTACTTGAATCTGTGAATTCTAAAGAAAGCCCGATGAATCCTTCTGGTGAATTTGTTCAAAAGATTTCTGCTTCTGTTTTCCATGGATCTCTAATGTCTTCGTACAGGTTCCAATCCGTACTTCTCGATACGATTATACGAAAAAATACGAAAGTGATGAATTGTTAGTAAAATACAACTATTCCCACTAGTAAGAATAACTCTCACTTCATTTTCTTACTACTCAATTGAGATAAATATGAAAAAAGAGAAAATTCTCAAATCGATAACATTTGACATCTATTTTGACGAATACGTATTCATGTCGCTACAATCCATTAGGTCGGCCATTGCATACATGGCTATAAACATAATTTCATTCGTGGCATTACAAATTGATTGTTTGTTTGTCTACTTTTTGCAATTTTCCATAAAGAAAAATGCTAAATATTCATGAAAAAATATAATTAACATGGAAACAATGGATTCAACACCAATATCTTCGTTAGTAGGCGAAACTTGGTTCGTTTTCTTGCTTAGAAAAAATCAATTGCAAACAGAATAGGTTTTTTTTCTGTTTTTCTATTTTAGTACGATTGACCAAAATCAAAATGAAATCAATAGTTGTACCACAATTGATATGCTCAAAGATTGTTCATCATCAAATAATAAACTTATTAAAACATCAGATAAACATGCAAAATTGCTATTAGAAAACTTAAATTTACTACGACAACAAAAGCAATTGTGTGATGTTATTTTAATTATCGGACAAAATCAAATCTATGCTCATCGAGCCATTCTTTCAGGTTTGAGAAAATCTTTTTCATTGATCAATAAACCTTTTTTTAACTTTTTTTCAAGCATGTAGTCCTTATTTTAAAGCGATGTTTCCTGGTGATTTAATTCAAAGTCAACAGATGGAAATAACTATTCATGATATTGATTATTGTGCAATGGATTTATTGATCAATTATTGTTATACATCGAGAATCATTGTTGATGAACAAAATGTACAAATCTTATTACCAGCAGCTTCCATTCTTCGAGTAAAGAACTCACCAATGAAATTTATTTCAATCAAACAGTTGTTTTTCTATTTAGATTGATGAAGTTCAACTGACATGTTGTGAATTTCTACATAAACGATTGAATCCAAATAATTGTCTGAGTATTCGTGCATTTGCTGAAAAAAACGCTTGCCAAGAATTATTAAATCTTGCTGATCGTTATACGCAACAACATTTTCTTAACGTCAAAGAAAGTGAAGAGTTCTTATTCTTACCAGTGAATCAGTTGATTGATATACTATCAAATGATGAATTGAATATTGCTTCGGAAGAAGATGTTTTTCTTTGTGTGATGAAATGGGTCTCATATAACGTGGAGCAAAGAAAAGAGTATTTATCTAAGGTAAATTTATTGGACTTCATGGACAAAAATGAGTTTTGTTATTTTTTAGATCTTTGAGCACATTCGATTTCCATTGATGTCGGCGCGATTTCTTGTGAATCGCGTTAGTTCAGATCCATTGATAAAAGCTGATCAAAGGTGTCGTGATTTGGTTGATGAAGCAAAAGATTATTTACTATTACCACACGACCGATTGAATATGCAAGGACCTCGAACTAAACGACGAAAACCAGTAAAATCATGTGAAGTTCTATTTGCTGTTGGTGGTTGGTGTTCTGGTGATGCAATAGCCAGTGTCGAAATGTTTGATTCGGAAACAAATCAATGGAAATCTGTTGCATCGATGTCGAAACGAAGATGTGGAGTTGGAGTTGGTGTTCTTAATAATCTTCTTTATGCTGTTGGTGGACACGATGGTGTTAGTTATTTGAACAGTGTTGAAAGATTCGATCCTCAAACGAATCAATGGAGTAATGATATAGCACCGACGAGTTCATGTCGAACAAGTGTTGGCGTTGCTGTTCTTGACGATTACGTATTCGCTGTTGGTGGCCAAGATGGAATTTCTTGTTTGAATCTTGTAGAAAAGTAAATGAAAATTATTCTGCTCTATGAGAACATTTATATTCTACTTTTTATGATCAAGATATGATCCAACTATGCAACGATGGACTCGTGTAGCATCAATGAGTACGAAACGATTAGGCGTTGCTGTAGCTGTTCTTGATGGTTATCTTTATGCGATTGGCGGATCGGATGGACAATCACCTCTCAACACTGGTAAATGGTGTTCGAAAAGAGAGATTACATAAATTTTATTCGATCATTTAGTTGAAAGATATGATTCGAAAACGAATAAATGGATATCAGTAGCGCCAATGTTAACACGTCGAAAACACCTTGGATGTGCTGTTTATAATGGATTCATTTGTATGTTTGTTCATTCATTAAAATATCCTTTTTATCTTTATTTTCATTTTTGTAGACGCAGTTGGTGGTCGAGATGATACAACAGAATTATCGACAGCTGAAAAATATAATCCGAAAACAAACCAATGGACATATATTATTTCAATGAACTCAAGGCGCAGTGGAGTAAATAGTTTTTGTTGATTTGGATCATTTAAATCATTTGCTTGATCAAAATAGGTTGGATTGGCTGTAGTGAATAATAATTTAATGGCAATTGGTGGATTTGATGTGAGTCAAATCTAATGAGAGCATTTCAATTGAAAAATCATCTTTTTTCAGGGAACATCATATCTAAAAAGTGTTGAATTGTACGATCACGAGAGTAATTGCTGGAAAATGCAAGGAGGAATGTCTTATCGTCGATTAGGTGGTGGTGTTGGTGTTCTTAAAGTTCAACAATATGACTTGATATTTTCTGACACAATAAATCCGAATTCTTCTCTAGATGACGTCAAAAATCACTCACTTTCACAACTTGTCGACCTCTGAATGATCTCCGACACTTGATTTCACGTGTATACTTCATTTTGATACTTTTCTTATCTTCTCGGTGTAAAAAATTCGTTTCTCTTTCATTGTATTTTTTTTCTTCTATTTAAATGATGATTAATCAATAATGAAAAAATAATAAGAAATCGGTGGTTCTGAGAATGAAGTGGAGTTTCTCTAGCAAATGAATTTCATTTTATATGCAAATCAGCATGGACACTTTACTGTTCGAATTATTTCTCATACATACACGGTTAAAAGTGTTTCTAATGTTAATATGGATAGATGTCCGCAAAAGAATCATCAAAATAATATTTCTAAAAGTTCTCTAGGAGAAGAAATTATTATACTTATTCAACCAAAGTCTAATACATGTCATTTTCTATCTGTCAAAATAGATAGTTTGTAATACTTATATGTTAAGTTGTCCCATTGTCTCAGACACATTTACTCTTGTTTATTCATCGAATGTAACATATCAATAATTATTTCGTTGTTTCCAGAATCCAAGAATACATTTACAATAGGACGTGTTAACACTGAGTAGTTTTTGATAATCCGTAGTTCACTCATTAATCTCGTGATGGAAACTGTGTTATTTTGTAGTCTTTGGGTGAGATATACCACAGAATTGCTTTACTGTACAATGCTAAAACGAATTGATTATCAAATATTGAATCTTTACGTTGTTCTTCTATTGTTTTTCACTAACATTGATTATGGCAGTGCTCTATTCGTTAACTATCAGCAAAATGTGTTAACATAGTACAGCAATGAGAATTCATCCTTTCAAAATAATATAATGATTGAAAAAATTCATCGGTTGATTCATAAATAATTCTGTGTATATAGAATGATAGTAACATGTTGCTCGAAATACGAATTAGAGACGTTGCCCGGTTCTATAATTCTGAATTATCAATTTTGAATACGATCTTTTACCTATCATCTTTGTATTAAAAAACGAATTTGAATTATCGAAATTATCAGAACTAGCAGAGATATGATAGTTTTTGGAAATGTTGCACCTACTAACACTAGTCCAAGGTGCTTTGTTGGGAGAAAGCATTCACACCCTTATCCTCACCACCATATCACTATATCTCTTAAACTTAATTTAGTAAATATACATATATTACGTATTTTCTGATTTTGTTAACAATTAGTAATTGATTTTGTCGCAAAATCATTATTCCTCAGTTTTTACTTGTATAGAAAGTTATAAGCAAAATTTCGTTTTTTCGTACTAGCTTCGTCGTCGTGCTAGCTTCACATTGATTTATTAGAACCATATCAGCCAATCAACAAAGTCTACTAATGAAGAGTTTTCAAAAACAGATTGCGAATTTTATTTGTTTATCAGCTCGATAAGAATATGGAACAAGAAAAAGTATTTTATATTCAATTTCGAAAAGAATGCTTTTGAAAATATTTATTGATGTCGCTACAATCGACTAGATCAATCATTAGAGATGAAGAGAAAGATGACTAACGATCATCATCAGCCGTCATTCATTCTATAAATTGTTTGTTGTTTGTCTGTTAGTCAACGAACATCTTTTTTTTCTTTTCCTTTTCTAAAAAGAGGAAATGAGGATTTTTTTACAGAGTTTAAATGAAGATAGTGAGTACAATACCCTCATCTTTGTTAACAAGTAAAACATGGTTTGTTGATCTCGTTTCTAAAGAAAAAAGCAACGATGAAAAAATGACAAGACTTCACTTCATTCCATTAATACAGCAATTGGTACATTAAAAAATAGTTCGTCTTGCCACAATATACTCATCGAAACACTCAGTGAATATGCTATACTCATTAAATTATTAGAAGAAACCTTTGGTTTGTCAAGCAGCTTTTCTGATGAAAATACATTCGAACTTTGAAAAGACTTCAAAATAAGTTTATTTTCAAACAATGGTCCTATTCAAAATTAACATATGGAAATAAAGTTTAACAAGTATAATTATTGTTACGTGTAAACAATCACTACTATTTGATAAACTGCACAAAATTTATTATCAACAGATTCAATCTTTCGAGTAAAAATCTCAAAAGTAAAAAAATTCATTTCGATCAAACTGTTGTTTTTCAATTTAGATTGATGAATTTCAACCAACGTATTGTGAAGTTCTCCGAAAACAATTGAATTCAAATAATTGTCTGAGTATTCGTGCATTTGCTGGAAAAAAAATATCCAGCGAGAAAGTGAATATTCCTTCAAAAGAAAATGCTTTCCTTTATGTGGTAAAATAAGTTTCATGCGACGTAAAACAAAGGAAACAGTATTTATCTTAGGTAAATTTATTTGACTTGATAAAGAAAAATAAATTTGTAGGAGACTTGCTTGTAGATCTTTGTGCACATTTTATTTTCATTGTTGTCTGGAAGATTTCTTGTGAATCATGTCAATTCAGATTTCTTAATCAAAGGTGTTGTGATTTGGTTGATGAATCAAAAGATTATTTCATGTTACGATCAAAATGAAACGATAAGAACCAGAAATATCATGTGAAATTCTCTTTGCTGTTTGTGTTTTTAAAGTTCAACAATAATTTGGTTTTTTGTTGGTATAACAAAAGCCGCTCGTTCTCACGATTTGTTGACCTCGAAATGATTTTCGATAATTGAATTGACAGGTGTACCTTATTTTGATATTTTCGTGTCTTTGTGTTTTTTCTTTAATTTAAATGATGATTATTGGTGAGAAAAGTAATGCAAAATGATCATTTTAGATGGTTTATTAGAAAACAATAGATGCGAGAATGGATCAAAGATTTTAAATTCTTGTTTTTGTTATATGAAATCAAAAAATATTTGAACGTAAGTTGAACTTTTTCATTTCATAAATTCCGTCTTTTTGTTAATTTAAAACAGGATGATAAATAGTCAAACATCTTCAAATGATGGACCACATTCATCATCTGAAAACAATAATGATTCATTAAATGATAATTTTGATAATCCAAAAGACGAATCTTTATCAAATGATGATAATCATAAAGAAACATTGAATTCAATCCAAGATGGAAAAGTTCCCAAACCAGATGATGAACGAAAATTATTTGTTGGGCAATTATCATCCGATATAACAAGAGAAGATTTAGAAAAATATTTCTCCAAATTTGGTTCAATTGAGGATGTCACAATAAAATATGATGTCCCCGGTGGAAGAGCACGTGGTTTTGCTTTTATTCTATTCGACGATAAAGAATCGATACAAAAAGTTCTTCATGTTCAATCTCACACGATTAATCAATGTCAAATTGATCCAAAACCAGCACATCGACGTCCACGTAAGTTCCACGGTATCTATTCGAGCTATAATGATCGAGATGGATGTTTTTCTTTCGAATAGCTGTGACAAATCCGGTGAAGAAAATATTTCTTGGTCAACTTCCAATTGATTTTGTTGAACAAGATTTATCTGATTATTTTTCACAGTTTGGAATTATCGACACAATTGAATTGGTAGAGAGAAGATAACGGAAATGATTTTCAATTTCAATTTTTCTTTTAGCCTATGGATCGAGAGAAAAGTGTTCGTCGTCCATTTGGCTTTGTTTCATTTTCGTCTGAGAAGAGCGCCGAAGAAGTTTTACGTCAGCAACGTCATTCAGTCAATGGCGCGTCCATTGAAGTTCGGCCAGCGAAACCACGTCCTCACGATCAACATCAATTACAAATGCAACAGCAGTATCAATACGGAGAATATATATCACCACATCATTTTAATAATGTTTTTATCTCACCAATCTCGAATGCTACAATGCCACATCCGTCTATGATGAATACACCGATGAATCCGAATGTTTATTACACACCAAATAATAATAATAATAATTATTCTGTACCAGTAAATGAATTTCATTTGAAAGTTTTATTTTACAAAGAATTTTTCATTTGCTAGATCGAGCAATGGAGTCAAGGAACAAATAATGGTGGAACATATTGGAACTCAAACAATGGTGATAGTAGAAATAATCATAATAATAGTAGTACGTCGGGCTCACAATGGTCAACAGGTAATTCGATTGAAAACTATCTTGAAGCATTCTCTATTTTGAAATCAATTCGATATGAATAGGAAATAATGGTGGTGGATTATCATCAACGAATAGCAGTAATAATGTATATGGAACATTAGGTAATTCAGGTTCATCGTCATCCTCAGTTTATTCACAAAATCAAGGACAACCGATATATAATTCGAATGGAATGAACCAACAAAATCCATATGCACAGTCGAATTATCCTAATCAGATTCAATCGTCGTATGCTCTACCATCGTCACAGTCAACAGGAAACATTTATTCAAGTGGATATTCATCGTCAGCGCCACCTAATGATATCCAATCGCCGTCCGCATCATGGAATCAATATCTATCTGTTAATGGCAACAATCAAATAAATTATGATCCAAATGTTTACTATACACCATATTACCCAAACATGTTCGCTCAACAGTACTATTCGCAACAAATACCTAATCAAAACCAAGCACAAGTGCCAGTCGAACAAACTGTATCACCAAATGGGTTTCCAACATCATCAAATGGTGGTTTAGAAAAATCGTATCAACATCTTTCTCGATGAAATACAAAAAAAACGAGATGAATATATTCGTGTTTGCATCATTATATTTATGTACTTTATTTCTATGTTTAACTAACATTCGCTTTATTGTCTTTTTGTGTGTTCTTTTGTCTACGCTGAGGTAACAAATAAAAGCAAAGCACGGACGACGTTTGTTTTTCAACCCGAACTATGCAACAGTAATGATACAGAACTCAATTCCAAGTGTACAGACGTGTCGAACATTTTCACCTCTTTTCAAATAGACTGATTGACACATGATACAATTAGTTATTGATTTCCGATTTGGCTGCAAGTTGCACTCAGGCAGCTTCTGCCAATGTTTAGTTGTCTCACTTACAGATACAGTACTCTTTTTGTCAATATATCACATGTGAAAAACCATGCGTTATCATCTCAATATAGAAAGCAAACACAATATTCACCTAATGAGGTCGAAAAAGCTGCGAAACGACTTGAAAAAGTTGTGTATCGATTTCATCATCTCTGACATGCTAAGCGAGCACTTTGCCTTATAATCTTCATTTCCATGTTAATCTTCCACTCAGGCCATCGTCTGTTCAATATTGTTATTTTGCCAGTATTGCTAGTCATCGCCGAAAGTAGAGGAATAATGATAACGAAGTTTTTCTTTAATGTTCAAGCTCAAGCTCGCATTCTAATATTTATTATTCTTTGAGAAAAAAGCACAACAAAACAGAAGCATCGCTTTCGTGAAATTTGTGCCTTCGCATCGAAACCGTGCTGCGTAGAGCAACATCGATTGAATGAAACTCATTTGAAATAAAAAACGAAATACTCCGTTTGAAGAAAAAATGACCTCATAACATTTTTGTGATCTTCTCTGTTCGAGCTTCATTAGTTGAAATTAGATGTCACCACACTTAGTGCATTAATTGTTGATTGACGGATGCAGTTTCCTTTTCTCGTGATAATGAGTTAATGAATGCACTAGTCAATCTTCTTTCACCTTTTCATTTCTTTATGACTTTCAATTGAACGTTTGTATGTAACGCATATACCTCGATCTCAATGTGTAAAGTCAAACAAGACACAGTAAATGTACATATCTGACTGATAACTAATAAGAAACATTTCAGACGTAGTAAAGAAGAAGATGAAAAAGAGAAATCCGTTTCGTTCGTTTATATTTGTACCTTTGTGCCATGAACCGTTTACGCCCATTACGGCTACAAAATGAAGTACTAAAACTGTCTGTGAATACATTTGAATTCATTCTTCTTTTTAGAACCAACCACCAAGCAATGACGAACAGGAAATTCGGCGTAATCCCAGGTCCATCATTCCTGTGACTGGATCCGTTTAAATCTGAGTCGGTTTCGGTATAATTCCAGTCGATTCCAGCTCAAAGTTTGCAGAAAGTAACTGAAAACTTCGTTTGAACTTCTGGCGGTAAGGAAGTCGTCGGAAAGCGAACTTAACGGGTCGGAACCGACCGAGCCACAATAATCTGGGATCGTGTCCATCAACTTGAAGTGCTTTTACAAAACGTGCAAGTCGAGTTGGCATCTGCCGTGAACACTTTGAATCAAACAAATTGTATCATCGACCAGTTAGTATCAACAAATAAAAAATGGGAAGAAAAGTTCGTAGAAGTAAAAACAAGCAAATGAAATATTGTTTCCGTAGGTACATGAGAATGGGCTGTAAATTATGAAATACCTGTTCGTTTATTTTAGTCGCTGTGTTCATCGCATTTGGTTCTTTGTATATATCTTATCTGTTCAAATAAATTACCAATATGACAAGTTGCTTTTTTCCATTTGGAGAAAACACTAACAGAGATAAATGCCACTTGGCTGCCTCAGTGTTGACCTAAAAAGAAAGAGAGAAGAGGATCGAATAGATATATTTGTCTTTACTTGAATCTATCGCCTGAGAACATCAAGTGGACAAAAAAGAATATGTTCGAGAAAAAACTAAACAAAAGTTGATGTTAATATTTCGAGTGTTATCAATAGAACAGTTAGTAACCGCGCCATTTTAAATCCTGCTGATTGGCAACTTGTCTTGAGTTTAATAATAAAAAAAGAAAAGTTTGATGAGAAGATGTAGAAGAAAAAATTACTTGGATCAGTTGACCGACCGAAAACATCAGTATAATATGGCGATCATGGTGATGACTGCGTCAACACAAATCTAGACAACATACATGTGTACAGCTCGTTTAGGAAAAATTGATTGCGAAAAGAGGGACTTTGATTTGATCTTTTCTTCTTCGAGGCTCTCGTCAAATTCTTTCTTTATTTGGAAGTTTATTGGTGGCGTCTTTCATCTAAATCAAATATAGTTCAAAGCAAATTTTGTGAGTTTTTGTCGAATTAATTGTTTAACACTTCGTCAATGCTGTTGAAGAATGATATCTAGTCGTCATCTGCCTCACAAAATCAATATCGACTTGCGAATGGTAATCTAGACAAATCTGATCAACATTTCTCTCGATAAAATACAAACAAAAAACAATATATTCGTATTTTCAATCCTTTCGAGAGAAACTACGTTTACTGCATATCGCATCACGTTTAGTTACCCTATTAAAAGCCGTCGTTCTCTTTTTGCTACTAAGTCACATGTTACCATCATTTATGATCCAAATGTAAAAATAAAACGCCATATGCATTCCATGAAAACGAAAAAGTAATTTTGAAAAAAGGAAACAACTTGGAGAAGTTGGGCATCGATCCCAATACCTCTCGCATGCTAAGCGAGCGCTCTACCATATGAGCTACATCCCCATGTTAATCTTCCCATCGTTACATCATCCGTTTAATATCGTCATTTTCACACAACGTTGTTAGTCATCGATAAGAGGACGAGAGAATAATCGAGAGAAAGTTTTTTTGCCGTGAAATTATTTCCTCGGTATAAAACTCAATGAAGAGGTTTACTTTTGAATGTTTATTATCTCTTTGAGAAAAAAGTTTAACAAATAATGAAATAGATATAAATGTCATGAAGGAACTAATGAATCGATCGAATGAACTGAACGATATTTTCAATCATATGAATTTGTTCTTGTTCATTCGTAACACTATGATCAGACTGTTCTAATAAAACAAACTTCGAATTATTTTTCGTCGCTAATTTATCTTTGACAAAACTTTCAGCTTCTTCTCGGATCTGATCAGGAACGTATTCATCTTTTCGCGACCATATCCACATGTTTGGAACATCAATCTGTTGATAAATCTTCGATAGTTGTTCATCGGACAGATCACTTGAAAAAAGATCTTCAATGGAATTGATTTGATTCAATGATAAACATCGTTCAATTGTTATTGGTGGATCATGGAGACATCTGGGTAACCATTCATGAATATTTTCTCGATTTTGTTCACAATATTCCAATTGTTTTTGTGTTGAAGAAAGCGTTGAAAGGTATTGTCGATCACTAACTGGTCCTTGAAGAATAATTCCATGAAGAAATGAATGTTTATTTCCTTGTCGCAAATAATGAATAATATCTTGACAACCCGTTGAATGGCCCATTAGTATAATTGATTCTAAATTTGTTCGTTGCTTAATTAAAAAATCAATTAAACTTTGAAGATCTTCGATATCATGATCAATTGTATGCCAACCATACTGAAGATTCGATGAACGAAACAATGGTTGAATCAATGAATATGACAATTGCGAAAGACATTGGTTAAGACGTGAGATGTATGGTAGAGATAGGAGACCATCTGTAAGACCACCAAGAAATATAAAACACCGTGATGATAAGCGTAGGCTAGATTCAAATGCAACTAGTTTATATTTTTCATCATAAATAAACAGATTTCCATGCATCTACAATATTAATAAGAAATAAAAAAATAATGATTATTGTAATCTGATCTGATTCTGCAAAATAATTTGATTTATTGATTGACAAGCAGCTCCCTCTTTAAGTTCATCTTATTTTTTGGATGATGTTCAAAAGGGAAGAAGAGGGCGAAAAGTTCTTCCTCCCTTTCTTTCACTATCGTCTGCAAATCATACGAGACACGGACTAACCGATTTTTTTTATTCGCTCGTTCTTCTACTTGTATGTCGTTTCTTTTCCTAGGTCACTTCACTTGAATCGATTATTCGTCTCTCTTTCTCTCTGCAAGTACCAGTAAATAATGATAAGAACATTTCGAAAGAGAAAGAATGAAAGAAATTGTCTGTTTCAATTAATGTTTATTCTTCGCTTTTTTACGCAAATATCGAAGAGGAGAAATTAAAACTGAAGGCATTGCATAAAGAAAAACAATATAGTAAGTGAGGGTATCTGGTACAAAAGAATGAGAAGAATCTATTTGTTTAGTCATTCTGCGTGAAAAGTCCACAGAGTAAAACGGGTTTTTTTTCAGTACAACATTTTCTTTTTATTTTAGATCATTTCATAACTAATTCACTATGTCAGGTATCATCAAAGCTATTTTTGGTCATCATAAAGATGAAGATGAGAAAAAACATCATCAAAATACAACTGAAACAGTTGCAACTGTTGGGACAGCGTCTGGTTCATCCATAGCTCACACGGCTATTAGCGAAGATGTTCGTGTCCAATCTGTGGTCTCAACCGAAACAAATACAAGTGTTAGTGTGCAAAATTCAAAGAAAATTGCCGATCTTATGAACAAACTAGGCACAACACATCATCAAATCGACGAATATTCAAAAAAACGTACAGCTGAAATTAGCGAAGCAGTTTCCGATGCAATTAATAAAGTTGTTGCTGATACAGCTGCACAACAACATAAATTGTTATCCGATGCCAATGAACGTTCAGTCGCAATTGAAAACGAATACAAAGTCCGTTTACAAGAACGTATTGTTCAACTCGATAATGAAAAAGCGATTTTATTAGCTGAGTTAGAACGGGCGTTAAATGAACGTCAAGAAGCGATTTTGCTCAAAGCAAGACAAGAAATTGATATGGTACAAGATGCTGCCAATCGAGAAAAAATGGCCGTTTTCAAAGAAGCACAAGCAAGAGCGAATCAACAAGTCGATCAAATTACTGAACAAGTTGCTGAACTTGCTGCTGAAGATGCACAACGGCGTCTGCAATCGACAACTCAAACCGTAATTCAAATAAAAGAATGTTTTTGTCACATAAATTTTCTTTTCTTTCTTTGTTAGGTTATTACAACAAAAGCTGTTGCATCAGGCGAGACGCACACTCAAGGTGCACATGTTACAACTACAACAACATCACGAAAATCTTCCGAATCTCATCATTCATCAATTAGCAATTAACATTCTTTTTCTCATTGTTTGTCTTCTTTCTTTCTTCCTATTTTAATCTCGCCGTTGTTGATTTTGTCTGTGTAGATACGTTCTTTTGTCGTCACTTTAATTGTCAAACACGATTTTACTGAAACATATTTATTCACGAAGATAAAAAAATACTCAAGATAAATCGATGCAAAAGTACATTCATCTTGGATTTATTCACATGTGCACTGTTCTTGTTGATATATTTTTAGGACACATAAAGGAAGTTGCGTGGGTTTTATTACTATGACTGGAGATTTTAAACTGAAGGGTAACATTAAACTAATAAATATTATTCAACTAGATTAAAAATGTATGAAGAAGAGTTGCCTTTAAAAAGAAAAGTTATATTTGTATATTGAAAATTAAGGACGTCATACTCATTGGATTTGTCGAAGTGAAAAAAAAAGGATTAATTAATTCAATGAGAGCAAAAATAGATCCTGATTCATTTTCCTATAAAATAAAGATTACATAAGACAGACTTACCACTCAATTTAAGAAGAAAAAGTCTCGACGACCGTACATGACCTAGGCTAATCAATTACTATTTTCGGAAAACTTATTCTGAACAGAAATTGGTTTTTAATACATCGATTCGCTCAGCGTAACAGTCAATTTAAGTGTGAGCTTATTTCCTTGGAGAATCAAGCTCAAGTTTTAATTTCTTCCTCGAATAGCATTAAACAAAAGATTTTTTTATTACGATGGATAAATTTTTTGCAGTGAGAAGTATGGTACTACAGATTAATATTCTAGAGATTTTATATTATGAGAATAGAGCAAAGAAAAGTGTGGAAAGTTCTTATTATAACAAAACGAAAAACGGATATTTTTTTATTGGATTTATATGTGTACAGTACTTAGCAAGAAGATTTACAACAACTGTCTGATCTGCATTAGAAGTTTTCTTTTTTTAATAACGATCAATTTCAAGTCGTGAAACATATCATTCAATAGTTTATTGATCTTCTTTTTATTCGAGAATAACAAAGTAACTATTTTCTTTTTTGCTCCAATAAAAAGTGACTAAAATATTTTCCCGTTATTTATGCTTCAAAGAGAACCAAGTGATTTCAGGCTGTATTTTAGAATAGCACTTAACCTATGCTCTTCCAGAAACTCTTGATCTTATTCCATTACATCGTTTACTGAGGTTAATATCATAAACGGTTGGTTGAGCAGTCATATGTACTTTTAGTGACAATATGGATCATCTCCAACAGTCAACATTACAGTTTTCATACATCGATTAGCACTCTGACGTTTCAAGATTGTAATTAAGACATCTGACTTTGTTTTTTATCAGTTTCGTATTGTGCAGTGATAATTGAGAACAACAAGGAATCAAAAACGGTAAGCGTATAGGTAGATCGCCTGTTTAGTATAAATCTAAAGGATTGTGGGAGAAAATCTCAAGCGGATCAGGAAAGCGAAACACTCGTTAAATAAGTAATAAGTTATTCTTAGTCTTTTTGCGAAATACTATCATTAAACTAGTCGATAATTTTAATATAGGTAATTTCTTGAAATGGTATAACTTTTTGCTTTATTTTGAATGATTACATATGTAAGGACATTACTTTGAATGTCATCATGCGTGAATGAGTAGATCATAAATTGATATGAAAAGTAATGTGTTGTTTGATAATAATAATAATAATAATCTGAAATATTTTATGTCTCGTGTTGTTTTTCCCTAAGAAGTGATTAGTTTTCGCATGAAAACCTTTCCATCATCAGGAAAACTGTAATAGTAGAGGAGAAAAATGGGACCAAACTTCATCCTGTTGAGTACATTTACTTCAGTTTACAAGATTGTAATATTTCCTTATAGTCAAACGAGAGATCTTATGTCAAATAGTTTCTTTGTGGAATGATCTTTCATCAGATAATTAAGATGAGAATATAAACAGACTCTTATCTCTCAAACTTTAACGTAACTTAATTGTAGGAAATTCTGTTTTTGTTCCCGCTGAACTCATCAAAATCTAAATAAGACTTTCTATGAATCTTTACTTGACGTATATTTGATAATTATCATAAAACAAAGTGTTCATTGTTTATTACATTGTAATTTTTTTTCAACAAACATTATTTTTCTATCTCAAGTATTTAACAACAAATGTACGCTTCACCCTTCATCACCCTGAGAGTTCGTCGAAATGTACTGAATAATCACAGATAATGAAAATTCAATGTTCTTGAGTATCACGTCATTGAAATTTGACACTTTTGTTCTGTCGAGCATGAATTATTCCAAGTAAATCGATGAGGGTGTTCTTGTATTAAAGTGTTTTCTTTGTCCTTTGGTGATTAAGTGTATCCTTGCTTTAGAGTTATTTGATGACAATTCATAGGAAGAGAAATATTTGCGATTATCACATGAATGTCGAAAGTTTTTTAGATGATCAAATGTTTGATGAATAGTACTGAGAGTAAATCTATTTTTTTCTAAAGAAATCAAATGCGTATGTTTTTATTCTTTTCTTTTCTTCTACTTGTCTACACAGTTGAGTATCGTTAAAATATAGTAAACGGCTTTTTCGTGGTACTTAATCATGAGTAAGTAATGAAAAACGATAGTTTGGCTCGTTAACACATTGTCATTTGGCGAGAAATATCGTTTAAGTGGGCTTTGAATGTAAATAAAAGCGAGAAAGTATTTCATCATTTATTGATTAAAAGAAATTATTTTCAAGCTGATAGTTTTTAATAAATAAAGAATAAGATTTCATCACATTTTTTATTTTTAATCGTTAACTGTTTGACTTTTCTCTTCATAAAACTAACCACTAATTGTAATACATATATAGAACAAGAGAAATGAATGAATCATTGATAGTTCTTCTAGTTTAACACTATATCGATTTTATTCTCAAAGTCCAAAATCATTTTTCATAGGAAAATTTCTTTCGAGCTGTTCATTGATGTTTTTCTGTGTTTTCTTTTGTCCTTATTTAAAGAGAAATAGATTTATTAATTTTAAAATGTGTAGTCATTCCGTTAGATTAACTTTTGATCTATATACGAACGGAAACGTTGTAATGTGTATTTATGCAAGAAAAATTTTTGTTTTTGACTATTAAACGGAAAGATAAATCATGTGGTAATACCGATAGACTTATTCTTTTATTTATAATAAAGAGAAAAAAAAAACAAATTTATTCTTTTTGATGCCTTAGAGACGTTTCTCTAGTTTCAAGTGACAACTGTTACCCATCAGACTTTGTTTTTGAAGGGAGAATATTATGCAAATAGATACTCTTTTGTTTGGAAATGCACTTCTCAAGCTGTAAGATTTTTCTTGAAAGAATTTGTTAGTTAAGACTTAATCAAGTAAACATGAAGAAAATCCCAAATGTAAATAAATGAGAAATTGAAGGAAGATTTTGTTTTTCATTAAAGAACACTTAATGAAACATTTAATGTATGCGTAGGTCTTCAAGCGACTTTTTTTTTATGTTCTTGAAGAACGAAAAGTTCTTTGATCATAATCATTTATATCAATAAAAAAAAGAGGAGAAAAATAGATTAATCAAAAAAGTCACGAAATAATCGATCATTGAGTTGATCCATCTACAAAAGAATCTTCTCTTCATGTATTCATTGTTTTTCTTAAGAAAATCTTGATTAAATTTAGTTCGCATGTTATTCACTTTCTCTTTTCTTCAAATGAATCCATAGACAATGAGAATCAGATTTCATTGATCTCGAAAAAGAATATGAAACTTATTCTTTCAAATTGAAGATTTTTAGAAGAGAAATCTCCATTTATTCTAATAAAGAGAAATAGGAGAAATAAAGAAAAAAAAAATTCTATAATATATCGAATGCGTGACAAAAAATAAGAGAGAAGAAAAGAGAAAGTATTCTTTTGTTTTCTCTTCGTTTCTCATTTGACAGTTTCTGAGAAGAATATTTTTCTGTTTTAGATCAAATTCCATTTTGACTATGTAAAATCTTCTTTGAACATGTTTGTTTCATCGTGTCGAATCATTACTAATCGAAATATTTCATCGAACTTTTTCAATACAACGATACCAACGATTTCTTCATCAAACAAAACCGATGGTGAATGGGTTTTAAATAGTATATCACTATTGATTTGTATATTTGCTTTACTTGGAAATGCCGCTGCACTCGTTGTTATGTTTGGTTCTCGTGGACCAATTCGATTAACAAATAATAAATATTTAGCAAATTTAGCGTGTGCAGATTTGTTACGTGCATGTTTTATGCCTTTTACGATTATTGCACGAATGAATCGAAACTTTATGTTTGGACCGATTATTTGTAAAGTTTTACCAGTTATTCAAGGTAAAGGTTATTTTACTTTTCTTGTCAATTAATTGAAACTTCATAGAAGTGAGATGCTTTTTACTTTGATATTGATGATGAATTTTAAGTAGATGAATTCTTTTGGGAAATGGAATTGAATAAAAAAGATGAATTCTTTTTCTTAAGAAGACAAAGAATTGTTAGTGATTTTTGAAGTTTTTTCGAGTATGAGACATGTTTTTTTGTTTTTCAAGAAAAACAAATCTTTTTGACAAGTTTTATTTGAGAGATTTGCATAATCCATTATGTATTTATCAGTCTAATTATTCTTGTCTGTCTTTCTTTTTCTTTGTTCATCATTGAATTACGAGTTCATTTGAATATCTATGTGATCAATTTACCAACTAGAGTTCAAAGAGGAAAAAAAAGACTAAAAACGAAATTTGTCTGTCTCAAAGTAATCGACGTCAAAAGAACTACGTCTGTTCGAAAGTAACTGACACTTTATAATCTAAAGTAGACTTCATTAATAGGCAAGAATTTCTTTAAAAAAAAAGAACCTGAAAAGGAAACGTTATAAATATCGTAAGAGATTTTCTAATTAAAAATAGACCTATTTTATTCGATTTATTTGAAAATCTCTTGAACTTTGTACCAAAGAAGATAAAAATCGAAATCATTATGAAGTATACAACAATATTTCAATAGAAAAAAATCAAAATCTTCTGTTGTTTTTAGGTTTAAGCGTTGCTGTGGATGTTTTTACTCTTGTTTGTATTAGTGTTGAACGTTATATAGCCATTTGTCGTCCATTATTAATATTAAAACTTCAATCATTAAGATTTGCAAACGTTTTTAATGGTTTAATTCTATTTTTAATATGGACATTGGGACTCTTAACAGCATTGCCGAACATTCCGATGTATAATTTGTGTTCTTTGCCTAAACCTGGAAAATTTAAATGTGAACGAGTGAAAACTCAATATTTCGATGAACGATATTATATGATTGCTTTAGATAGTAAGTGATTTATTGATTGCAGAAAGATTTTATTCAATTGTTGTTTGATAGTTTTTTATTTTTTGGTACCGATGGTCGTCATGCTCGTTCTTTACACTCTGATCATTTGTAAAATGTATAAAAACAATACTGCGATGCGAATGCGATCGTTTCAATGTGAGTTTTAAAAAGAATTATCGTGAAAAATGTCTCATTTATTTCGTTTTGCTTTCATAGGTAGTAATAATCAAAGTAAAACTCAATCAAATTCATCAACTCCGACTCAACTTCGTCAAAGTACTTATGCTCAACGTGAATTAAACGAAGATAAATTCAATAGTCGCGAATCATCAAAATTCGAAAGCGTTGGAAGAATATCTGGTCAAAGTAATAAATCTCGATCGGGTTTGAACGACGATGAATACCAAAAGACTTCCTCTTGGTCGAAAGGTTCCACTCTCGGGAGAAGACATTCACAATCGAATCTACTTCATCGTCATTCGTCGAAAGAAACTAAACGTTCACGAACAAGTAATAATAGTAATCGAAGTCAACCGTCATCTTCAAATCAAGGAGTTTATCGAATGGATCGACATCGTCGCAAAGCATTGAAACTTCTCATCGTGATTATCGTCGAATTTTTCCTTTGTTGGACTCCATTATTTATCTACAATACCTTGGGAACATTTGATAAAGAATTTTATCGTAAAATGCCAACAATTCTCATTGATGTTATTCTTCTATTTTCATTTGCATCGCCCTTGTGTAATCCATTAACGTATTATTTCATGTCAAAACGATATCGATCAGTTTTATACGCACATTTATCGTGTTGTGTTTGGCGAACAAATGAAGAAAAACTCAATTCAAAGCATCAAGAAGCACATCAAATGATTAAAGCTTTGCATTTACATCAACAGCAGAACAGTTTGAGATATAAACAGAAAAATACGAAAACATTAACAAGTTCGTCGAATCAAGTTTTATATCATTCAAAATTTCGATCAAATACTGAAGAATAATAAACAAGTTAAACGATTCCATTCACGTTGATTTTTAGTTTTTTTTTATTCGAATAAAATGTTCATTGAATTCATTGATTGTTCTTTGTTGTTTTTATCGAGAAGAAATGTCAGAGGTTCATTTGATTGTCTATCGGCAATTTTCTTCTTTCCAACGGAAATGAAGTGTTTCGGGAACAAAAGACTTTCGGACATCAATATGGTGAAAATTTATGTTTTTACGGATCAAATTCAATTAATACGTTTTTACGCAACATATTTTTGAAAGAGTATTGGCATCATTTGGTTTTCAGACTCAGCAATAATACACAATAATGTGCTCGTCTACTAAATAACCCTTTGTTTTTTCCTTTGGTAAATATCGTGTCACTCGAGGAAAATCTTCTCCGATTTATTTTCAATCACGATATAAACGATTTTTTTTCTTAACTACGTCTTTTATTCAGTGATATTATTTATCCAAATCTAATTAAATCTTTATTTCATTTCTGAGACTATTTAAAGTCATCAATGCGTTCAAACAAGACCATTTTTTGATTTTGGAATCATTGACCTGATAAAGAATCTTTCAGTTCAGTTGATCGGCGGATGTTTATGAACTACCTTGTTTTAAACAGACACAGACAGTAATTATAAACTATTCAAAGTCGTTTTGATCTTTCTCAAGAAGATTTTATGAAATGCTCGAATACATTATTTAATTATTTCCTTCAGTTGGAACATCAGTCCAACTAGACACCAGATTTTGTTGTTACGAGCAATGACGAATCGTATACTTATGAGTACTTATTGCATAAATAATCATGTCTGACATTAATTTCATACCGGAATTACATTTCGAAAACTAATCACTGCAAAGAAAATGAAAAGACTACGCCATTCATTGAAAAATATATCTCCCGATCAAGATAAATTTGTAGAAGGAGTGCATCAGCACTCTGATCGTTATTTTCCTAGGTCGCACAGTACTGAGTGAACATTTTTCAAGAAACTACACGTCCACAGTTCCTGTCCTAACTAATCGACTGTCGAAAAGAATGTTAGACTCTATAAAACACGATTTATTTACATTCATCTGTTATTTTGATCATTTCATGCAAGATAATTTCGACTTTTCCCATTTGATTAATCATACAATACACACATCTATGAAGGAAATGCGTAGTTGGAAGAAAAAGAGTCATCATTGAGAAAATAAAAGCTCAAACTCGATGAAAATACATTTGTGTAAATGTATTGAATAACTAAAAACAAGATATTGGTTTGTTTAGCCTTGATGATAAAATATAATCGTACATATTTCGTCAAAAACAAATCATGTCGGAACTGAATCATAATATTTCTCCGTGATAGTTAATCGACACCGCTCTCCTTCGTCACACTTGGTTAACTATAAAATTTTAACACAGAGAAACTGTTTGTTATGCTCGACTGGCAACGATGTATAAATATTCGAGAGCATATAGTGAGGATACCTTTTTTTTCTTTATCAGATTGTGAATAGGAGAAAGAGATGCGTTTTGCTATTCTTCTTCTTCTTGTGCTCGTCGTTTTTTCGATCTTCGTCAATTGTGAAGATGCAGTGGACACTGGAAAATTAGCAAAACATCCTTCTCGATCAAATTTAGTTGCACTTACGAAGAAAGTCGGAGGAAGACGACGTGGAGGAAAATTCGCCCAAGAATGTCAAAAAGAATGTCGAGAGAAATTGGGCGCATCCAAAATCACTGATGAATACAAACTTCAGTTGAAACAATGCCGAACTACATGTATTGAAAATAAACGGAAACAAATTACTTCAAAAAAAAGCTCGTCTTAATTTAGACCAACTGAAAACGAACATTCAATTGATTTCCTTGTCATCTGTATGTTGAATTTAGTTAAAATAAATTGTCCTGTCTAACTTGTTTCATAATAAGAATTTTTTAAAACTTGTTTTCTTTCCTTTGTCAAACAAATAAATGCAGTGTTTGATCATGTCTAACAACTTCCAATTGGTTACCAATGTTGTTCTGTTTTGAAAACACGTGAATGAAACAAACTCGTTTTTTTTCTTCGCATTCGAATCAAACTTGTGATGATTTTTAATGCGTCGAAAGTGAAAAAGAACTATGGTTGATTCAGCAACACAAGATCGTCTATTTTCATTTGGTTATCCACCTACCGATATTCGACTTCGACGTGTCGGAATTGATTCATCATTACCTTATTCTGTTGCATTAAATAAAAGTAAATATCATTAGAATATCAGGTAAATAATCTTCAATTGATTAGGACATAATTGTGGTTTACAATCCAAAGAATATGTGGAGAAAAGTAGTTCTAATGAAAAACTTCATCAAGGTTTAAAAGATGCGATCGATTTTCAAGAAAATATTTGCGAAAAGGAGAAAAAAAAGTAATGGTGAAAGAAATTCTTTTCGAACAAAAATCTTTTCATGATGAATTTCTAGAAATAATAAATTACTTGCAGTTTATGCGTATAATATAAACTGGCCACGTTGTGTTTGTTATTTAAGTCAAACGGATGGTTCGGTAATCATTTGCGAACAAGAACGATGTCGTGTAATTTTATTCACATCTCAATTAATGTTTCGTTCAACTTGCGGTGGAACACGAGGAAATGGTCTTTATGAATTTGATTCACCATGGACTGTTGCAGAATTTATCGAAAATTCTACATCAAATATTCTTGTTGCTGACACAAATAATCGACGTATTCAATGTTTTACTATTGGATATCGAGGAAAATTTATCTATAAATATACATTAACAACAAAAGATAAACCTTTATATTTAGCAACAACGAGACATTGGTTGGCTGTTTCATGTGAAAATGGTTTTCTCAAAACATTTTTCATTTCGGAAAGAGAGGAAATTTTGAATCTTAATTTAAATCAATTATTTTCAATTAAAAGTAATTCAAGAGAGAAAAGCCACGCGAAATCTGCTATTTGTGTTTCGGATTTTTAGAAGGAAAATCGATTGCATACTGTGTTTGTATGGATCCAAATGATCATTCAATATTTGTAAGTAATCCACTTGGAACAAAAAGTTTAATTCATCAAATTACAATCGATGGAAAATACATTCGGTCAATAAAATTATTTAATCAACCATTTCTTCATATTCATTCGCTGAATTACGATCAACAAAATCGACAATTTCTTGTAATTGATTCGATCAATTCAGTTATTTACTCCATTAAACCTGATATACAAGAAAATAATGTTGAAATACTTTTCAAACCAGCTGATCATCTAAATCATCCACAATCATTAGCAATTACCAACGAAGGCCATTTAATTGTTACCGAATGTAGTGTTTTAACACAACATGCTATAAAAATATTTCGATACTTATCATGTTCGTGTCATTCACGAGCAGCGACACCCAGTGTTAAGACAAGTGACATTACGAGTGTTAAATCAATCCTTTTACAATATTAAATTTCTCTTATTCTCATCGGCCATTTTCACACCCTCCCATAGAATTTTGAAAAACTAAAATATCACATATTCTTTCAATATAACTATTCTTTTGCTACAAATAACCAATCATGTTTGATGTATCATTACGAATTGGAAAATCGTGAATGGATAACTTTTGGAGCAGTGTTAGAACATAGTGGCATAGGTAGTTGTGATTTTGATTTTTATGGCGATGAAATAAACATACATAAAATCCTTTGATTACGTATTTTCAAAAGAGCATGTGTTTTATACAGTATCGATTCGGTGAGCGTACAAAGGAATATGTAGTGAATGTCCCATATAATCAATCATCTTCATGCTATTTCGACTGAGACTTCGTGAGCTAAACTTTTTCTACAACACGGCCTATAAATGTGAAATTTTCTACAAAAGTGGACAGTTTGTTTTTGGATTCTCACGTAAAATCTATTTTTCGGATGTCGAAGGTAGAGCCATTTAATAAGCCGTACTTTCAAAGTAATCTTTCTGACTAATCGCCTATCAAAACGCAATGTAAATTTACCAAAGCACGCGGTATGATAGGGGGCGATTGCCCCCTCTGACCTGCCAATGTCCTAATATGTTGATTGGACAGAGCTATGTTTCGGAAATCTGTAATTTTCATGTTTTAGAAACTTATCCTATCTCTCAGAGCAAAACAGGTGCATCGGATCCGGCTGATTCTATAAAACCCCGACTAAATCCGGGCCGGCATCCGTTGGTGAGGATTGATCGACCTTAGATAGAAACTAAATACCAGTCATACAGGTTTGTAAAGAAGTGTAGGATATTTTTGGAAAAACTGGCCCAGTAGTATAAAAACTAGAAAACTACGGTCAAAACATTGATTTCAGTTCAACGGAACGCAAAAGTATTAGGACATGTAATAGTTTGTAATAATTTACTTTCTGCGTCCTGAAAATCTATTGCACATGAAAATGGAAAGTAAGAAATGTAAAATGTTAAGAAAATTTCACAAAATATCTTTTTTCAGTTCAATATTATGAGAAATGACGAAGATTTAGTCATCATATTGAGAAGTTCATTTTTCATGGGCCATTCGTTACTCGCAATAACGAATGACAATGGTATATAAATACACCAGACATAAAACCAGTGAATAGAGTATTAAGAGATGTATGAGTTTTATGTCATTGCTATTTATTGTAACAGTAAATTTTGTTTGTCGCTTTTGCTTTAAGTAGTGAATAACCATATTTCTTTAGAAGAAATCTTGCCTTACATTAAATTATACGAAAATGCATAAATTTTATAAGCTCAAAGTTTACGATGAATTTGAAAATTTGATCTGATCAGTTTAAACAGCATTACGAAGACAAGCAAAAAGCTCGATTTCAAGGAAAAAGATTACTTTTTGTCATTTATAACAAACAAATATTGAAAATTACGTAGTTGTTATTATTATCGTTAGCACCAACAAGGTGATAATGATTTATTCTATTCAGTAAATTGTGAAAAGAGGTCAAATATAGTATGCAACAGTTGTTTTTCGGAAGTACACATAATCCTATGCATTGACTGGAACAACATAACACTCTTCAGTAACACGGTACACTTGTTTCTACCAGTAAGCTGCTCATAACAAATATCTTTCAATAATAATGCATCTTGCAACTTTTTTACGCTGGAGTTTTGATTTTGGCCACAATTACGATATTGACGTAATACAACGTTGATATTGACTGTGTAGCTTCAAGAACTTAAAGAATAGTTTGTTTGAGTAGATTTCTTATCTAAGAATATCTGACAGCTAATTCTTCTAAAATATCGAAAATATAATACAAATCGAATTTACACAATAAGAACCAATACTGTTTCAAGATACGATTGCACTTGACAGATTATGAAATCTGACACAGTGATTCTTTTGGATTCAACATGAAATCAAAGGAATTCTGACAGAATCCGGCGAAAACCGATATAATCCTGTCCATTGCCAATGAAATGTGGATTTTAGAAATCTCACCGCATCCTATCGTCGACACACATGCATATTCGATTGAAAAATAAGGCGAATCAGTAAGTTAAATCTATCTGGAATATTTTATTTCGAAAGAAACCTTATCGAAGTGGTGCATCGGAAACGTCTTAATATTTCATCGGCAGACTCTGTAAGAATTCTGATAATTCAGTTCTGCCCGAATTTTGTCGGCTAATTGGATTCTATAAGGCTTGATCGAAATTCTTAACACTGATTGGATTACTCATAGAAATATTTTATTCGTATTATCCACAGATTCCAGTTGAACAACTGTATAAATTTCTCTGCAAATGCTTTCTATACTTTTCTCTCGAAATAACCATAGGATCGCAAAATGCAACCGAATCTGATACTAGAACGCAATACTTATCATTCAAATTCTAATTACTTAATTCAATATACGTTCTATTGCAGAGAGAATAGCAGTGTATAGAAACGTGTTAAGCATGTTTTTTCATTCAGCTTCGCTGTGCTCATCATATTTATATAGGCAAAGCATTTGTTAAAATCGATCTTTAATGACATATGATCTTTCTTTGGATGAGAGAATAATACTGATGCAGGTAGAAAAAGAAATTAAAATCAATAAATATTGTTAATATTGAACGACGAAACTTTTCTTGAATATGGGAAATGAAGCCCAATAAGCAACTGAAATGATGATAGCAATCAGAAGTTTACACGCTTTTTTACGATGATGATTCATTCGATCAATCCCTTAATTTGAAGACGATGGCTGATTTCGATTACTGTGACAAAAAACCAGTTGAATCAAAACAGCCGATTCAACCTTTACTCTCATTTGAGATTTGCTAAAAAAATTGATTTAGTATTTTTTCGTTGCGCAATTGAGATTCTTTCATCTTCGTATCCATTAGGTGAATTGAAATTGGTTTTAAAATTAGTTATTTGAATTAGTACGATGTAAAAGCTGAAAATCGTGTTTCTTATCGAGTCGATGATTTACAATAGAGGTTATGTTTAAGGAAGAAGTTATTGAAATACGGAGACATCTTTCATGACACTTATGCATTTTATCCTGATTTGTCATCATTTTTATGATATTTTGGTATAGTATAGTATTGGTCATCATGGTCCATGAAGAAAAAGTACTTTATTCTATTTCATATTTCTCTCCATAATCAATCGTCTCCAAGCCAATCGTTCAACTCATTGTAAACACGTGTGCATCAATAAGAACACTTTCCCATTATCGATATCGCATGTTTCCAGTTCATCAGGTAAGCAAATTGAGAGCTCATTGTTAGATCGGAATTGCATATATGAAACTGTTTTTTCTACATGTAGACGTTTGTGCTAACTCACCAAACAACACATCCTTGATGTCGTCATCTTCTAATGTAAGTATTTGTTGTTATTTGCTGACGAGAGAAGATCGAATGCGTGATCAAAAGTGTGCGTTAATAGAAAAGAGTGTAGAAAAGTACTTTCTCCTCAAGAGAAGTAGATCAATCACAGCTTTCACCAAGGAAAAGGGTTTTATCTTGACTTATCGGAAAACATCGATCATCTTTGATTAATTTCAAATGGACAAAAATCTAATCATCCTTTATAATTTCCTGTTATAAAAGAGTTCAATTGAATTTTGTCGATTTCTCCATTGAAGTTAAAGGATCATGGTGAGTGTTTCGTTCATATTTGATTGCTTTCAAACGAAGTCTATTTTATCAATATGTTGGTTAACTATACCTTTTTCTACATAAGTTAGAAGGTAGATTACATGCGTTTGTTTTTGTTTAAGGAAAGTCATTGTTTGGTGATCGTGAATGTGCTGAAGCGCTTAAATCGTTTTAAAAACTAAGTGGAGAGAACAAGAATTTCATTCTTGTTAGAATAGGTATTCGAGATACAAATAAGTTCCGAGAATGGACGGATTCGACTTCGAACATTATTGATTACAATCGATGGATTGAATATTTAGAACAGCAAATTCTTTTATTTAGTGTTCAATATTATGGTGCTCGTACTATCAATGAACAATTGACAATATTGAATATCACAGAGGAAGCTTGTAGTTATGTACGTGCACAGATCCAGGAAGATGACGAAACATCGTTGTTCCCGATCGATCCTATTATTCGATACATACGAAGTTATACTCGTGAAAGGTAAACTGCTCTTAAATGAACGAATAAATTCTTTACTTTTCCATGTTCTAGATGGTACGAGTCACTTGAAGTTTTACTAAAGAACCAATTATCCTTGTCTTCAACGATTGGATATTGTCAATTCCCAGGTCGAACAATCCCATACTCGGATCCCATCGGATCCGAAACATGGATTTCCTGGATTTTCCAAGGGTCATCATAGAACATAGCTAAAAAGATCGTTCATACAATTTGCAACAACCGACGGGATTTTTCTAGTCGGATTCCAATGCAATTCCGCTTCCAGGAATCCGATCGGATTTGTTGACCTGGGTTACCTTCGGTTATATCAACAACCGTTGATTTTCGTTCAACACCAGTAGACGTGATGTCTTGTATTAGTATTCAATCATCGATGGAACAATTCTCTCAAGTTGCGGCATTAGAAGACAAATTAGTTCGATGCTTTCGTACCAATAACATGAAGGTTAAACTATCTGATACGGGTTTCTTCGAGAATGTGAACGAACAAGCCAATTTGTTTTATCATGGAACAATATCGGAATACGCTACTCAAATATTAGAATTCGGCATTCCAGGTGGTGATTCGTTTAGCTCAAGCGATTTTGAACCAGGATATTATCTTAATACATCTTTTACGGATGCTCGAGACTGATCGTTGAAGCGGATTCGTGGTGTTGATACAAAGTTAGGTGTAGTTTTCATCTATAAAATTGATATGAACCAATTGAACAATTGGAATTTGTCATCGCATGGAGAAAATGATGATAATGACGCATTGTTAAATGAATGGCGAAAACTGGTAAAGCTTTGCAGACAAAAGAAATGTCCGTTTCAATTAATTTACCGATACGATGGTGTATTTGGCCCTCAATGGGCAAATCCAGCAGATATGTTTTATTTGCAAGAAGAACCACGTATTCAAAGAATTCAATCATCTGAAACAAAACAACTGTGCGTGTCTTCATCAAAATTAAAGTCAAAACTCTATCATGACTTATTGGAGGCAACAGTTATTTTGGATCAAAGCGCCAGTAATTAAATTTTTAATCAAGAACAGTTTTTTTTTTTTTCGTATATATACTCTTTGGTGAATAAAAGAAAAAAAGATTATTTTCAAATTTTTTTAATTCAATCAGAATTTTTCCCTTTTCTGAAAGAAAGGGTTACTCAGGTCAACAAATCCGATGCTGGATCCGATCGGATCCGACCATCTGAAAAAATCCGATCGGATTCCTGTGGAAACGGAATTGCATTGGAATCCGACTAGAAAAATCCCGTCGGTTGTTGCAAATTTTATGAGCGATCATTTTAGCTATGTTCTATGATGACCCTTAGAAAATCCAGGAAATCCATGTTTCGGATCCGAGACCGTCGGAATCCAATGCGATTCCGTCACCAGGATTTCATCGGATACGTCGAATCCCTGTAGGATCTGATAAAATCCTATATTGGATCCGATGGGATCCGAGTATGGGATTGTTCGACCTGGGTTGAAGAAAAAAGTTCGTCTAGAGAAGTCGTTTGTGCGGTATTATCAAACTCAATAATCATGATCGACAAAGACATATTTATAGAATTCTGAAATTTCGATTAGCATATAGAGACAACTTGAAGTTCAATTAGTATGTTAAGGTATTTCTTCACTAGCATAGGACTTCTTTTATTTTTTTAAAAATAACAGTACGATGTATAGTTAATTAGAAAAGTTCATGAAGACAAAACTAGAAAAACTTATTTTTGGAACGTTGCTGTTTTTAAAGCTTCAGCTGCTGTGTAATTTCTTGTGTCGTCACCTTTATTTTTAGAATATACATCTGCTTGAACACTCGTTGAACCTGAAGATGACATACCAGTCGAATATTTTCCGCCGGTAGAAAATTCATTTCCTTCGATATTCTCCGTTCCTTCTTTTGCTTGATTACTTGCTGAACCAGACGAGGAAAAGCCGCACGCACTCATTTTCTTTCAATCAAATTAAACTAATCTTCTGAGATAAACGAAAGATTATACGTGTGATATGCCTCGTTGACTCCATTTATATATTCAACAAACGAATATTCTGACAGTTAAAGGTCATGTGTTCTATTCATCAATGAAGGTTCAACAAAGAATCGCTGATATTTGATCGATGAATGAGTATGTATATTTATTTCTGATTGAATTCGATTTATCGAAAAAAAGAAGAGAAAGAAAGAAATTTTTATACAAGAAGATCACATAATGAGTGATTACTATATATATAAATATTGTTTTGATTTAGGATAATTTATTTGCATGATGATTGGATATTGTTGGAAGAGATGATGTGGAATTATTTGAATGAGGTTTTTTAATCATTTTTAAAGTATTAACGGCGGAAGAACGTGGAGTAGAATTCGATGGTGATGAGGAAGTTGCCAGACCAAGGGAATTATTCGATGGTAAACGTTGACGAGACAATTTTGGAGATGAGATTAAATCATTATGAGATTGAGAACGATCAAATCCAATTGGATTTGAACGAATTCTTGTTTGATGATTTTCATTCCAATCGGTTGACTAAAATTGATGAAAATGAATATAATCAAGAGAGAAAGAAAAAAACGAGTTAGTGTTTTTGTTTACTGAATCACTTGACTTTGGATTGGTTGACGAAAGTACATCTGACTCGTGTGTCGAACGTCGTGGTGTCTGAAATATTTCGACAATTAAAAAAGAGAAGAAATAAAGAAATTCTACTTTAATCAAATCTGATGAATATCGATTCGTTTTCAACTGAAATTTCTGTTTTTCATACGTTGGTTTTTTTTCTGAAGTATTTAATTTTATTTGATGTGGACTGACATCCGTTGATCGATCGATTTCTTCATCATTTTCTTCACATGTTGAAGGATTGTTTTCTGTATTCAATTCTTTTCGTTCATTTTCAGCTTGAAATTCTCTCATCATTGTTATAATATCTTTTGTTGCTCCTTTGTCTGATCGACCCTAATTTAACAAGAAGACGTTTGGAAAAAGCAAAAGACTTTAAAAAAAAAACTTACTGTTAACCACGGATGAACAGTTAATTCACCCATTGTTCGGCGATGAACTGTATCATAAACGAGCATTCCTTGTAAAAAGGCAAGCCCTAAGGAAAAATCAGCGGATAAAGGAAAAATTCAGTTAAAATACGGCCGAGTCAAACCTTCAGAGGATAAATTTTTAAATTTCTCGGAATCATATCGAAGTTTTTGAGTGCGAATCAATTCTAATAGTCGTCGTTCATTATTTGCAACATATGGATGACGTCCAGTAATTCTATTTTAATCGAAAGTTATTCTTTTTTTATTTTCCTTGGAAATTTCATCGTACTTACAAATAAAACATAATAATTCCTAGAGCCCAAACATCACAAAGAGCGCTATAATTTTTATTATCTAAAATTTCTGGAGCCATGTACCTATTGAAGAAAAACTGTGAATGAATTTTTTTTTTGAAGACAAATATGATCTACAGAGGAGTTCCACAATATTCATTGAAAAGTGAATCTGTATTTGTAATACTTTGTTTTGAACTTAATCCAAAATCTGTGACCTGAAAAGAAATGTTTTTTTTCAATTAAATATTCCATTGTTTCTCCTCATTTTACTCGAATATCAAATTCATCGGTTTTACTTGTTGGAATATTTTTCAGTAAGATATTTTCTAATTTCAGATCTCGATGAACAATATCTAAAAATCCGAATTTCAAAATTCTATCAACTTTCTTGAAACTTTTTACCCATTTTATGCAGATAATACAAAGCATTGACTAATTTCGACATAATTTGTTTGACAATTTCTTCGGGTAAAGGACCAATTTTTTTCAAGTGTAATCCTAATTCTCCACCTTCACACAATTCAACAATTAAATATAAATTCTGAAAGGTCAAAAAACTTTATTTGTTCATTGAGATTGAAAATGTGTAATTCACTTGAGATGATTCGAGTACTTCATGAAGTTGAATTAGATTTGGATGATTAACTTCTTTTAATAATTTCACTTCATTTTCAAGAACTGATGCTTTGATTTTATTTCCCGGCTAAACGTCACAAAAGATAAATGAATTTAATCGAAAGAAAATATTTTCTTTTTTTTTACTTTTTTTCCAATTGTTTTCATAGCATAAAAAAGATCGTTTTCTCGATTTCGAACACGAAAAACTGTTCCGAATGATCCTTCACCTAATTTATCGAGAATTTCATATTTTATTTCTAATATTCCATCATCATGAAGACGTGTATGAGTTATCTGACGAATCGATGATGAAAGAAGAGTTTGTTTATTCCTTTCCTGTGCCATTATATCACAAGAAATGAACAAAAAAACTAAAATAATGAACACACGTCAAAATAAAAGATTTCTCAAACAAATCAAACTCATGACTAACAAGTTGTTTAATAATTGGTAAGTATAAAAGATTTTTGGCATGCAAAACATTCATTAACTTCACCTAAATAGAAATACATATAACAAAATACACACATATAACATTTATCTAAATGAAAATCATGACATCAGTCGAATCTCAAAACATTAACGAACCCAGTGTGAATAAACATCCAAAGTTACAGACAAATATATTAACGAAAATAAACAGCAAAAGCTTTTTTTCCTTTTTCTTTTTTGAGTAAAGAAGAATAAGAAGGGGAGAGAAGAAGAAAAAAACCGAAGAAAAGGTAATGGTATTGCTCACTCACTTCAGTCAAAGAAGAAAAAAAACGTTCTTTTAAAGAATATTTCGATAGAACTTGCCACATTTCTAATTGATGTACGCTGTCAATGAAATTGATATGTAATCGGATATTTGCGATTTCTCGTTGTTTTTATTTAAATATAATCAAATTCGTTATTCATTCGATCGCATAGAAAGATGAAAAAAAGTCTCCGAACGGTTAATAACAACAATTTCATTGGAAAGTTTCACTCTTTTTTGTCTTCATACATGTCAAGTTGTGATAAAAAGATCATCTCGAGGGTTCTTTCCCATTATTAAATAACAACTAACCTCGATTTTGATATAGTTCATTGAAGTAGAGCAATGTTTTTTTTTGTAAGAAATAATGCAAAGAAGCTAATCAATAATTACCTTTATTATTTCGTTTTAAGAAAATTAATTTTGTAAAATAATCAATGGAAGAAGACGAAGAAAATGTCGTTTGTAGTCTTTGGTATTTTAGATTTGATTGAAAAGTTCTCGTTTTTATTCTTATTCTTGTTACTTTTCATAACGTTATTTTCCTGTTGACACTCGACAACAGACCAACGAACAATTTCCGTTCGATCGATCGATCTGATAGAGAAAAAGAGAAAAAACAGATCATATTTTTTTCCTTTCAAGATTTTATGATTCATTTAGAACTTAAAATAATCATTTCCATCTTCTCATTTCTTTTGTCACCATAGTTACATCTCTGTGAATCTTCTTTTTACCGATATTTCATGCCAATAACGATATCAAATATGAATATTAGCCTTTTCATTTCGATACTCGAAGGATTTTCTTTACAAATTCATTAATAGATGGCGCTGTTGTATGTATGCAAAAATTCGTTAAAGTAGAAACACACATATTTGAAAACTATTAGAAACATGTAAATTTGTTTCTCTTTAAAATCTATGGAAAATATTTTGTTGTAGAACGATCATAACAAGAAATAACAAAAGAATAGAATTACAAAATCCGAACACAAATGAAGCATTATTTCTTCGTGTTGTAGTAGATCTTGTCGATGAAAGTGTTGTAGCGCGTGTCGTCGTTGGTCTTCGGGTTGTTGTAAAGTTAACCACAGAGATATTTAACGGTAGAATGTATTCACGATCCAACCACTGAAATGTATCACCAATCGATGTATCCGAAGCACAATGTGGTTTATTGCAGAAATATGTGCCGGTATTTATCGAATTCGAAGCGTGAGAAGTAAAATAACGTTTTCTCCATATAATACCGCGAATTTCATCTGTCTGCGTACATTCACTATCGATAAAGTAATTATTGTTCGATACTTCTGTTGTACAGACATAGGAACCGAAGCAGTATGTTGTATTGTTTGAGCACGAATTATTGTTCGAACATTGAACAGGAACATCAGTGTTATTTGGATCGTAAAGACGACTCACAAGTTGTTTATGAATTGATTTTATCGGTACTTTATTCCATGCTGATGATAATGTTTCTCGTACAAATTCAATATCACAATAATCGTTAACAGAACACGTGTAATCGATATTAATGATCACCGAACTATCATTCAGTGGAAAGTGTGTTCGAACAAGGAGATGATCACCGTTTAAAATTGTTCGTTTTCCAGATATAAATGATCCATTAACTAGATTTTGTATTGGATCAATCGTTAATTTGACTTGACAAGTTTGATCTGTATCGTTATTTGACTGATTTAATGATGTGCAGAGATCGGAAGGTACTGATGTATTTAAGTGTAATCCCTGAAAAGTACAATTATTCCAACATCGAAGTGAATGAACATATGGAATCACGAATAATATTGTAAAGACGAAGAAGAAGAAGAGTCTTGATGTCATGAAATAAAACATAGAATATTTTAAAATAAGTCGAAAATGAGAGAAAAACAGATAGATGCATTTCTATAAATATTCCAATTTTCATTGATTTCATTTTTTTCCTTCTGCTACTATTTACTGGTGGATATTATTCATCGCTTTATAATCCATATCAGTGACGCGCAGCAGCAGTAAGAGAGACGTCATAGAGTGCGTAGTATTTGACGATATTTGAGGTTATTCATAGAAGGAAATATCGATAGGAGATATTGATTTCACAGATCACGTGGGTGAGAATGTGGGCAACTAAATGTGATGTGAAAAAGAATCTGCATCTTCAATTTCCGTTATCAAAGTAAAACAGTTTTCTTCAAAACTTCATGTTCAGTATTTCTCTATCATCGTTAAATGTGAATGTGTGTGTGTAAATAAACTATGAAAGTTGATGAACTTAGATTTTTACCATGAGATATAAGAATATATTAATGTTACTGATTCGAAATCACTGTTCTATGAACAACACCATCCAAAGTTTGTCTTTGTTTATCAAGAAAATTATTGAATAGTAAAAGCTGAAAAATTTAATTAGACCAGAACAAATTTGATTTGATCAGTTTGACAAAATAATGTTGGAATTACATGTGACTGACTGTTCTCTACTTTGCAAGAGTGATTGGTATTTTCACCGTCCAACTAACTTATACTTGTTCATGCTATTGTTTACCGAACAACTATACTGATATGGCTACGTCAAGAACCTGTATGCCTCCGCTTGTATGGATTTTGTGAATCGATAAATGCTGCTGATCGGTGAATTATATTTCATTTTATCAATTCTGTTTTTATTTCGCTCGTCTCTCTTTGTAGAACATGTTGGGAAGATAATAACAGCTTGAGTACAGGTGTCATATATACTATGATGCTAAAACTCCTAAAGAGCTAAATACTTGAAGAAGATACATCTTTTATCAAATATTAAATTTTCGATATGAAATTCCGTTTGTCCAAACTAAAACCTGGATCAGTCGTTAAAATTTAACGGTGATGTTTTACATTATCTAGATAATTAATATAGAAGCAGACACGAAAACAGATAGCTTCTATTCTTTTGTGATTAGTTATAAAGATAATTAACCAATACAGCGCGGACCTTGCCTATTTTTGTATTTTAGTTTATAGATGTTTTAACAAAAGTGTTGTGTGCAACTAGGTAATTCAGTTATTCAGATAGCATAAAACCATCACCGAAACTTCGCACACTATATTTCGTTGACGAGCTTCACTCGATAGCTTTCTACTTCTTAAATTCAATCAATTAATTCGTTTTTCTGTCTGTTTAAGCTCTATATTTGAGAGAAAACAATCACAACTTATCGAACATTAGCGTCATCTGTTATCGGTAAGAATATTACTGGTTTACATCGACATAGGATTCACTGCAATAATTGATTGATTGACATAATTATTTATTTTAACATGGACGATTGCTGTAGGTACAGTTAATACGAAGATGTTTGAAAAAGATATATTCATCGTTTATATTCTTTTGATTTAGATCAAAATGGATGATACAACAGAACCCATTGTGAAACGAAAAAAGAAATACACAACTTCATTTTCAAATGTTTCTCAAGAAGATGCAGAGGTTATACTTAGATTTCGATTCACAGAATTTTACAATTCGCAAATACCACTCGATCAATTTATCACGAAAAGTGCACCGGAAGAGTTGAAAAAAAATAGTCTTTGATCGATTAGTTGAGCGACTTATATCAGAAGATTTTCCAGAAGCAACAATTTCTCCATTGAATGAAGCGGTCATCACAGATTATGTCGGACAGGTTTTGGTAACAATAATTGCCTTTATTGCTCGTATGATGAAACGTCGTGTTTTAAAATTAAGACGAGAAAAACAAATCATCAGTAAAGATGAAAAGTACGGCGGAAATATGGAATTTATGGGAATTCAAAGTATCAATGTTGACGACACTCGTTATGTAATTGTTATTGAAACAAAACGTAATGCACTTGGAAAAGGACTTACTCAATTATTATTATCATTGAGGTCAATGTTTGAAATAAATAATGATCAGAAAACGGTTTATGGATTTGTCACAACAGCAGTCAATTGGCAATTAGTGACTTATGACGGTCAAACATGGAAAATATCAGAATCATCTGTTCTTTTATCTGGGAATATGGAGAAACAAGAAGATCGATGGTTAAAAAATAATACACAAATATTAGACGTTATTTACACTATTTTATCATCATTATAATGTTTATTATTTTTGTTATTTTATTAAACACTAATAACAAACTTTAGTCATTGTCTTTGATTCAGTAATTGATGTGAAAGAACAAATAGTTCTGTCAAAAATGATCAGACAAAGAATTGTTGACATTTTCCTGTATCATTGTGACGAACGATGAACCTTGTTCAAATAATTCGCTAAACAAGGACTACTTAATGTTGCCCATTGGGCGACTTCCATCATCGTTTTTTATCGAATCATCTATGAGAAGAAATAATCCATGATTTATCGTCAGTGAAACGACACATAAGTTTTCTTATTCAAGAATGTCGATAACTTTATTGGAAGATTTCTCCAACGAATTTTTCTATGAAATATTTGATTATTTAAATGGTTGTGAAATTTAGGAAGGATTTTCAAATCTGAACACTCGTTTTCGACAATTACTCGATCATCCGTCATTTCGATATAAAATTCGCATTGATTATTCAAATGGAAAAGCCAAGTCAATAAATGAATTAAAACAAAGTGTTTGTTTGAATAAAAATCAAATTTCTTCGATTAATTTATGTTCATGGATAAACAACAACGAAATATTCTTCTCATTCGATTTCAATTCCTCATATGAACAACTTGAACGTCTCGTTTTCAGTTATATCAAACCAGACATAATTCATTTACTTCTTCCAAAATTAGTCGATTTACCTCGTTTATTTTCATTGATATTTGAAACTGAATATGATTTAAAGCATTTTGGTTCTATTTATCGATTAGTTTTCAATTTACAAAAGTTAAAATATTTCAAACTGAAAGCAACTGATGCCACGGATTCGAATATCGATTTGTCATTACCAATTATTTTCAATCAATCATTGTCTTCCATCGAACATCTCATTATTGATCATCCTTGTACATTTCAACAACTAAAACATTTACTATTTCATACTCCCAATGTTCATCATCTGAAATTTTTGAATTCCAATGATAATGAAACAAAGTTCGATGATTTGTCTTTAGTGAAATTAACAAATCTTTCAATAGAAGCATATCACATGACATTTGACATATTCGAAACATTCCTTAGTCACTTGAATTTAACAATATTAAAAGTTTTATCATTGAAAGTTTATATTGAAGATAAGAATTATCTCAATGCTAAACGATGGGAAGAAATTATTTTGACAAAAATACCAAATTTAGAGAAATTCTATTTGAAATATTTGGTTCCGTTCGAAGATCATCATCAACCATCGATATATACAGGAAAACCAAATGAATTCTTCTCTTCGTTTTGGTTTCAACGAAATTGGATATTTGAAATTGAAATAAAATATGATAATATCATTTATTCGATTCATCCGCTCAAGTAAGTTCAGGTTCCAGGAGTAAACATTCAATTCGAGTTTTTTTTTCACTTAGAATACAATGGTTTGATGATTACAAATCAAACGAGAAAGCGATTTATTCGTTTGAAGAATTCGCAAGATTTCGACGAGTTACTTTAGTTGACACATCACCTGAATTGTTGTATGAAACATTGACTATACATGATTATCTATCACATGTTTCATCTGTTATGCAAATTGATCATTTGGATATCAAAGAAGAGATTGATTTTGTGAAATTATATCAGATTCTACATTCATTAAACGAATTGGATTCATTGAAACTTTACAAAATATCCATTTCATCTTTAGGACGTGTTACCGAGGAAGAATTAACAATATTTTCTAAGTTCCCAAGTCGAATGTCAATTACAAAGGTTTGTTTAGAGAAAATCTGTCAAATTGAAGAATCATTGGTGATCATGGCATTTTGTCCATTGATAAAACAATTTCAAATAAATTCTTTACAGAAAATTGAAATCGAATCATTTCTGCGAACATTTCTAACACATATCAAAGTTCAAGCGATTCAAATACTTCGATTATTATGTATTTGTGTGTCAACAGCTGATGATGAAATGATCAATAAACTCAAACAAACCATTGAAAATGAAAACTTACTTTTAGATTTTACTTTAAACCGTATAAAAGATAAAATCTATTTGAAATGGAAATGATTCCTTTTGTTTGTTTATTTGTGCAAATAAAAACTTCGATTGATTTATAAACTCAATGATTCCTCTCACATTCTCAAAATTCTCAACACAATTGTCCATGATTTTGTTCTTTCTTTGTTATTAAAATCAATTGTGACATGAATTATTCAAAACTTCATCAATTCCAATGATCAAAATCATAATATCCTCGTAGTCGGTTTTAATGAAAACTTCCAAAGATCGAAATGAAATCGGTTGAAGTAGTGAAATATAATCTTGTTTCGAACTCGATTGAATACCTTCAAAAGCAACAAATTCGATCAAATCTATTCCTCATGAAAATGCTTAAAAAAGATTTTCTTCTAAAATGAACAGAACAAAAAACAACGAAAGAAGAGAATTACAAAATCCAAACACAACTGAAGCATTATTCGATGTTGTAGTAGGTGTTGGTGATGAAATTGTTGTCGTCGTTGGTCTTCGTGTTGTTGTTAAATTAACTACAGAGATATTTAATGGTAGAATATATTCTTTCTCTAACCACTGAAAAGTATCAACAATCGATGTATTCGAAGCACAATGTGGTTTATTGCAAGAAAATACTCCCATATCCATTGAATTGGGTCGATCATAAGGTAAATATGTTTTTTCCCATTGAATCTTCCAGAATTCATTTGTATTCGTACACATATTATTCACATAGTATCCATTGTTGTGTGTTAACGTTGTCGGTTGATATAGAGCGTAGCAGAATGTTGTATTTTCTGGACAGGAATTATTGTTCGAACATTGAACAGGAACATCAGTGTTATTTGGATCGTAAAGACGACTTACAAGTTGTTTATGAATTGATTTTATTGGTGCTTCAGACCACGACGATGATAATGTTTCTCGTACAAATTCAATATCACAATAATCGTTAACAGAACAATCGTATTCGATATCAATGATTACCGAACTATCATTCAGTGGAAAGTGTGTTCGAACAAAAAGTCGATTACTGTCTGAAGATGTTGGTTTTTTAGAGATAAATGATCCATTAACTAGATTTTGTATTGGATCAATCGTTAATTTGACTTGACAAGTTTGATCTGTATCGTTATTTGACGGATTTAATGATGTGCAGAGATCGGAAGGTACTGATGTATTTAAGTGTAATCCTTGAAAAGTACAATTATTCCAACATCGAAGTGAATGAACATATGGAATCACGAATAATATTGTAAAGACGAAGAAGAAGAAGAGTCTTGATGTCATGAAATAAAACATAGAATATTTTAAAATAAGTCGAAAATGAGAGAAAAACAGATAGATGCATTTCTATAAATATTCCAATTTTCATTGATTGCATTTTTTTCCTTCTGCTAATATTTACTGGTGGATATTATTCATCGCTTTATAATCCATATCAGTGACGCGTAGCAGCAGTAAGAGAGACGTCATAGAGTGCGTAGTATTTGACGATATTTCTTGTTATTCATATAAGAAGATATTGAAAGGAGATGTTTATTTCACAGAGGGTGTAGTAAAATTAGTCATTATAGCAACTGAAAATGTGACATTGGCTTCCCTATGATATCGTGACATTTGATAAAGCGAGAGGATAACAAATGAATAATTGTCCACTGAACTCTCTTTGTTTTTTCCCTTTGATAATTATTAATCGATTATTTGATAAAAGAAAAACAAACTAAAATATTTGACTGATCAATAAAAGGAATCACTTTCTTCTTGTTAGTAGAAGAATTTGATTTTTCTTTCCTTGTAGATTTGTATTTCGGCAACTTTTTTCAATATAAAAACATTCGCGAGCATTGTTTTCTTTTTCTCCATATCAGACAGCTCTACCGATATGTCTGGAAACCTTGTCACTGACATTGTGGAGTATGACTCAATGATAACATAAAACTCGTATTCGAAGTTTATCAGTTATCAGATTTGTCTACATCTAGGTTTCGTTAATTGATGAAACCATTAAAAGTATCATTTCGTTGAACATATATAAAAAGTGATCTGAAGCATTGTTTATCAATAATTTTATTTATTATTGTACGTTAGTTGTCAGATTTTCACAATTAGGAACATCAGTTTTTGAAAATAAATAAATCGTTTCGTTTATTGGTCAATCAACAAATTTAAATCGTTAATGTTAATATATAAAAAAAGAAAACTATCACAGAAACTCAATTGTTTAAATGTGCATATTGTCCATCACCACGAACATGAAAAGATTCAGTTCTTTCCACTGTATTCAATCCAGCTAATCGATAACGTAATTCAATATGAGCAGCAGCAATTGGTTCATCTCGTGTACCAACATTATACACAGACACAACATGAACACTTGCATTGAATACATAAGCCCATGCGACTGAAATACGTGATGGAACAATAGTAACACGATCTAAATAAGAACCTTTTCCATCTAATGATCCACCATAAGTGAATTGAAGTGAATAAGTAAATTGAAGTACACATTGTTTTAATCGATTGTAAACTTTAACAGTATATGAATGAGAAGCTGGTGGTGATGACCAACTTTGAAGTTCAAATGGATCAGTTATATGAGAAGGAAGAACATTACTATAAGATGTTTGAATATCGACAACAGCACGACTGAAAAATTCATTATTGAAAACAAAAGAAAAAAAAATGAGAAAAAGAAATGTTACTTTTGATCAACAATTGACCATGCTTGACGAGCAGTATTAATTATTCGACCAATATCATCAGATGAAAATTCTCTTGGTGAACCAGCAGTACGAACCATTCCAGGTTGTGCTTCGAAATCTGTATCAATTGTTAAATAAAGAAATGATCCAATTCCAATTGCAATCAATAAAATAACAAGAGAAATCATTGATTTTAATGAAAATAAACTCATTTTTATGATGTTGTTTTCGATCGATGTTTATCTAAAACGATGTAAGAGAAATAAATAAATGTACGTTACTTAAATACTATACACCTGTCTAACAGAATCAAACAAATGATCAGTTGACACGTGTATCTCTTAACCACATTCTTTTCTCTTCTTCTGACAAATAAAACAACAAAAAGATTTTTTTATGTGAAAATACTCTGAAATAAATTAAACAATTTCTTCTATATTTATTTTCAAACTTTGATATTTTGACTGACGACCTCTTCGATGAAATCCGAATCTTGATTTTCATTACAATCAAAATTCTCTTTCAGTTAATTACATTGAAAATATTTCTTAAATAAACCGTAATAACTTTAATCATTTAAATATCTTCTATTAAAACATATTTTCATAAAAATAGTTTACATATCATCACAGAATCGATTTATCTTTCTAATTACATCTTTTTCTTATTAAATATGTTTGTTTTAGACTACGTGTTACTTCTATTTTGATTCTGAATGATTCACAAATATCTCGATTAGAGATTTCATTTGATGAAATTGCGAATATTTCTATCTGCAAAAATGAAATATGAAAATATGTTTGATATAAAGACTGTTTTTATTGATAACGAAAGTAAAAGAAATAAAAACGATGGTATAATACTATACAAGAAAACAATATAATAACATCCACACATAAATTGTCAATTTTAACCAAAGCAAAAAATCATTTTCAAAGAAGTTAATGCTAACTAATACAATTTGTGTTTTTTACCAAAAAAAAAAAGAAATCGAATGTGAAAATCGTTCAATTGTTGAGATGTTTAATATCCTTTACAAGATTTGTTAACAATTCGTTAGTATCAACAGGTGATGTAGTGGAATTTTCATTTTTAGTTTTATTTGAAATGAAATTATTTGATTTTTCACGAAGATCAGAGGAAGGATATTTGTATAAAAATGTTCCTAGAAGTTAAAAAAACAACGTTCACATATTTTCATTTGTTAAATCGAAAGGAAATTCAAACCTTGTTCATCATAGAGAACATGTTTCAGCATTGTATTCAAATTCGAATCAGCTGGCAATTGAAATTGTCCTCCTGATGATCGACATTTTAGCAATTGTTCAAGCCATTTTTGAACAATGTTTGTTTTAACTTTATTGGCTGAACCTTGAAAAAAATCTTCTAAAAATTTTTCATCACATTGAATCTTTTCATATTCATATGCTAAAAAACACAAAGAAATTGTAGACTAAAGAAAGATTTTCATTTTCTGAATTAACCTTGTAAAAGCATATCGAATATATCTAAATCTTTAACAAGATTGGCTTCGTTTGTTTTTTGATCGGAATATTCATTAAAAAGTGAGAAGATTTCTCGTCCAACATCAGCAGGTAATAAACTTGTTAAATAAAGCATTGCTTCACTTTCACGTCGATGTTTTTCAGTTTTAGGTACTCCATCATATTCAGTTAAATCACCAACAACTGATTCAGCTAAGTCATGTACAAGTGCTAATTTCATACAACGAACTTTTGATTCTTCATTAACAGTTGGTAATAGAAGTGACATAACAGCCATTCGATACATATGATCGGCGACACTTTCAACTTTTTCAACGCCTCGTAAAACCCAACCTGTGCGAAATGTTCGCTTGGCTTGTCCGACATAGAGTAGAAATTCTAAAAGACCATCCATATCGCAACTCGTTTTGATATTGTGATGAAAAGGAAACGACTGAATTGAATTTCGTCGTCGTGCATGATGTGGCTTGACCACATCAACCAATTGGAGCTTTTTGATTATTCTTTTAAAAAACGACGTAATTTACGCAATGTTTTTCTTAAAAAGATTGAAATTTTTCATATATATTTAACTTTTTTAATGATTAATCTTGAACAAAAGGCGACATCTACAATCGTCTGAAATTCTGTAAAGATAAATGAAACTATATGGTAACAGAATCAAAAAAGCATTCAGAAAGGATATCAGTGCATAAAAAAGTAGTGTAATCTTTCTTACAAGTCAAGTTCGTACAAGTAAACCAACACCGATACAGCTCATAGACAAAAACAAAACAAGATAAATCAATTGTTCTAGTTCTTAGTAGTCTGTTGAGCACTATCTTCAACATTTACTGTGTTACAATCCACGTGGCTGATGTTTTCCTATATTATCTATAGTCTCTATTTGTGTTTGTTGATAGTGTGATAAATTAAGAAAAGACCTTGTGACAAGAAATACCTCTTCTTCACAATATATCTGTTTTTTTTTGCAAAACAAAATATGTAAAAAGCAATACTTGAGTATGATAATTACCTTATTTCCTCATAAACAAAGTTCTAAATTTGTTTGTACAACTCTCATTATTCCTAGTAGTTCATATTGTCATCGTTATACACTTTCCTCATTTGTCAAAAAAATTCGATCGTTCAAAAAGTTTTAGCACAATATTTTATCTTCTTTAACATCCATTACAACAAAAACCTGGTTGAATAATTAGAATTTTACTTAAGAATACAGCAAACTTTGTTGATCACTTTCAGATTGGTGTTATTTTATCGAAATGATTTTCTTGATAAGATTGAAAATAAAATTATTTAAGATGAAAGAAGACAGAAATTCAATAATTTCACTTTTGATAAAATAGAGATATTTCATTCATGACTCATCTGTTTCTTGTCGATGATTAATTATAACCGAAAAGAAAAACTAGATTTGACAATGTGAAAAATGATATGGGGATGTAGCTCATATGGTAGAGCGCTCGCTTAGCATGCGAGAGGTATTGGGATCGATGCCCAACTTCTCCAGAATTTTCTTTTTCTTTAAAAACTTATTTCAAATGCAAAACGTTATACTTCAAATAGAAAAGATTAACGTCGTTGAACAAACAATGAAAAACTATTCTAAGAGAAAAAGTGAAACTTGATAGAACTCATTGAGTATTTCGAAGTTTATGATAAACATTTCGTTGATCTAATTGACGAAAATTTATGTTTTTACCATTGGATGATTGCTTTCAAAGTTTTTTTTTCCAACCTATTTACATATATTTACTTTTTATTTTCTTCACGAACACAATACAACGTGATGATAGAAAAGAAAAAGAAAGAGAAATGAGAATCTATTTTTGGTCATATCATTTTAACTATTTTACATGAAATATTTCTATTTTTTTCTTATTTCAAGATCATATCAAATAAATAACGCTTGTCGAGAGTGACTCACATTACCCTCGATTGAAGAGTAGTGTAGAAATCGTTAACTCGATTCGAGTATTAAACATCTTCGAGTTTTAAACTTATAAATCTAGAACTCGAAACTTTGAGTGTGAAGTTATAAGTTAGTTAAGGTTACATTTGAAATCTTTGCAGGCAGATGCTGCTGCAGGATGGTTTGGCGGCGGATGAGCGAGAGATTTCGTGTTGTTTCTGCGTGCTGTAGCCTACACTACGCTCTGTGTCATCGTCGCTTAGTTTTGTAGCTTAGAATACCCTTTCGTACGTCGCACTTTTTTGTATCTCCTGGAGCGCAATGCCGTATGCTCTCGGCTTGCTCTGTAGTTTATAGGACTTCGTCGCCCTGTCACTCGGCTGCGTCGCCGGGAATGTTCTCCGCTCACTGTCGCGTGTACGCTGCAGCACCCTCACTCTATTCCACAACCCAAAAGCAATGCACGAGCATCAATCAATCAAAATTTTAAAGTTTAAAACTCGAATAGGTGAAAACTCGAAGCTTCGAGTTCTAGATTTATAAGTTTAAAACTCGAAGTTGAAAGTTTAATAATCGAACTTTGTTTTCGAGTTATACATGTATGAAAAGAACGAAATTGAAAATAATAAAACTAAGAGAAAATCTTCTCAAATAATAAAGATCAAATTCGACATCGGATTTTTATTTCATTTGAAAACCTTTTCCTTTCATGAAGAACTCTGATCAATAGAAGAATCATTAGAAATCAAATATATTCTTCAAACATTATTCAGCACACACCACCACTCATATTCTCGAGGCATAAAATCATTTCATACGAAAAAATCAGGCGGACACAATTCGCTGTTATAATAATACGAAAGGATGTTATATGGAATCTTTGACGTGCTGAACAAAAATAATAAAGAAATCTCATAAAAGAATACATGCTGGAATGTCCTTTGTTGTGGACTTGAATAATGAACCGAATTTAGTCGATGTGCAGATCGAGTTACAGTTTGCAAAGATGTTATAGCTAATTAGGTTGCGCTTTTCTAGAGAGCAGATTATAAAAATAGTATATAAAAGAAGAAAGAACAAAATTATTACAGTACAGTTTCCGATGCTTGCACTTGGATCAAATCAAAACATAAAGACCTTATTAGTATCGTCTTTTGATGCAGTGTTCATCAATGAATCTAACATTATATTCAAAATCATTTTCTTCCATGTCTGCCACTTCTTTAAAATCAAATCTACCTGCACTCTTATTCTCACCCACACCCTCACCCTTACTCTCAAGAATTCGTAATTACATTTATAACACAGAACACTTCAATTTCTTCCATAATTCGATTTTTTTTTGTCAATATGACAAATTGGGACAAAGAAATCATACATTTTCTATTTTATCTAAAAAACTAGTTGTATTTGTTTTGTTATTTTGAAAAAAGATTTGTTGCGAACATGTCGAATAGAATTCATGATCGAAAACATTCATATCATCGTCGTCTTTCGAAAAGTAGAAGAACAAAGACAATTCATATCCAGATTCGACCAAACCAAAAGATTCAATTGACTAATGATTATCCAACAACGATTTCTAAACCAAAACCAATTCGAAAATCATCATCAATAATAATAGAAGAAAAATCTCAATCTCAATCTCAATTCCAACATAATCAAAGTGTAAGAGTTCTTCATCAATTTTTCATTTTCCCTCATCTATTTTCTATAGAAAAGTGATAACAATCTTGTTCTATTCCATGATCATCATCGAAATCCCAAGAAAAAGAAAACTAAAAAGTATTACGTCTTTTCCCCGATTTGTCTCACTATAACTTTGAATTAGATGTACCAAACAGCACATATTATTCACTCCAATTATTCTGACTATTATCAGTATTATCTTAATTTGTTCATTACTTCCAGTACTTTCGATAAAATCGAAACCAAAACTGAGTAGTAAATTTCTATCGTTTAAAGTCGTATTTTGTTTTCTAAATTAAGTCATACTTTATAGTTTCTACGCCTGTCTTACGATGGAATACAAGTGGAATCACAATCCTTGGTATAACAGGTCAGTTAGGGAATAATTCAAATGAATTATACCTTCCGTGGGATATTAAAATTGATTGGTCATATACAATTTATATAACTGATCAAAAAAATAATCGAATTCAAAGATATTCATTCAATAATTCTCAAGGTACAACAATCAATAATGGAAATCTGACAAGTATTAGTAGTTTATATAATCTAATTGGACCGTTAGGAATCGATTTTGATAATAACAATAATCTTTATGTATGTGATAATGGAAAACATCGAGTTCTTTATTGGTCAAATAATATTCTGTCTGCTTCGATAGTTGTTGGAAATAGTAAGTTCTCTTTATAAGCATCAATTCTTTTTTTTCCCGAAACTTTAATGACATAGCGACGGAGATATATAAAATTGAGATAAAAATAAGTCTAATGTAGGTACTTCTGGAAATACAACAAATTTATTGAATAATCCATATGATCTTACATACGATCCAAATTCTGGCTCAGTTTTCGTCGCAGACACTGACAATAATCGAATAATGCGCTTTCAATTGAATAATTCGACAGGTCAAATTATTTCTGTTGGTAATGGAATCGCATTGAATAATACTGAATTAGTTCGTCCATTTGGTATTCATTATGATTCAGTTTCTGATAGTCTTCTTATTGCAAATACAAATGCGCATAATATAATTCGTTGGACAATTGGAAGCAGTTATTGGGCGGTTACTCATGGTAATTTGAATGGATTTAATGGTACATCATCAACAGAATTTTATGCTCCATCAGATGTTACACTTGACCCGATGGGTAATATGTATGTAGTTGATAGATTTAATCAACGTATTCAATTTTTTGAAAATGGACAATCAAATGGAACAACTATTGCTGGTCAAACGGGTGTTAAAGGAAATACTTCTGCACTTTTCAATTCTCCAACATCAGTAACACTTGATAATCAACTTAATCTATATGTTGTTGATCGAGGAAATCATCGTGTACAGAAATTTCTACGTTATTAATCAAAGGAATTCCATTCATTTATTTTCTTTTTTTCATGTTAGCCCTATATGAAACAACGGGAAAAATATCAACGAAAAGATTTCTTACTGTCTGTAACTTCTGTTAAAAGACACATTTTCTTTTCAAATGTTCATCGATGAGTGCTGGAAAACGTTGGCTTCAAGTTCGTTTAACACGGATATTGTATGCTTCTATTCGAAAAAGAAACATTCTTGTGCACAAAGTAATGATTTTGTCAATAGAGAAGACTCAAGTAGATCTATACGACAATGGTCAGGTGTTACAATTTAAAGGCAAAAAAATCACATGTAGTGTTATAGCAAGTTTGAGTGATCAAGCTGATTGTTCTGAAACAGTTCAGAAGCAAAATCGATATCAAATGAAGCAGTATTACGACTGCCAGAAGCAAACACACAATGGGAACATCGCTATGAACGATGTGGAAAAAAGATCTTTTTTGTCCCTGATTTATTATTGAATGTAACTAATAAGTTATTAATTGTCGGTTGCATACCGTTGAGCAGTAGGGAACGTTGAAAAACATCATTCTGATTAGCGTTACATCCAAACATTCAGTAAGACACCGAAATTCTTAAAATCAGGCTTTTTATCAAAATTCTCTTGCGTTTATGTGAAATGAATTGCCTAAAAGGATAAAGAAAAGTTTAACAAACGAATACGCATCCTAGTATCATGCAAAACTATGCGTGTTAGTACTTATACTGTATCATTGAGCGTTCTGAAATGCTGTGATTATAATCCTAATAGCGTATTACTTTATAAGTTATTATGTTTCGCATATCAAATGATATATCTATCCAAGATCTATCTGTGATAGAATAAAAGCACTAGGTAGTCATATCGACCTTGAGAAAGACCAGCAAAGTTTGACATCGGCAGTGTATCATGTCTGTCAAATACCAGTTTCTTCTCTGACATGAAGTTATATCGGTGTGAAGCTAGCACCAGATAACGAAAAATCATAAAAATCTTATGTTCAAATGAATTTCCATCCGTAGAAATAGGCTCATTCGAACCAGAATTTAATTCTACATCGAATGGTGTTGTTTTTATCGACGGGAAAACGACTGAGAAAATTTTATACAGATTTTTCTATACGTTTGTGTCTGGAAGGAAAAAATCTAAATAGAATCTTCTCAATCGTTTTCCCGTCGATAAAAACGACACCATTCGATGTAGAATTAAATTCTGGGTCGAATGAGCCTATTTCTACGGATGGAAATTCATTTGAACATAAGATTTTTATGATTTTTCGTTATCTGGTGCTAGCTTCACACCGATTTCCAAAATTATTGACAAAGATCGAAATGGTTTAATTAATTTTCGTGAATATATGTTAATCATATCGTTGATTGTTCCATGTGAAATGGAACAGAAAATCTCTTTGGTATAGAAATTCTTTTCTTATTTCACAAAAAACAAATCTTCATTTTATTTAAAGATATTTCAAATTTGTTCATTAAATAAAGATCACATTGATCGTCAAAAATTAAGTCATTATTTAGAAGCAGTGATTCATTTTCTTCATCAACCGAATTCATCAGATGAACAGAAGATAAAATCTATTGTAAATCAACTTTTTCAATTTGATCATCAAAATAACAATGAATGTATCATCAACAAAGATCAATTTATTATTTGGTACAATCTATCTTTCTTTTTTTACCCAACAAGTTCATTTCTTTTCTTTCAGTATGAAGAAGAATTATGAATTATGTTTGGCATTTTTACCTCCCATCGTCTCATTATTATCTTCAAATGAAAATGAATCAAAAACATCATGTAAATATAATTCAAACTGTTACAGTCATGATTGTCAATATTCTCATGATAATCTTCTCTATTCACAATGTCAATGGGATGTCAATTGTATGGATCAAAGTAAACAACATCGAGATAAATTTTCACATTCAACAACATATGTGAATAAATCTTGTCGATATGGTGTTAATTGTCTTATACAATTCTCAAAAGATGGTTTGGAACATAATTCAAAATTTTTACATCCATGTCGATATGCTGAATTTTGTACAAAAAAAGAACATGAAATATATTTAACTCACGAATCTCTTTGTGTTCGTCTATGTCGTTATGATGGAAATTGTGAGAAATTGATTGATCCTATCCATCGATCCAAATTTGGACATAAGAATTTACCATATTTTTTAATTCCATGTCAATATCAACAAAAATGTGTAGATCAAAGGAAAGAACATCGAATGAAATATTCACATGGTGAAAAAGTGAATGATGTTGTATCAAATCAACAGAAACAAATGTGTAAATTTGGAATTCATTGTACTGATCAAAGTGATGATCATCAAAAAAGATTTTTTCACTCAACTAAATAAATTTTGGAATTTAAAAATATGTAATTTCGATTGTTGATAAAACTTCAAGAATATAATTAAATATATAAAATCCTTTTTCTCTATATGATAAATAGTATTTCATTTAGGTATCTTTTCAAGTGTCATTGATACTTAAACGTCAAATAAAACAACTCATATATTTATATTTACCTATGATTCTCGTCTGTTGATAAGAAAGAAAGAAAGCAGAAAAACTTTTTTTTTTACTATACACTCGTCAAAGAAAAAGAAAGAAAGAAAACGTGTTTGACATACATAGTGTACGATATGTCTGAAATGAAGTGTGTATGTTGCTTGTTCTTTTCGTAGTACGATTTATTCTGGTATTTGAATAATACTAATTATTTGCTTTACTTTTCATTTTTTTATCAGTACGATCAGAAGTGTTTTGTAGTTCTTGTTTTTTGACTTCTTCAATACTTGACGTAATTATCTTCATGATCTGTACTTCTTGAAGTTTTGATAGGAGAGAAAAAAAATTGTCACTCGTAGAAGTTAGCGAACTCTGTCTTAATCCTATTTTTACGATCAAATTCTTCTCTCACGCAATGAAAATGTGCCAATAGACATTCGAGATTGAGAAGAAAAGAATATCGTCGGATATTTTCATCTAATTTTGTCTTAATCCATCAATTTCTTTTGTTTCATTAATCTTTGTGGAATGTAGAATCATCGAAGTTTTATCTATTTTTCTTCATAAGTTGATTTACACGTGTCGAATATCGCTTTGATTTTCATTTTCATAGAGTAAATTATTCTCTGATTTCTAATAGATATGACGTCGATTTTATTCGTTGGGATAATTACTGGATTGGTTCTAATTCTAAGTACTTTATTAGGATATATATTTTCATTTATTCGAATTATTTTTCAAAAACCAATTATTCCAACAGGTGCAATTGAAATTGATGAAAAAGAACATATTTATGCACATCCAGATTATAGAGATAAATTATTAGATCTTTCTTCATTTGGTGTTCAAACTTTATATGATGTTATTTTACGTGGGATTCAATTGAGTGGAGATCGACCACATTTTTCCTTCCGACAATCATCAGATCAATTATTTAAATCTTATACTCACAAGTAAACAATGAAATGATCTATTTTTTAATGTTTAGTATTTCTTTCTCTATTTAGACAAGTATTTGAAATCATTAAAGAAATTGGTAGTGGTATTGTTAATTCCGGTCTTGAACCATCCAATGAGACGATTTTTGGTATTTATGCATCACCATCAATGAATTATGCACTCTGTCTTTATGCTGCATGGCCATATTCGATGGTACCAATCGGTATTTATGATTCACTTGGACGAGATGGTGTTAAATTCATTATAAAACAAAGTGCAGTTGAATTAATCTTTGTCGATAATATTCAACGTATTCAAAATTTAATTGAATGGAAAGATGAAACAATTGCTTTGAAAACTATTGTTTGTTGTGTACAACCATCAAATGAATTGAAGAAACTTGCTGAAGAAAAACAATTAAAATTAATCACATTTGAACAATTAAAAGAATTGGGTCGAAATAATCCAATTGAAATAGTTCCACCGAAATCGACTGATAGAGCAGTTATTATGTATACAAGTGGAAGTACAGGTGAACCAAAAGGTAAATTTTCTTTTAAGAATTTTATTGATTTAAATATTGATAAATGTAGGTTGTGTTCTTAGTCATGAAAGTTTTCTGTATGGTATATGTGCAATTCTTATTTCGTTGAATTTAACGAAAGTTGAAGTTGAAGATATTCCACGAGTTTTAAACTATTTACCATTGGCACATGTATTTGGTTCGGGAACAATTATTGGTATAACATTTCTTGGCGGAGAGATTGGCTTTTGGCAAGGCAAAGTTGAGAAATTAATCGATGATTTTCGTGATTTTCGACCAACTGTTCTCGCTATGGTTCCTCGTTTATTGAATAAATTATATGATAAAGTTCGAGGAGATGTACGTCAAAAAGGTCTTCTAAGTCGAATTATATTTCGATTGGCTATTACAAATAAATTAGCATTAATTCGTCGTGGTTATTCGAGAAAAAATACTTTATGGGATAAACTTATCTTTGAAAAGATTCGTCAATCATTTGGAGGAAAAGTGAATCGTGTCCTTTCAACTGGTGCTCCACTTTCACCGGAAGTTTGTCAATTCTCTCGTGCTGCTTTTTCATGTGTATTTATTGAATGTTATGGTCAAACTGAATGTGTGATAATCTGTTCTCAAACATTAAATGATTTCGAATCAGGTGAAACAGGTATTCCAACACCAGTTACACATCTTAAACTCGTCGATGTACCGGAAAAAGAATATTATGCGAAGGATGGAATTGGAGAAGTTTGTCTGAAAAGTCCAACATTGTTTTTAGGTTATTTAAACGATCAAGCAAAGACACGTGAAGCGATTGATGAACAAGGATGGTTACATACAGGAGATATCGGTCGATGGACACCTTATCGAACAATTAAATTAGTAGATCGAAAGAAGAATATGTATAAAGTAAGATTTTATGAAAGATTTTTTCTTATTAAAAGTCTTTTTTTTTCTCTAGTTAAGTCAAGGAGAATATGTTGCACCTGAAAAAATTGAAGATATTTATTCACGAAGTCAATTCATATCACAAATCTTTGTGTATGGTGATTCATTTGAAAGTTTCCTCATTGCAATTATAATCTTAAATGATGATTATGTCAAACAATGGACAACACATGAAGGTTTTCATAATCAAACAACATCATCGTCAATAATGAATAAAAAATTAAAAGAAATTGTACTTGAAGATATGACAAATGAAGGAAAAAAACGTGGATTAATGTCATATGAACAAGTTAAAGCAATTGAATTTATTTCTGAACCATTTACAATTGAAAATGGTCTTTTAACACCAACATTCAAAGCACGAAGATATGCAATTGAAAAGAAATATAAACCACTTTTTCAAACAATATATCAAAATACTAAAATATAGAACACTTAATGAAATTCTTCTATTGATTTCACATATGTTTTTCTTTTCATAGAATTTTTTCATGTTTTCGATGTTTAACAGAAGTCAAAACTTAATACATCGTTTTTTTTTCTTTATAAATCTTAGTTTATGATTAATCTCATTATTTTAAATTCTAAGATATGATAATTTTCATATATATTTGAAAGTACATTATTCTATAAATGTGAATTCTGCGAATAGATTATTTCCAAAATCTAAATATAGAAATTCGTTGAAAAAACCAAATGTAATTCTATCAACATGAATTGATTTATTATTATAATCTTTCTTTTTTTTTCTTTGATATATTTATTTATCTTATTGAATCTTCTATATTTATTTATATGATAATATTTCATATAAACAAGAAAAAAAAACAATCTTCTCATGTGGAAATGGAAAGATAATTTCCGATTACGTTGAAAACACAAAGAAAAACTAAAATTGACGCATTAAAATAAAATAAAAAAACTCTTCTCTTCGTCCGATGTTGATTACTTTATGAATAAAATTTGATCATTATGAGAAAAAAAGCATGACAAACCCTTGTTTTCTCGAAAGGAATTGTGAATAATAAAAATACTTTAACATGTAATTATCTACATCATTAAAAAAAAGAGCTTTTAAAAACAAATTATGTCAAATATCAGAAAAGTATGTTCATAAGAGAATACTTACTGAAACATTAAAATCAATGAACTTAATCCAAGAGAAAAAAAGGAATTGACATGATGAATAATAAATAGAACATTACAAAAAAATTGATTTTCTATATGTAAATAGAAATTTTCCATTAACCTTTCAAACAACAAGAAGAGAGAAAAACGTTTATTTTTCATTGATAATTGATTGTGCAAGTTTGAGTCTTAAAAGCTTTTCTCTTCTATCAAATTGAAATATAAAATAGTTGTGTAAATCGAGGAGAATAAGGTCAACTTCGATGAACAAGATTTCTAAATGAAAATTAGTTCTATTTGAAAATATTTATTCGTTCGACAAGTCTCAAGAGAAGATCAAATGAACATAGTTCAACATTTCTTTTTTTTCCATCAGACAAGTCATCGGGTAGAATTTGTTTTTTATTAGATCAATGAGAAAAATATTAATTGAAACGATAAATAAATATAAGGAAAAGCACGAGTATTTATCAATTTTTTTTTCTCCTTTAAAGTATATATTTCATGTTTCTTTCTTAATAAGTTCATTAATTATCATATAGATTTCTCTTCTAAAAGAAAGAAAGATGTTCNATAATAAGAGAACAAAACAAAAGAATCTTTTTCTTTTGTTTGTATTTATCAAATGAGAACCATTTTTTTTAAAAAAAGTCGTTTTTTCCTCTCTTATTTTCTCTTCAGAAATGTTAATTGATTGAATTTATCTGAAGAGCTAATATCTTAAGAGATGTTGTCATCTTCTACAGTTAAAATGGTGCTTTTTGTCAAAGCAAATTTTCTTCCTGGTCCATCAAATCATTCTTTACATTGGAACAAACAAACGGATGAAAAGAACAACGAGAATAATAATATTTCTTATATATTCTCTTCTCCGAATAACGATCATTATGACAATAACGATTTCTTTATGTTAGGAACAAATCAGACAATGATTTTTTCCACATTTTTGGATAATTCATCTCAAATATTTTCAACTTCATCCATGTTTATTTCGATATTTTTGGGAATTATTCTTTTCACAATTACAATTTGGACAATTCTTGGAAATATTTTAGTTATTCTTGCCTTTATTACCGATAAACAAATTCGACAAGGTGGAATGTCGAATTATTTGATAATTAACTTAGCAATAAGTGATCTTCTTTTGGGTATTGCTGTTTTACCATTTTCAGCATCGTATTCTACATTTGGATTTTGGTATTTTGGAAAATATCTTTGTGAAATTTGGTTGGTTATCGATGTTCTTTGTTCTACAGCATCAATTTGGGTAAAACAAATCGATTTTTCTTTCTTATATTTTCATTAAATTCTTCATTAAGGGTTTATTAATGATTGCATTTGATCGATATATTGCTACGAATTATCCTATTCGTTATCGACATCATCGTCATTCGATTCGTTTAGCGTTAATTTATATTTGTGTGGCTTGGTTTGTTTCAATTGCCATATGTTTATTACCAACATTATTTTTTGAGAAAAAAGTTCCGATGTTTTCAGAAATTCAGAACACAACAATTTATATTTCACCAACAAAATATACCGCAAATAATCGTCAATGTGAATTATTTAAAGATTTGAATTTTGTTGTCACCAGTTCATTACTTTCTTTTTATTTTCCATTGGTTATTATGATCTTTTTATATATCAAAGTTTTGTATGCAATTCGACAACAATCGTTGAAAATGAAAAAGAAATCACTAATAAGAACAAGTCTTATTAAGAAAAATACAAATCGAACAACAATATCTGGTGAGTAGAAGAAATGATCTGTACTTTTGCAAAAATCGCTTTTTTTTTGTTTACTTTAAAAGATATAAATGAAAAATCTCGAGATTCTTCGTCATCAATCCGCGAATCAACAAGTCAAAAATCCTTTCCTCGATGTTGTTTCAAATCTTCAACAAATCAAACTCCATCTAAATCAAAACTTTTTCGTCATCAAAGTAGTTCGAAAATGTCTCAAAGTTCATTCATTACTGATGATATTCAACATAACAACGATCAACAACAATTACGACGTCGAGAAATTACTGCTGAAGCTCGTGTTACTCGATCATTAGCAGTTGTCATCGGATGTTTTATTTGTTGTTGGTTACCATTCTTTACTTTATATATTATACGAGCTGTTTGTCTTTGTTTAAGTTTTAATGCTATTGAATTCTTTGTTTGGTTGGGTTATTCAAATTCATCAATTAATCCTGTTCTTTATGCGATTTTGAACAAAAACTTTCGTCTTGCTTTTAAAAATATTTTTATTTCGGTCAAAAAAATTCTTTTTGTGTAAATATGTGAACTAGATATGGTGATAGACGACGAGACAAAGATAATTTGATTCTTTTTTTCGACATTATCTTCGTGAACGACATGATTGATAATCAAATCATCTTTAAAAGACAATTTTCATGAATCAATATCACGTTCTTGTTAATTTGAACACGTCATGAGAAAATCTCATATTCTTCTTTGAAAATCAAACATTAATTACATGGAAAATTTTAACAGAGAAATTTCTATTTCATTTAGTTTCATGACGATTAATTCAATTATTGATATTTATTAAGCAAAAAAGAATCATTTATTATTCAGAGATCGAAACGAACAAATTTATCTTTCTCTCACATTTATTGACCCGAAAACTGATTAGATTAACAAGGAAATGTGTTTGTTTAAGTACGATGTTCTTTTGAGAGTGTTGTCAACAAATTCTTCATCTTTCTCATGTACCCATACACTACTTTTTGACCTTGAGACAGAGAAAAGGAGACAAAATCATTGTTATATTTGTTAACAAATGAAAAACTTTTTTGGATAATTCTTGTATTTCAGTCCATTCGTCTTTTTTGAGTTCTTCTAATTCTTCCTGTGTGTAAAGAATTAAATGAATAATTCAGTTAGTTTAACAAACATTGGGCGCTATTCAACTACCAGTTATTGACTAGATTTGCTAAAAGAAAATCTTATTCATTTGAAGGATTATCATGCGTTGTTGTATTTCATTGGAAAGTTTGATTCAATAAGAAATAGGCAACAATTCGTTTTATTTACTAATCGTCCGAATAGCTTTTTCTTCCTCGAGCAATGACAAAAACATAAATTCCAATCAATCAGAAGATATTCAGTTGAATTCGATCTATTAGAAAAAATCTTCACATATAGAATACCTGGACATATCGCCATCATCCATATTTGAGCAGGATTACATGAAAATTCTTGTGTTTCTTCCTTGTCATCATATCACCAATAGAATCAGTGAGTGATGACTCGTGGAGACTTTTCTTCTACTTCGATATTTAAGTTTGCTGAAAATGGCAAAGGAATAAAAGAATTTCGGTCGAATATTCCTGTTTTTTTTTTAAGAATTCTTTGGTTATATTGAAATATTCATCATCAAAGGATTGCCACAAAGGTATTCGCGGGTAAAAATCATCGAAACGACTTCATCAGATCGAATGACTATTCAATCGAATTAATTCAAATGTCGAACAAATCTTTGCAGTAAAGCAATCAACGATCGGCTGACATTATCATCTTTTTCCTCTTATTTTTTGCTTTTAGAAATATTTCGTTGAAGTGAAAAATCTTCCAAATAAATCTTTATCTTCAAATTGATGGATGAGAGACAGAAAATATCATGTTAAATTGAAGACATCGAACAAAAAAACACAAGAAAAAGAGCTCATCATAGTAAAATATTTCAATCGTTATCCATGTGAACATTCAAATAATGATTTTCTCTCTTTTGTCGTGGAATATCATTGATGAAAAATACAGTGTGAGAGAACGAAGAGTGAATTGAATTCATCTCGTGTCGTCGGTCAATGATGATGAATATCGATGAGAATGCTGTTATGGCTTATTCCACGATTTGAGATATGGAATTCTCCAATATGTTTTCTTTCGTTCTTCTCATATATCCCAGATCGAACAATTCGGTATGGAAACGGCCGGTTCCGCTCAGAAACGGCGAGTTTCCTCAGGGATTTTGTCGGAAATTCATGGAATTCTGCTTCAGGAACCATTATCCTGGGATATACATATGTTTTGTATCGGTGTGAAGCTAGCACGAACAAACGATATGTTAGGTAAAAACGTTTTTACTAAGTATGTCCCGTCCATGAAAACTACACCATTCGACTCAGAATTTAATTCTACATCGAATGATGGTACTTTTATTCGCCGGACAAGCTTTGCAAAAATTCGTTTTGGATTATAAATAGATCTAAAGGAAGCAAACATAGATATAGGTAAATTTTTTTCCAAAGTTTATCCGGCGGATCAAAATACCATCATTCGATGCAAAATTAAATTCTGAATCGAATGGTGTAGTTTTGATGGACGGAACATATTTAGTAAAAAAGTTTTTAACTAGCATATCGTTTGTTCGTGCTAGCTTCACATCAATATTTCCCCAGTCGTTTTTCGACCTGGGATTCTCCAGTGAAATTCGAATTAACTTGTTTTTCTCACAGTGGATGAAGTTCATCTGGTTGGTTATGAAAAGATCTCATTCGAATAAATCTCAAAGACTCGATAATACTGGATTGTTTTCTATTTCAATTCGTTAGCTACGAAACCAAGGGAGAGAATGAACAGAAAGAAAGCATGAAGGTAAAACTTCAAATATGCAGGTACAGAGATAGAATCATTCAAATGGAACAAAAGTTGATCGATATCGAGTCGATACGCTCGCGTTACATAAAACAATTCATTTACAGGGGAGTAAATTTATATACAAATAAATCTTCCAGTCATTCAAGGTGATTTCTTTAAAATCAGGTACTATTTTTTACGCATATCGAAGAAAAAGCAGAAGAGCAATTTTTCCTGAAACTCAGCGACTTGTATATGATTGCGAAGATGAGTTACTACTTTGAATTCAATGTTAGATAATGAATGTTCTCTACCTGAGTTGCAATGTTTGCTAAAAGCCAAAGAAATAGAAGAGAAAAATCTCAGATGAATCACCATGCGCTTAGAAAAGCTTGAAATCACTGAAATAATTATGAACCAGTTTCTATTTCTTCCAATAGAAAAAGAACGACCTTATTTTTCTTTATTTCACGTTTGTTTATGCAAAGACCGATTAGATTAATGAAGAAATGTATTCGTTTAAGCACGATGCCTTCTTTAGAATACTATCAATAAGAATTGATTTTTTTCATCTTTCATTTGGGTTTGTTCAATACTTTTTGACTTTGACAAAAAAACAATTGTTATATTTGTTAACAAATGATGTCAATAGATATATTTTACAGATGAAAGAAAGAAGAAAAAGGAATCAATCGTCATAATTATCATCATCAGTTCGTGTTGCTTCCATTTTTTTTCGCAAAACTTCCTTGGATAATTCTTGTGTCTTAGCCCAATCATCTTCTTCGAGTTGTTGTAATTCTTCACGTGCCTAAATCAAATGCGAAAATAGAAAGTAAAAAAAGAAAGGTGGAATGTACTTGTTCGAAAAGCAGTTCCTGTTGTCGTCGCAATTCTTCTTGAGAATAAAGAGATGTTGGTTTACCATGAAGTTTCTTTCGTTTCTGTGCCATTTCTTCTTGGGCAGTTTCCATTGCATTCAAACAATTCGTTTTGTAAGATGTAAATCCCAAGTTATCCAAAGCTAAACGGAGAAAAAATCGATGTATTCAGTGGTTCTCTTAGTCATTTCTCACCAGTAACAATATGATCTGGATGAATAAGCTTCTTTGCTTGTTGTTCACAAACAGCATTGGCTTGTAACGCTAATGTATGAATAAATTCATTACAACATTGAACAAAGAATTCCTTCGCTTCGCCTGAAACACGAATTTGCGGTGTACAATCTTTAATCATTTTATATACAGCAGCCCGTGGAACACATTTATCATCTTCTTCACCTCCACCGCCATTATTCGGTGAACCCATCATCTAAAAAACAAATTTCACACAGTTAATATCTTGATTGGAAAGAATCAATCGATATTAAATGAAAAACAAGTTTTATTTTATAACAAAAAAAAAACAAACAAAACTATGAAAGATTACTAATCACTGAAATTTTCTACGAAAAAGATTCTACTGCGATTCATTGTCTGGCCGATGAAAGCACTTATCTGACGACGTGTTTAACTTGTTCGTGAGGAAGAAAATAAATGCATCCATAGAAGTGTTATCGGTGGAACAAATAAACAAATTTTACAATAGAGTGAACGTCCATGTTCATTTAATATCAATGGAAGTGTTGTCAGTGTCAAGAATAAACAAGATGGAAGAGTTTCTCTGAACGGTAATTCGAGTTCTTGAGGATGATCAGTTTCATCAGAAGAAAAGACTTCTGATTGGAAGTTTTTCTTTCGTTGAAAGTCATAAAATCTTTTCAATAATCTAAATAAATATTCATCATCAATCGATCAAAACGGTCTTCAATATGACTCTTACTGATCTTTCAATTGAAATCTTTGGTACAACCAATGAGATATCTCTTCATTGGTTTCATAAGGGATCTCATTCATTGCTATTCGTCTTACATCAATGTGCAATTCATTTGTTTGACCTTGTAAATACTCTAAAGCACAACTTTTCCAGAAATCTAACAAAATAATTTTCTTTTACCGAACATTGATGGTGCAGCTAAACGAATCTGTTTTTGTTCATCATAAGTTTGGTTATACATGAGAGTCACATCATAAACTGCATCGATATGATCCTTCAAAGCTCTAATCGCCGCAACTGTGGCACCTGATCGAGGATAAAGAACGTATTCGAACGGCGAAAATCCTTTCTCTTTGGCGAATAAACTCGATCTTTGAATTGCATTTTGATTACTAATTGGATTAAATCGTGTTCCTTCAGGAAATATCACCAACCAAATGGGCAAACCATTTTTAATCACTCGTCTCATGCCATTTTCCACACGATTCAAATCACCTCTATCATTTCGGTGAACATAGATACATTCATGCTAAATTCATTCAAATTGTCCTTCTCATTAAACCTTATTCGTCAACTGTTTACTTGTTGAAAATAAAATCCATAAAATGGAATATACTTTAACTCATTTTTTAACACATATCGAATATGCCCCAGACTTCCTTGATGAATGGCCAACATATTGGCTATGATCCAATCCACTAAATTTCAATTGAATTGTTTTTATAGAAATTTCTTAACACTCAAACCTGAACTTTGATGATTTGATAAATATAAAACATTTTCTTTCTTTTCGAAGATTTGTTTATAATCACCATGAACATAAATCTAAATAGAAATACGAACTCATCTTTTTCCATTAGCACATATGTTTATCTCATATCTGCAGAATAGTTCTGATAAACAAAAAACAGATCTGTTTATCACAATTAAACACAAATCGAGCAAAGATAATTGTCCTTACTTTCACTTGGAGCCAATTTTGAAAGAAAAACAAAACAAATCTTTGATAAATCGAATATAAATGATCATCACATTGTCGATAGACATGTTCAGGTAATGGTAAAGTAAATAGACGTAAAAATGACCATAAAGTAAAGAAAGTCGGTGCAGAACCATACAAAGATATGATTGGAATTGAAATTTTAAGTGAATGAATAGCAAAAAGAAATAATGATAACATGTTTTGTTTTCTCAAAGAAAAAATATCTAAAAGAAAGTTTTTTGTTGAAAAAAATCTTTAATTGAAAAAGTTTTTTGTAATTCTTTTAAATGTTCTTTTAAATGTGAAGACATTCGGATTTGTCGTGTACGACGTCGTTTTCGTTTGCCATTAACTGCTTGAGTTTTTAAAGATTTTTTCGTCTTCTTTTTATTCGACAAAGGATTCACACCAGTTTTCTTCTTTTTCTTCTTTAGAATTACATTTTTGTCTTCATCAAGATGAAGTTCTTCTTTGATCTTTTTCAAAACATTTGATTCATGTTTACTAATTTTTAATCGTTTCTTCTTATTTTCATCGACTATTGAATGACTCAACAATGATGGACGTTCTAAATTGATTGCATTGTGTGTAATTAACATTGTTGGTAAATCTGGACGATGTTCACGACTATATTCACGTAAGGATGATGACTAAAAGTTTTCAAATGAAAATGTTTTTTTTTTCTTAACAAATTCAATGAACGAACTTGTGAAGCGAGAAAATATTGTTTTGTTGAATCTTTTCTTAACACATGTTGAAAACATTTTTCAGCGGAAATTGCTGGATGATGATCACATCGAATGATTTCATATTGTTTTAAGATTAACATCGCACCAAATGCGATTTTACCTAATAATTCTGTTTCTCTGATTGCACAAAGTGTTGTTGAACATTTGATCTGATCAGTTTCTAAATATGCTTTCAATTGTTCATCGATTTGTATTTTCCATTGAAGTGCTTCGAAAGCAAATGTTCCATCGATTAAGATGATAAAAGGTATATCGATATGAAAATGTGTTCGATAATAATTTAATAATCGACGAACGAATTTATGACGTGATAATTTCATCTAAAATATTCACAAAACAACATCAAAATAAAATTTTATTTTTCAAATGCATGGAATGATTATTTGGGGAAAAAAATCACGATCATTTTTCAGAACATTTACGTAAAATAACGAGAATCGGATAATGAAGATCACTTGTATAATGTTTATTAATTTGTTCACACTAAATTGATAACAAATGAGAAAATATTTCTCTTTAAATTTTATTGAAATTTACTTGTAAATGTTTATCAAAGACTTCTTGATCATAATGTTCCAATACACGACATTCAAATGGATATGTTTCAGCGATCGATATAAATTTATTCAATGTTTTTGAACGATATGGAGCGAAATTGATAGCAACACCCTTTTCATGACAAATGTCAAGATTTTATCAAAGAATTAACAATGAATTACTTACAGAATCTTTTAACATGTAATAAATTGTATGACAAAGATCATGATGAAGATTTTCGAAGAAAAAACTAAATAAAAGACGAATTGATAAAAGAGAATTTTTCGGTTTTATTTGTTACCAATCCGCAGTAATGATAAAATCAAAACGTTCTTTCAAAGTTATATCATTCAATGTTCGACTCCAGATCAAAACTTTGGGTTCAATTGAACATAACCAATTCTTTTGATTTTCTGTGTGGTTTAAAATTTGATTTAAATCTTAACAAAGAAATGAAATGAAATTCAATTAAAAATTGAATATTGACAAAAATATGAAATCAATACTAGCAATGCTTTTTTCATTTCCATCAGTAGCAACAAACTCTTTGAGCGGAATCGATCGAGCCAACTGATATTAGATAAACGTGCAAAAAAAAACAAGAAAAGATTATTTCATGCAGAAAATTTCTTTTTCATTGAAATTCTTTTCCAATAAAAATATTCTTCTACTCACAGCAAGTCCAGCTAAACAAGTCATACCACCACCCAATTCGCATACACTTCGATTTCTAAATACAATATTTGTCTTTCTTTCTTTTTATATCAAAAAGATTTTACTCAAATATTTCTTTTTCTTTTAAACAATAAAATGCAAGAACTTCTTCCGATGGCCATATACCTCAATAACAAATAGAAACTTTTAATAGAAGAATGATCTAAAACTGAGTCTTACAAGTATTTCCTGTATTGTTAAATCCAATCAGATCTGCATATTCAATTTTAGTTGAACATAATCTAATTAAATTACTCGAAATAAGAATAAAATTCATTAAAAAACTCAAAACAAACCGAATGTCCAATGAGAGAATATTAGATTGATTATCTTCAAATGATGGAAATTCGATTTTACACCAAGTTCCATCAGTATCACTTGTTGATGAAAAACTTCTAAGATATAAGCCATAAGTTTTAAATCGCATCACAGATATATCTTCATGTTCACTTGACGACTGAAGATTTTTGCTTAGGAGAATCTAAAGAACAGTTAGATCTTTGAAAATTTTTATTGATTTTAATCATATTTTACTTCTCCAAGCATACGCCATCGTTGTCTTGCTAATTCAGTCATAGTTTCAATTGATGTATTGATTTTTTCCTTTCTTATATATAGGAAAGTAACAAAATCAACCATTCGATTAGCTTTTACCAATCAAATATTAAATTGCACAATGTTTTCATTTTTATTTTCGAGTAATTCAAATTTCTCTTCAAATCAATTTTCCTTTCCAATCAGAATTATCATTTTGAGAGAAACACACTAAAATATTACTGAAATCCACATTAAAGTGCCATCTATCGATCGATAATCTCTAATTGTATTCATATAAAATATTTTCAGATCGATCTTATTCCAGATCAACAAATAACAAATTCTTAGATATCTATAATGTACACCGAAAAATAGACAAAAGAAGTTTTGTTATTAGGAACAGATTTATCGCATCATTGTCCAAATATGAGATTGTAATGTTTTGTCGTATATATCTATGCGATATGATTTAATCGTATTGACAACTATTTTAAATGAAACATGAAGGTGTCTATTTTTCATTTTTCTTAGAACTTCTCTTAATACAAATTTGCACCAGCATATGATATTTGATAGAAATACAAAAAAGAAACAGTATTTCTACTGGTAGGAACCAGTTCATTCTAAAATTATAGCTTTTATTCTACAGAATTGCAGTTTTCTAGTAATTATGGTGAAAAAACTTCTGCATAACTATTTATAAAAAAACATAGTAAAACATGGATGATTTCTTCGATTGCAAGGATATGAAAGATTATAGATAATACTCCACAACAAAATATCTCATAACTCATAATTCCCAGGAATTAAATATTTTGATTAATTCATCTCTTTTAAAGTGTAACATATTAGCACACACCTACACGAAAATCAAATATAAATGTTGACATCATTTTATCTCATTTTAAAATATCTCGAGTTTTAGATATTACGAAGAATCCCAGATGAACAAATATGGAGCTCAAATGCATAATGGGAAAATCGTATGGATTAACAATACATATATATACCAATTGTAATACTAAGACGAGTAATATATCTATATTTCCCTCTATACAAAATATTTCACGATTGATATGTTCAACTTATATGTGAGATATATGTAGTGATATTACGAACCTTGTATCTCTTAGAAAGTTAATTTTCTTTTTCGAATTATTAAATTACGTTGTAGAACATGCAGAGTTGCATATAAAATACGTCAAATTCAGCATCACTATGGTATCTGATAAAGAAAGTTGATGTCAACTTCAAATGTTATCTACTTTTGATTCTGAAAAATGGTCATTTCCCGATACCATCTATAAGAACTTCGACAAACCAACCTATTGCATACGTAAAGGAAAAATCAAGCTTCAAATGAAGTAAAAAGTTCAACAACACTATTATTGTACTATTTTTTCTTTAATAAGTTTTCACCAATAAAATTTACTATATATGATACATTTTGACTATTAAAATTGAATTTGATAGAATCTAAATACGAAGATTCAAGTGGAAAAGGATATTTTTATCTAGTGGTGAGGAAGTGTCGAACGTATCTTTCACAATAAATATGAATGATCGAATCTCTCATAGTTCAGCTTCGAGAAGTAGTTTTTTTTTACATTCGAATAAGACTTTACTTGAATTTTTTCGTGGTTGATATTGCCCGTCAATAGACTGAAAATTTCTTAATTAATTTGTATTTACTGGGAAGCTAACAGAAATAATACTTTATGCAACAAGAATCCTGTTCAAATAATAAAATATGAATTTTGAAACTTTCTCAAACAATGACAACGATGTGAAAAATAACAGAGTAAAAGGCAACAATTTAGGTGCACATTCTTTTTTTACAACATTGATTGATTTTCATATTCGATGTAACTATTTAAACTTTTATTTTTCAACTCTAAGAACAAAAACTAACGATTTTATAACCATTGCAAGTTAACAATGACCAAATTCCAACATGATTTCCATTGGTAATATGTGTTTATGATGTATTTGATTCATATAATGTATTGAACATTAATTTTGGCCTATTTTTTCTCTGTCAATTCCATTTTTGTTGTATCCGCCTATAAACAAAGCTGTTCGTGGTATTTTTATGCTTTAATTATACTCTTCGAAAACATGAGTTGATTTTGTCAATAGGAAAATGACGAATTTTCATTTCCGAATAATGATTTCTCTGTCAACAACAGATTTTTCGTGAATCATTTCTTCTATTTGATCATACAGATGAAAATGAATACAAATTTAACTGTAAAACAAAAAGAAGATTAATTAAGAAAAAATTGACGATGTTTCTGAAAATAAAACAATGATGACTTCGTGATTTTTTTTCTCGTTGAATCTCATCAGACATATTATTTAATAATCAATTGACTTGCAAATTTCCTCTTTTTTCTTTCTTCGTTTGTATGTTGAATAGATAAAGACGATACTAGAATCAGCTTCTGTCAATGATGATTATCATCGGAACAAACACATTTAGAATCTATTATCTATTTTATATGTATGGACGTTTTTTTTTTAGTTAGTCTTCTTGTGTTATCTATCGGAAGGCGCGTTGAAATGACAGTTAATTCATTATTAATTTGGCACTTTGTATGTAAATAAATAATGAGCTTTGCTCGTTTTTTTATTCGGCTTTTTCTTTTTAGTTTGANCCACGGTGAAAGAATAATGAACATTGTTATATATGTGTTTTGTTAATCGTAATATTGACTTTCGTTAATGAAATGATGTCATGTGAATATACAAGATCGAAAGTAAATGTATCAATTTATAATAGAGTAGCATATGACAAGAATTACAAACAATGTGAATTCAATGTCAATAAAATGCTTATTCGAGATGTTCAAATTACAATCAATAGAAAATTGATCCGTGGAAATAAATGAACAGAAGTTAAATGTAAAAGTAATGATGTATTTTACGAATGTTTTCTTAGTCGATTGTCTTTACTCGTTGTCGTGTATNATCATGATTAATAGACATTGATGAAATAAATATGTTTTGCGTTGTTTGTTTTTTCTATCATCCTTTCTTCAATTATTTGTTGGTCATTTTCGTAAATGAAATTATAGATACACAAATATCTTTATATATTCGTTTGATGTTTTTATCGAATCAACGAGAGAAAAAAAAACGTATCTTTTATTAATACAATAGATTGAAGTATGACTTATACTCGCTTAGTCGATTGTCTTTACTCGTTGTCGTGTATCGCTTTTCAAGGCAAAAAAAATTTTCTTTTTCCTTTTCTCTTTCTCTTCTCTCTTCTCTCTTCTTGTGAATATTCAAATAAACCAATGAATGACAAAATGAAATCAAATCTGATTGGTTCATATGAATCAATTCTTTTTTTCTCATCATTCTTTCTCTCTCTTTCTTTTTCGATGTAAATTAAAGAAAATAACATCAATGTATTTTATTAATCGTCTTTCTATTCAAAGATATAAAGAAGTTTGTTGTCTCTCTCTCTTTCTCTTTCTCTATTTTCTATTTTCTCTAATAGTTAATAAGCAATTTCTATCAAGAAATAATTGAAAACTTGCTCTATGTCGACAAGTCCATTTAATCGATCAAATTCTTCATCAATGTTTTTAAATCTTCCAACAAATTCTTCAACAAATAATTTTTATAATTCACAATTTTATTCCAATGCTCTTCGAAATCATTTTCTCAATCCATTTCTTCTTCAACCATTAATTCCTCCAACAAAACCGACGAATTCATTATGTTTATCTATTCAAAATGAATCTTCATCACCAATTATGATTTCATCACCTCGATCAACAACAACAACAACAGCAGTACAAAAAAATAATTCAATCGATGATCATGATCAAGGATCAAATCTAAGCGATGATGGAAGTAGTAATGATCGAGATAGTAAACGAAGACGAACACGAACGAATTTTACAAGTATTCAAATTGATGAATTAGAACGAGCATTTCAAGATGGTTTGTTCAAAAACTTTATTACATTGAACAAAATTTTGATAATGTTTGTGTTTTAGGTCATTATCCAGATGTTTATATGAGAGAAGCATTAGCGATGAGACTTGATCTAATCGAATCACGTGTTCAAGTTTGGTTTCAAAATCGACGAGCTAAAGTAAAAGAAAAATGAAGTTGAATTTCGAAGAAGAAAACTTTTATTGATTTGTTTTTAGTGGAGAAAAATGGAAAATACAAAGAAAGGTCCAGGTCGTCCTCCACATAATGCCCATCCAACAACATGTTCAGGTGATCCAATTTCAGAAGAAGAATTAGCGAAAAAACGTTTAGAAGCTGAAGAAAAGAAACGTCGAAAACAAAATGAAAGACAACGTCGACAAGATGCAAAGAAATGTTCTAATCCTCATACATCTTCGGAAATAAATCAAACAATTTCGAATTCGTTTTCTTCATCTTCTTCATCATCATCTTCCTCAGAATTATCTTCAATATCTCCTGCAACAAATAAATGTTCATATTCTATTGAAAGAATTTTATGTCAAACTTTATCATCAAATCAGAATTTGAAAAGAAAATTAAATAATCATTCATCACCAAATAAATTAAATCGTACTGATGACGGTAAAGTTCCTCAACTATCATAAAACAAAAATCCCAATAAACATTTGTCTCTTCTTTTTTTCTTCCATGTAAAACCCGGTTTTTCTTCATTTTCTTTTTTGTCTTCTTGAAGATAATCCTATTCATTGATATAATTATTCATTTTGTTGTATAAAGAATATTTTCTCGTGTTTTTGTTCTTCGTTTTTCTTTTCTTCATTCTTTCTTATTGTATTATTCATACAGATAAAATAAAAATCACATGATCAAAATTCTTCTTTTCCCACATATTCAACTATTCGTTGTTCAAAGTCAATGAACAAATTTTTCTTCACATCGGTCATCTTTCAATGAGAATGATAATTCAAACAAATTTTTTTTTTCTTTTCTTTTCTTTACCTGATCATTCGAAATGATTTACTCAATGGATCAATCATTTCTATCTTTGTTAAAGAGAGAAAAGAAGAAGAAGAAGAAAAAAAAAAGACTCGAGCCTGTCATCATCGAAACGATTGAAAATAAACACTTCTACAGGTGAGACACACAACAACGACATGTTCTACACCAATATTACAGATGATAATCGATCACCTTTCTATATATCACATATAACAATCATAATCAAAACGATTCGATTGATCATACTCTTTTTTCTTTACGATACAAAAGGATATAAGTAATAAATCGAATAGATATACGATACTTTTATACATAACAATCTAACAAAAGAGAGAGGAAAAAAAAACCCGAAAAAAAAAGATTATTGACATATAGATATTCTCATTTGCAATGAAATATGATCAAATATATCTTTCTATTAAAATGAGATAATTTTTCATTTTATGTTCAATGTGCCTTAAGGACAAATAACTTTTCATCTTTGTTTTTACTCATTTAATCATTGAATATTTCATTTCTGTTCGATTTCTAATCGAATCAAGTCCAACCAATAAACACGAAAAGCTCTAAGTGCATCATTAGAATGACATACCAATGAACTGAACGCGCGACAATCATTAAAAACAACGCCTATCACTATAAAACAGATCAGTGATCATCGATAACCGATGATCTTTCTTCGAGATATGATTTACTTTGCTTTTAGAGATGAAAGTTGACCTGGAGGAAAAGAAAAGAAATGGAACAATTAATAAAGTTTTCGATTTTGTCTAAGAGAAAAAAAAATGCACGAGTTTCTTAAATAAACACATATTAGTTAGAAAAACAATTTCATTTCTCGACAATCGACGGAAACTTGATTAATTTCCGTAACTAATGGAAATACGTGTATGAACAATGTTTTTTTTTCCATTAAATCAATATTGAATGAGAATGACGACAATCAGTTTTACTTTAATTGAACTTTTCTCCTTCTTGCATTCGAAACAAAGAACAATTCTTCTTATTTTCATTTCAAATCATCTTCGATTAGTTCAAACAAGATCATCTTTCATTTTCTGTTTACATATCAACAAAATCTCATCTCATTTTACATTTTTTAAATATTGTTACTTCAACATTTACATCAATCATTTCATTCTTTCTGAACTCGTACTTTTTCTTCGAAGTAGACGTGACAAATTTCGAATTGTAACCAGTTTTTAGCAAATTTCTACCTCTGATTTCTGCATATTCCATAGAAATCTACTCTCACATTCTGCACTATTAAAACTAACAATCAGAACTTCACTTTTTAATATAAAATTTTAAAATTCTTCTTATATAATAATGACAATTCACCATATTCATATAAGAGTGTCATTGATAAATATCTAAGTAGAAATCAGAAATCTACTTCACTATTTTCCTCCACACTTACACTATCACTCTTACTCTAAGTTATTAACATGAAAATCTTCACAAATGGATAAAAGTAAATTTCTGATTTCTGCTTTTCCAATGAGATATAAAATGATATCTAATGTCGATTGTAATAATCCAAATTTTCAACATTTAAAGTTTTAAATAATTTTGACATGTGGACTTTAAAAATGGTATCAATTTTATATTTGCCATCCTATGTCGAATCATGAGTTGCCTAATTCGACTTATATTATAAGTTCATCTCCGACAGGCCAATATCAATTCGAATATAACTATATATCTATAACAGTATTACAATAAACAATTAGATAGGAATAGAAACAGATTTAGTTTGACTGATACCTATACACCCCGACACCTACACTCTCACCATCACACGTATATATCTCGACTGAGGGTGCTGCGGTGGGTGTTTACGCACCCATATACCTTCAGGGTATGGGTGTGAGTGTATATAGGTATATATCAAACTAAATCTATTTCTATTCCTATGTAGATAGGGATTGTAGTATGTTAGGAATTGGCCACTGATATTTATAAGTCGAATTAGGCAGCTACTCCATCGAACATTGAAATCTCAAGAATAAATTTCGTATTTTTCAATCGATATGAATCTGTACATTGAAATATTTTTCTTCTCGTCGCATTGATTATATTTCAAGTAAAAATTCGTTCAACAATTACTATTTATTTTCGAATATATCAATAGACAATTTTCAACAATAAATAAAACAAAATGAAATAGATAAATAAAATAATGTACAAAAAAGAAATCATTGGAGAATTATTGTGATCGATTGACTTCCATCGATTGATTGACATTTTCATTTTCACTTTTGTTTTTTTCTGCATCAGCCAATTTTTGATAATGTTGTTTCGTCTAAAAAATTCTAATCAATGAAAATTCGAGAGAAAATCTCAATATTTACTTGTTCGTCCGCAGCTTTCCATTGAGCACCTAATTCAATTAGAATTTCTTGTGGACGTAAACTTGGATTTTCCAGCTAAAAGAGAAAAAATTAATCAATCGAATTTGTTGATAATGGAAATTTTACTTTAAGTTGTTTTCGTTTTTCAAGTGTAAAGAGAATATAAGCTGAACGACGACGTTTTGTTGATTTGCCTGTTTGACTTTTTTTTGTTACTTTTGGCATTTTCTTCGAAGTTATTTTTCAAATACGAATAATCAAAAGAAAATGATCGATTCAATGTCTTTATATACCCTTAACATGTTATTATCTTTTCTTTCAGTCGACTGATTTGTTTCAGTACATCGAGGGTTTTTCTTTTCGAAACATATTCGACGATATAAATCGATTCTTTTTCAAATTTGACTAAATATAACAATCAGTCCGATTCGAAAGAGATATTTTTCTTGTAAAGAAAACTGTTGAGTATGGATAAAGACCACTTGATAGTTTTCTTTCTATATGTGTCGAATAGATGACATCGTTTCTTTCTTTATTGATCTCTAAGATAGAAGAAAGACGAATAACAACAGTAACAGCAAATAGATCTGTCTAAACGCGGCAATGATGTTGATAGTGTCTGTCCAAAAAAAAAAAAAGGGAAGATGCCAATAATATCTACAGAAAAGAAAAGGATACGAGACAGTAGGAAAGAAGACATTATCATTGACACGTCCTTATTTAACTACGTCGAAACATCAAGAAAAACCAACTCTTATTTATCTATAAACAAAACGTCCTAACAGATTGTCTTTTTTTATTTATCTATCCAAATAGAACTCGAGTGAGTATAATTATTCAATCAACAAAATAGATTTGGTCATTTCACAAAGAATTTGTCTAATTAAAAATGATTTAAGTCAATTGTTTTGTGATAAATATGATTAATAAATGACTTTTTAATGATGATTAGCATAAGGATATATTTAGACATAAGAAATCTGTTTTATATTTTGGAAATTCTTTTTATTTTTTTCTGATTATTAGAAACGAGACATTGATGATTTTCTAATATTTCTTCTTATTGAAAATAAAGTTTAACAAGATTGTCAATATGAAAGTAAAGAAAGATAAATTAGTTTTTCATTTGTTATTTTAGTTAATTGACAAAAATTCACTTAGTCTTCTTCATTCAATTTAATCATGTGTATTTTTCTTATTATTGCATTTCTACAAAGTCATTCAAGGACAAGTTTTTAATTCTTTCTAATTCTTCATTGATTAGATGTTTCATTAAAATGAAAATGTCTGAACAATTCTCTCATATTTTTTCTTCTATTCTTTTGTCCTTGTTAAAGACATTTCTTTTCATATAAAATAAAAACAAAAAAGAAATTCTTTTCAAATATAATTCAATATAAACTTGAACACATAACCTTTTGTCCAGTAAATTTGCAATCAGACAAACGTATTTGTTTTATTTTTTGATTCCTTAAGGTATATTCATATTTCTGTCTGTCTCATTCAAAGTAAGATGAAAGAGAAAAGACGCACATTCGATATGGTAATTCATTTGAAATATTTCTATGAAACAAAAAAAAAGAGAATCGCTTTTTGTCCTTGATCATCATAATTTCTAATTGATTTTCTTTTTCAATAGACATTTTCTTTTTCTTTTTAAATTTCAATATATTTAGATAAATAAATAATCATATGGATCAGCCGTATCAAACAACTAATAATTCGCTGCATTCTTCTAGGATCTATGTATCTGCATTCAATTATGTCTTGTAATCATCTTTATATATAGATGATACACTCGTTTACTAGAGAGAGAGAATAACACGATTCGGTATTGACATGTGTATCCAAGGTTAATTTTTTTCTTTGGATTGATATTCATTTGTTTTCTTTTTCTTTCCATGTATATTAAAAATAGAAAGATTTTTGTTTTGTTTCATAACAAAACGAATGTTCTTTCGAGGAGAATTAATTAGGATTTCGACATTGTTTGTTCGATATTTTGACACTTTTCTGTTTTTTTTTTCTGTTTGTCTGATAATAACAGCGACAAAAGAATAAATAGAACAATGTTCTTTTTCTCTTTGTTTCAGAAGAATATCATCACTAATCATAACATACAATGTTCTACGACGATCTTTCTTATTATTATCGGCCTTTTTATAGGTAGATAGAGGATGCATTGAATCTTACAAAGAATTTCATATATTTTACTTTAGAAATTATTGATTGGGATATAAATAGGAAATGATAAAACCTAAGAAATTGGTTATTCGACGTTCAAGCGATTTTGCAGGCGGTGGTTTTGGTTTTACAATTCGTCATTTTGTTATTTATCCACCATCAGTCTCTGTCAATGATATTTTACGGGTAAAAATTCGATTTTAATTCAGTTTTTTTCTCCCAATCAATCAATAGCAAATCTCGATACAAAAAAAAAACTCTTTTTTAGATCTAAAAAATCGATTAAACGAGTAAATTTTCACTTGATTCTTTTTTTTTCTTCTTCGGATCAATTACTTAGAATGAATAACCTCTAGTTGAATATTTCGAACAAAAAAAAAAGAACTCGTTTTCAAGGTTTCTTTTATCTTTAACGGAGATTCGACTAACAACTTATTTCTTCTAATAGAATTAATCATTGTCCTCGAGACGAGAAGGAAAAACGAATGACGTCGTTCCAGAAAGTGTCGAAGGTTAAACTAAACATGTTTTATGTAATGTGATAGGCTTCGTACAGTGTGGTGATCGATGAACATCAGCAAAAGCAATTGGAAGGAAGTAGTGGTGGTGGAGGAGGAGGAGGTACTACAAATACTACTGGTACAACATCGTCAATAGTTTCTCCAAGTATTTTATCAACATCATCATCATCGGGTAGTCGTATCCATCATCAAGGAGAACAACAAGGATCTTCATCATTATCATCTTCTTCTTCTTCTCCGATGAAAACTGTCGGAACCGGTAAGAAACAAATCAGAGACGAGAAAGAAAAGAGAACGAAGCGAGGAAAAAAAGAACAGAACAGAAGAGATTTTTCCACGGATATTTTGCTTTTCTGTGTATTGATTGATGAGAGATATTCTATGTCGCAAAGAAAAAATCTGTTTTTGTTCCAGATAATATCCAAGATGATGGAACAACAGTGTCAACTAATCCCAATCCAAATCTTCAATCAATGGATACAATCTTTGTCAAAGAAGTTCGACAAGATGGTCCAGCTTATGCTGCTGGTCTAAGACAAGGTGATCAAATTTTAACTGTCAATGATCAATCAATAAATGGAAAGACTTATTCGCAAGTTATTGCCTTGATTCAGAATATGTTAGTTCTTCTTTTTTTGTCTTTCTCAACATATTTTCTTTGAGGAAAAGGTTAACCCTTTCTTTCTTCTCGGTTTTTTTTTCAGTCCTACAGAACTTATTCTTAATATAATACCAAAAGAAGATGACACTCGTACAATTGTTGTATGTATCTTTATTCTTATTTTATTTTCATTTGTTGTTTTCTCGAATAGAATTCATCAGAAAATCTTTATCAAAATCTTAATTCTTCCCGATTGAAATCACTTCAATATTCACGTTCATCACCATATCAATCAGCACCAATTATGGCAACAAATAATACAATTGAACAGAAATTACGAAATCTACAAATCAATTTAGCTCAAGGTCGAACAGCAGAAGAACTTGCTCATGTTGGAATTTATTTTCCTCCGCCAACTTCAACATCAGCACCATCTTCATCACAACAACAAAATGCTTTTTCAAATTATATCGATTCAGTTCATCGAGCTTTAGATTCATCAAAACAACAACAACAACAATCACAACCACCTCCACCGCCGCCACCACCACCATCACAACAACAACAACAACAACAATCAACATCTCAAAATAAAGGAGATTCTTCGAATCTTTATTATGAATCACCTTATCATAATGATTATATTCCACATGATTATAAACGACAACCATCATTTCAAATCAATTTCAATCAACCAAATGAGCAAAGAAATTATTTAACTAATATTATTCGACCACCAGTTCCTCCACGACAAAGTACGTATTGTCAATTTTCTTTCCATTCGATCTAATAGAAAAGAAGACGATGAATTTTATCTTGAGAAATTCTCTGCATATCAAAAAGATAAGATATAAAAATAATTTAGATATTCCAGTATTAAATCCATATGTAAATACTCCATCGAATCGTTATGATGATTGGTCTCGTCCAACACATTTTTCATCACCTGTTTCAACTTCATTAATTGAATCTCATGAAGAATTAAAATCTCCATCAACAGATTCAGCCACTACGGAAACTCGATCTCAAATTGCATCGAATGAAAAATCTCCATTAAATGACAATGACATGAAAACAGAGTTTGTTAATTTTCGTAAGAAACAATTCGAAACAGGTCATGTTGAAAATATCGTTCGTGATCCTCAACGTGAATCGAAAACAAAAAAATATTCTGAAAAGAAAAAATATGAAAATGAATGGAATCGTCTTACTGCTGTAGCTGACGTCGAATCTGTTATGGAACGTGCATCGCATTTTGAAGATATTGATCCAGATAAATTTGCACGATTAAAATCAAAACTTCCAACATCTCCACCAGCACATGATAATCTCAATTTACAAGATAATTTTCATTATGATTTCAATCCAAATTACCTTTATGATTCACAAAATCAATATAAACTATTGAAACCAACAGCACGACAATCATCGATTGAATTGTCATCTTCATTACCTATTCCAAGAGGTTTGTTTAGTTCATTGTCTAAATTTAGTGATATTTGTTACTTGAAATAACTTTTCCATATCGAATCTGCTTTTTGTTCCTGATTTTTCATTCGACAAACACCTTCTTTATACTCATTAGCCTTTCTATCGAGACAAGAAGAAAAAAAACATCTGCTCGGCAAATTTCTCCTATAAATACTCAACTGTTTTCCCTACTAAACATCAATGTTTTATTGTTCTAGTCGGTGAATTAAATAGTATTGAGTTTAATTTTGATCCTCGTTATATGATTCAACCAGTTCGATCCAATCAATCTCAATCAACATCATCCTCACACTTTAATCCATTACCATCATCTGAAAGGTTTATCATTTTATAAGAATTTTTCTCTTTCTTATCCGATTGTTCGTATAGTTCACGATATTCATTGGAAAATTATTCAAATCTGCCATCAACATCTCGAACGGGAATGAATTTAATTCGTCAACAATCTTATATCACTGCTGTTCGATCAGCAAATCAACATGAACAACCAGATTTCGGTAAATACAATTGATTTTCTTCTCCTAAAACTTATCTTCATTTTTTCTCAATAGTAACACAATTTGGAAGTCCACCAACATCCGAACAAGAAATGAAACAACGTCCTCAATCTTACATCTTAAGTACTGATCAACATTTATCTTCAACTCGTAGTGGATATATACCAACAAATTTCAATAATCAACCGATGACAAGATCTACAAATACATATGACATTCTACCAGATCAAAAACTAAGGTTTCTACTATCTTTCATTTCTTAAGTTTTCTTATCGTTTTTATTTTTTGAAGAAATTCTTCTCAACATCAGGCTCAAGCAATTAAAAAATTAAAACATTTCTTTGGAGAAAATGTAAAAACAAAAACTCGTCTCTCGAAAACTTTTCTTTCAACATTTCTCGTTTTAGGCACCACTATCAACTGAAATTGATCATCGTCCATCATTATCTCAATCTCCATTATCTCCTCCATCATCATCAGGTGGAAGATCAAAATCTGATTCAATATTCGATGGTTCAACACTTGAAGGAACAACAAATCCTCGTGAATCAATTCCATTAACAACATTAACCGATAATTTAGAAGCAACAAAAGAAGGAATTCTCTATTGTAAAACTGTATTAAAAGATGGACGACGTGCACCTGATCGATCATGGCGTGGAGCATGGGCAGTTCTTCGACGTGGTGCTCTATTTCTCGGTAAAGAGAAAAAACATGGTTTATTAATTCCACTTTCATGTGATTCATTTCCAATTAATCTTCAAAATGCTGATGTGGAATTAGCAAGTGATTATATTAAAAAACCACGTGTTTTCAAAGTAACAACATCGAATCAAAGTGAATTTTTATTTCAAGCACCAGATATTCAATCATTGAATGAATGGTTAGATGTTATTAACGATAATTGTTTACAATCTGATTCATTACAAGATAATAATGAGATGAAAGATGAAACGAAATCAAAATTAGCTTTATTACCACCTATGGTACCGTCAACACATCATGAACAAGAGTAAGTTGTCATTTATCAATGTCAGCTTTATAAAATAGGAGAAAAAAGTCATGTTTCAGATATTAGTTGTACTTTTTTTCTTTTCTAATTATTCTTTTTTGTACTTTTTAGAAGTCTTGAACAACGTAAATCCAATACAAAATCTAAAATCTCTCTTCGAAGTCCATCATTAAAACGTTCTCCAAGTCTTCGTTTCCGTAAATCTCAAAAGATCTTGATTTGAAAAATGAAATTACTTNATTGATTTTTCTTTGTTTTTTTTTAGAAATGAGTAGTTTATGTGTTGAATCAAGTCGATTAGAGAATCATTGTGATCGTTTAGTTGAATTGAAAAGACTTGTTGTTCAATTAGATGATTATCGATTTGAAACATTGAAATATTTATGTGCACATTTTCGAAGAATTTCATCAAAATGTGATATTAACAAAGTAATTTCATTTTTCAAATCAAGATCTTTTCTTTTTCAATGAAAATTCTCTAGATCGATGCAAGAAATTTAGCAATTATATTTGGTCCGACACTAATCTGGGATTCCAAAGCTTCTCTACAATCAAATCTTGTTGATAATCCTGAAAAAATTCGAATTGTTGAATCGTTTATTTTATATGTAAAGAAACTTCCTTTTTTTAATGAAAATGAAACAAATTAGAAATTTTCTATTTAGTACGAATGGTTTTTTGATGATAATTCTTATGAGAAAATTCCTGTAGAAATCAATCCTCAAATGCCACGTTTACCTCCAATAAAAAATCATCCACCAGTTGATCCTGAAACTTTAATTACAAATGAAACAAAACCAAGTGAAATTATTCAAAATATTGTTCGTGCAGCTAAACGACGTTGGTCATCACCGATTCTTCTTGAAAATCTTTCTTCATTAACTACAACAAATTCTCCAACAACTACAAATAATGATCAACAACCATCTAAACCAATAAATATTTCTGTCAAAAGGTATTTTTATCATTTTATCAAATATCTCTTTTATTAACACAAAAGACTAAACTTATTCCAGTGTTGTTCGTCCAAATTGAAATTGTTTGATTTTGTATTATTAAATATAAAATTTGTAAGGAAAATATTCGTTTGATTCCCCTTTCCTTGTCATGTTTGTTTGTTTTTATTGATAATGCATGTTTTGCAATGAATTATTTTGAGAAAATCATTTTAATTTTGTTTAAATGTAGAAATCCATTTCATCGATGTTATTCATCTGATATGTTAAGCAGAAATGCAGATGACGATTATGTCAATCTTCGATCAAAATCAACAGATTCAGCACTTTATTCTATGTCAGATAAAAGTTGTCGAATATTTAAACAATTTTATCAAAATATTCTTTTCACCAAATGCAAAACTTCAATGAATCAAAATTTTTCCACACCATGTCGTAAGTTCATATTAAATTTTGTTAATTTTATTTTAATTTTATTTAGTTTTAGTTCATGACGATGAAAAAAGTTTTTCGGAGAAANTTCCACACCGTGTCGTAAGTTCATATTGAACTTTGTTAAACTGATTTTGATTTTCTTTAGTTTTAGTTCATGAAAATGAAAAAAGTTTTTCGGAGAAAACTTCATTATTAAAATCCAAATTAAATCAACGTGAACAAATTCTTGGAAGATATCATGAACAAATTCAACAAATCAATCATCATGTATTTCTCTTAGATAAATCTTATAAAGAAGATTCGAAGTCTTCTTTACAATCATTACCTCCTTGTTATTCATCGCTTTATGCCTTAGAACTTTTGTGATTTCCTATTGAACTTTTTTCTTTTTTTTCTTTTTGTGATATCACCTTTATATTTCTATCGATTTTATGTGTGATAGATAAACTATTGAATTGATTAGAAGAATATGTGTTCTTTTCTCACTGATCACGTGCTCAATGAGATGAAGAAATGTGTTGAACGCGTGATGTTTGAATGATAAAACTATAAAATTCGTTGAAGAGATGAAATAGAACAAGTAGAGACAAATTTGTTATGATTATTTCTATCGAAAAATATCGATCGTCATCATTGCATTTTCTTTCCCTCTTTAGCAGTCGTTTTTCATCATTTTCTCGTCGACTATTGACGTCACGACGAATAAGAGAAAAAAAAATGTGTCCTTTTGTAGACAGACGAAGTCAAAAGGAAAAACAAGGGATAGAAATATGTGTAAGGATCGACCTTTGACTCAGAGAATTTCTCGTCACGATGTCTTCTCAACAATCTTAATGATCAATAAATATCGACTGATGCGTTTCTTATTTTTATTAGTGACAAACAATATTCCGGATTTCTTTACCAAAAAAATTTCGAGGTTCCTTATCATTTTCTATTGAATTTTTCTTTTCTCTTTATTTCTTAGATAAATTTTTATTACATTTATTTCTTTTACGACGTGATTTAATTATTGATTTTCTTATCTGAGCTCCAAATCGAAAAAAAAGTGAGTAAAAATAAGAAAAAAAATACGAGAAATGACGATAAGCGACATCTATATGATAAAGTAAATGATTGAGTTGTTTAAATAACCATAGAGAGTAGAAAAAGTAAAATGAAATCAGTTCGATTGTTTAGTTATTTGAAAGAAAACGATATTGAACTAATTTGATTTTAGATAGAACAATCTGGTAAAATGCGGCTATGACGAAACTATTTGCTCAACTTGTAAATCTTGATTATCATCGAGAAAGATTTCTTGGCAAAATATGTTTTAATTATTGGACTGATTTATATTGAAATTCTTCGTTTGATATTCTCTAGTCTCTTATTTATCAGTTGGTGATTTTGTTTTGTGTTTTCTCTTTTTTTGTATTTGCCAGTTTTCCTTNTTTCGTCGAACATCATCTCAATATCAATGGATTGAAGAAGATCTTCGTTCAGTGAATCGTTCTCGTACACCATGGTTAATTGTTGGTTCACATCGTCATTTCTACACATCAGAATCTGAATCGCCCACTGATTTGATTAAATTGATGCTTCGATTATATTTAGAACCATTATTCTACCAACATCAGATTGATATTTATCTTCAGGTACATGAAGATTTTATTTCTAGATGTTTTCTTTTAGTTAACCCTCGACAGACATGTGCACACACAATAAGAAGAGGGGAAAAGATATTCTCTGTGTAGTAACTGTTCGATTAAATCATTTTCTTTCTTTTTGTAGCGTATCAGTGATGGCTGAAAGCGGATCGTACAAGAGTTGGGTAAAAAAATCGAATGAAAATATTTTAAATTGTTCTTTTTGTTTCAGATACAATCACTAATCAGTGAAATTAAACTTTCTACACAAGAATATGAATCATTGGTTAGTAAACGTTCGATGTACGAAGCAAGTGAAATGATGTATGGTGGTACTGATCGTGATGATGACTTACGAACGAAATTAACATCGATTAATACGCAATCCAAAAAAATGTTAAATACAATCAAAGTGAATCTGAAAATGCTTATGGACTACGAAGATGAATGTAATAGAAATAAAATCTGATCATATTCGTGACTTTATTATTTCTCTCGTAGACAATTGTATCCATAATACGACGAACAAATTTAAAATTATCGGTTTGGCAAGCGATACATCTTTTGCTAATATTCGTCGCACAGTTGAAAAACTGAGTGGAGTCAAATCGGTTCAGGTCAGAAATAGAAACTCAAATTGTTTGTACAACAAAATGACATACTGATTGCTTAGGTCTCATTGGTTGAAAAAGAATTTTATGTTAAATACGATAAAGACAAAACAAACACAACAGCGATTCGTGATGCAATCAACAGCATTGAAAACTATCAAGCACAACTGATGGAATGAGTTGAATATGGAAACATTTCAATTGATAAGAACAAATAACAACTCGGCTTTTTCTCTTTATTCAGAAGACATACATATCGATAAGAAGATTTTTTACTAATAAACTTGATAATCAAATATCTGTATCATCATATATCGCTGGAAACGAGGATTTCACATAAATAATTAAAACGATTGGATAATACAGTCAATGATTTCACCATCTTTTTCCTTTCATATTTTTTACTTTATTTATAATATCTATCAGAAACGACATGAAAATCCTCTTTAATACATAAGCATTGCTATGCGACAAATTAATATCCACATTAAAAATCAACAAAATTCTGCTGTCAGCTTCAACGCATAACTTCACGCTTTCTTTCATTTCTGAAACAAAAGATAACATCTGTATAGACAAATAAATGTGATCGACGTCAGCGTGAATCTTCAACTGATTGTTGTAGCAGACTAAATCAGGTGAAAGTTCAATTAAGAATCGTGCGCGACATCATTTGGCAAAAAATGCCAGTCATATTCTCTTTCTTTTTCCATTCGTTCAACAAATTCAATTTCTCTGCTCTTAGATGAACGCGATATCGATGAACAATGCAATATGACATGATTGTCTATATATATATGTTCGCTTTGAAACCGAATAATTGAAATTATCATAAGGAATGAGTCAGCGTAACGTTCATCTGCTCGATCTTCCGAATGAAATACTATTTATCATCTTGAAAAAACTTCCCAATATCGATGTTCTTTATTCTTTGTTTGGTATCAATAATCAAAGGCTTAATCTTATTGCACAAGAAGATGTTTTTATTCGAAATCTTCATTTTGTTCGTACTTCTCAATCAACAGATGAGGTTCATTCAATGCCTGATGCAATCTTGAATCGATTCTGTCATTTAATATTGCCAAAAATTCATGAAAATATTAAATCACTTACTATTGAATCTGTTTCTATGGAAAATATTCTCAACAGTGGTATTTATCCTAATCTAACTAAACTTACAATTTTGAATTTCAATGAACAAGTCATTTCATATTATTTGAATGGTAACGTATCTATTTGAAAGGATTCTGATGATTTTACATGAAATACTTTGTTTTATTTAGATAATTCTCCTTGTGCACATATTTATAGACTACCAATTACAGATCTTATTCTTATTATCAATGAAAAAAGTGTTATCGATGGGAACGAATTCGAGAATATTAATGTAGATTATGGAATTATTTTGACTCTATTTAAACATTTAAAACATTTGAGTATCAAACCAATATCTATATTTGATTATCCACCTTTATCATTATGTAATTCATCATCAATGACTTGTTCTTCTTCAATCCTTACGAAATTATGTATCAACGTACATAGTTTTAATGACTGTTTAGCTTTGCTTGATGGTCGTCTCAAGCAATTAACTTCGTTCAATGTTCAAATTAATTATATTGGCAATAGAATATCAAGATCTTATAACATGGTGAGTTTATATTTGATACTATTATTGATTTTGACAACATATTTTAAATGGAAACTGTACTTTTCTCTTGTACAGAAGTTCAATTAATAGAATTTGATCATATAAATTGATATTTGAAACTCTTTCACTTTCTAGGATGATCTGCCAAATTTACATTGTTTTTCATTGATATGTTATAATGATACAACTGGATTTCAAAATTTAGTTGTACCTCTTCTTCGACGAATGTCATATTTGAAAGAATTAACTATCTATATTCAAATATGCCATACATTTTTGTTTGTTTCTGGTCATTATCTTGATAATGAAATTCTCAATCGTATGTTTCAACTTCAAATATTCAAATTCTATTTTGCTTCTCAAACTAATACTCATGATCTCTCTATTCGTTTATCTAATGAAGATATTGAAAAAACTTTCACCAATAAAGGACAACGACATATGACTTCTATGGTGGATTATATTGATTCAATGGGAATGATATCGCGTGTTTTTTCAATTCCATTTCAATTTACTCGTTTGAGGGATATTACAAATAATCTTCCAACTACGGTGTATGATTCTGTTACTCATTTAAAATTATCTGATGAAAAACCATTCAACTATGAATTTTTTTATCGACTTGCACGAATTTTCCCATCTGTTCGAAGTCTATGTATTTGGAATCTTCTTTCGCCATTTTCTACATATCGCGAATACTGTTCAAAAGATGAACATTGGTGTTCCATGATTGAATATTCTCAACTTATTTCACTTGATATAAGTTTTACACATATTCATTACGTTGAACAGTTCCTCAACGAAACGAAAGTGTGTTTACCTCGTTTAACTGAATTAAAGGTCAAACATCGACATTTGAGAACGGTAACGGACAATTTTACAAGAGATGTGACACGACGCAACTGTGCTAAAGTGAAAACATTAATTCTTCAACACTCCGCAATTCATACTGACGATATTTCTCACTATTTTCCTGTGTTGTCACATACATTTTCTCATGATGTTATCTGAATAAAAATATATATTGCAAAGTATTTATAGATTCAGATTTGATTTCTCATTCAATTTTAACAAATGGATTGAAAAAGAAATTTCAAAATCTTCAAGTAAAATTTCTTTTCATTTGTTTTTCTCCATTAAAATCGATTGTTTATTACATAGATTATCTCTGAAGAAAAAGATTCGATCAATGATGAACAATTCAAAATTATTCAAAAGAAATTCAATGTCAAAGATAAATTAACAACGATTCCACAAATTACTAATGAAAATCATTTTCTCACTGTTCCTTTATCATCCGTTGCGGTATGGATTGACCCATTAGACGCAACAAAAGAGTTAAACAGGTTTATTGTTACGAAAATGCATCAGTACTTTCCTCAGGAGTATGAGTACATGTGAATTTTCTGTTTTTTTTCGCTCTTATTGTCGACGTATTGTTTCCTTGTTGAGTAGCGCAGAAAAAAAGACAAATTAAACCTGTTTACTTATCATTTACGAGTCAAATAAATCTGTTGCTTACTGACTTTGCTCGATAAATTATCGTAATGTGACAATCGAATTCTCGTTGTTATTTGTCGAACACGTTTTCGAGGATCGACAAAGATTGGAATTCTTTATTCTCCATTTACTGACAGAATAAGTAAAAGATTTCTTCCATTAAGTCAAATAATGATTTTTCTTGGATATTTTTAGCTTGGGGATGGGTTGGAGTGAATCATTCAATGATCAAACGAGATGAAAATAGTCTCAAACCACTTCATACAAAAGGTGTTGATGATATAGTCGTATCCGGTTCACATGCTGG